GGAAATATTGCCAATAACAGCCGTCTTTCGCGTGCACATGCCAACTCTCCTGCAACGGCGGCATCAGCCGCTATTTTGTCGTCGACTGCCGACCGGTCCACGGGAGCGGTGAGAAGCCGCTGGGTTGGGCAACCAACCGATGTCGCCCTCCTTGATCTATTGGATACTCTGGGTGAAGATGACCTTCGGCTTCGAATCAACATGCGGTTATCTGAAACACCTTTCAGCTCGGAGCGAAAGTGGATGGGAGTCGTTGTCGGCAGGAGCACTACGTTAGACGACGTTGCTGGCAATGGGGATGGAAATGAAGTTGCATACATCAAAGGCTCGCTGGAAGAAGTCCTGAAACGCTGCGATACTTATTTGACCAAAGATGGACAAGAAATAATATTAGATGAGCGGAGGAGACGGGATGCAAGGCAAGCCGCGGAGTCTATGGCCCAAGAGGGACTGAGAGTGATCGCTTTCGCAAGTGGCCCAGTCAAACCTACACGAGGACCTCGCAGTCATAACCCCCGTTCCCATCATCCCACACATGACCACTCTCAACTACATGGCGAAGAATGCTATACTGGTCTCGTTTTCGCTGGCATGGTTGGCATGAACGATCCGCCTCGTAAAGATGTGCATCGATCGATTCGGAGGCTTCTAACAGGAGGAGTCAGGGTTATCATGATTACCGGTGACGCCGAGACGACCGCAGTTGCCATTGCGAAGAAGCTGGGGATGCCAATAAATATGTCGGCAAATGGAAGGTCATTTCTGAGGGGAGACGAAATCGACCATATGACCACCGAAGAGCTGGCCCAAGCAATCACTGGCACCTCGATATTCGCTAGAACCAGCCCGGATCATAAAATGAAAATTGTAAAGGCCCTGCAATACCGAGGAGACGTCGTTGCAATGACTGGCGACGGGGTCAACGATGCACCAGCATTGAAAAAAGCAGACATTGGAATTTCCATGGGCCTTTTGGGAACCGATGTTGCAAAGGAAGCAGCCGATATGATTTTAACCGATGACGATTTTTCTACGATTCTTAGGGCTATAGAGCAAGGAAAAGGCATTTTCTACAATATTCAGAATTTCATCACATTTCAATTGAGCACTAGCGTTGCAGCGTTGAGTTTGGTTCTTATCAGTACGGGGTTGGGATTCAAAAATCCCCTTAATGCTATGCAGATTCTATGGATCAGTAAGTCCTATCCTACATGCCATCCGGCACGACGATTGATTGATTGATTGATTGATTGATTGATACTTATAACCGTCTAGACATTCTCATGGACGGCCCTCCAGCCCAATCTCTAGGGGTTGAACCTGTCGACCCCTCAATCATGGTCCGCCCTCCCCGCCCCAAACATGCCCGCGTTCTCACCAAGCCACTCATCCGCCGCGTCCTAACATCCGCCGCGTGCATCATGCTTGGCACCCTTGCCGTCTACATCCACGAAATGATCGACCACACCGACGAAATCTCCGGCATAACCTCGCGCGTAGTAACCCGCCGCGACACAACCATGACATTCACCTGCTTCGTGCTCTTCGACATGTTCAACGCCCTGACGTGCAGGAGTGAAGGGAAATCCCTTCTCCGCGGAGAACTCGCGCTCACGGGCAACAAGATGTTCAACTATGCCGTCCTCGGCTCGCTCCTGGGCCAAGCGTGCGTGATCTACCTTCCGATCTTGCAGGACGTCTTTCAGACGGAGCCGTTGGGTCCAAGAGATCTGTTTGCGTTGCTGTGTATTTCTAGTTCCGTCTTTTGGGTCGATGAGCTTCGGAAGTATTTGATGACTCGGGGTCGGAGAGGCGGACTTTCTGGTTTCGCTTCCCTGCCACAGTTATCCGGCGTTGGATACAGCGTTAACGTATAATAGAATAGAAAGTACCTCCTTTGTTTCCTCCGTCGTAACTGTTATTCTTTGAGAAGGCCTTTTTTTTGGTTGAATTGTGTGTCTCAGATATATACTTTCCTCCTAACGTTGCTCTATAAAATGATGTTGATGAAAGATGCATGTTCCAAAATATGAAATAATTTATAATAACAAAAGTATTCCAGATACTGGATATAGAGTATGTGGATTTATGCTTAAGCAACAATATCGCCGCCTTCAATGCCGTATAAAAATTTAGATACATATTCCATACCACAAACACCAGCATGAAGTTTGAATAATAGAAACATGGAAAGGTAGTTATGAAAAGGTCCTTGCCCACAAAGGAGAAAAAAAAAGAGAAAAATATCATAGTCACTCTCTCATATACCAACACCAATGGCCAACATAGATAACATACAAGACGAGGGAACAAAAATATCTATTGGGTATCACAGTCCAACCAAAAAGAAAAAAAGTTATCATGCAAAATGTAAGAAAGAGATGAAAGGATGCACAGGAAAAAAGCCATGTAGATCTACCTACTCTTTTCATTCAGGTCATCCTGCTCTGTATGATGGGAATGTGTTGATGGTGGCGGTGATGGTATGATTGTTGTTGCATGTGGAGTCACTGAGTGTGAGGGAGTTATTTGCGTCATAGGTGGCAGCGGTAGTTCATGAGCTGGGGCTGAATGTGTACTCGTCTCAAGTGTGTGCGCTGGTGGTGCCGTGGGTGTGATAGGAACATGGTGTAAAGGCATCGATGGCGCTGGCACTCGTTTCATACCGAAGACCCGTGCCAATCGACGCTTTCTTTCCGGGCTGGGGTTTCGGATTGTAGGCCCGGATGTCGCTTGAGTACCAGAAGGTGATTCTCCCGGAATATTGTCTGTACTGCGATCTGGAGAGATTTTTCCGTTCTGCACAGGCCTTGCGGCCATGGCGCTATGCGCTTGGGAGCCATAGAGGTCTGAACGAGGAACCTGATGAGTATGGTCACAGGGTTGCATGGTCTGGGGCGTCCAGGCAAGATGATCACGCCGGACCTCAACGTAGTCGTATGCGAACTCTCCAAGTTGGTCGTCATCCATACCGAGGAGTTCAGCTTCTTCAGAGGCACGGAGATGTAGTCCAGGAATATAGTTGATGGCATAGGCGAGAAGGGCCGAAACCACGAATGCGTAGCCCATGCATGCGACAATGTAAGCAAGCTGGATGTATAGCTGGCGGTAGTTGTGGATGATCCAGCCACCCACATGAGTATGAGTTTCTGGGTTTATGGCACCGACATTGACACCGTCAAGGCCAACGATGGCGTCGTCACCGAACAGTGCATTGAAGATAAGACCAATAATCCCGGCAACACCGTGCTCAGCGAAAATATCCATGGAGTCATCGATCTTAAGCCAAAATTTAACTATATCGAATTAGCAAGTTCGAACTAATCGGAGAGAGAAAAGATTGGGGGAAAGACCTTGACCTACTTTTCGTGCAGTAGTTGGATACTAAACCAGTGACTACTCCCAGAATAACACTCGCCCAGAGAGGGATGAAGCCTGAGGCGGGAGTAGCAGCAACCAGACCAGAAATTGTACCGGAACACCAGCCAACCATCGTCCACTTCCCAGAAAGCCTCGAATCGAGAAGAACCCAAGTAATTGACGCAAACGCCGCCGTCAGGTTGGAGTTCCAGCATGCAATCACTGCACGAAGGTTGGCGCCAAAAGCAGAGCCGCCGTTAAACCCAAGCCATCCGAACCAAAGCAAGACTGTCCCTAACACGATCAGGGAGACGTTATGGGGGCGAAAATTGAGCATCATATGCTCATGACGGCGACCAAGGACCATAGAGTAGGCAAGGCCCGACATGCCGGATACGATCTCGACGGGGCCTCCACCAGCATAATCCATAACTCCATACTTGGCTGCCCATCCGTTGCTGTTCCACACCCAGCAGGTAACTGGGCAATATACAATAGTCGCCCAAAAGAAAACAAATACCATAGCCGGCAAGAGTCGACCGCGTTCGGCGACAGCGCCCATAATAATAGCCGCGGTAACAGCACAGAATTGCATCTAAAACAGGTTATCAGCATGGGAAATTTGAAAAAGTCACCGTGCCAGTCATGCGTTGGGTCTCCTCACCTGGTAGAATGCGAAAAGCAATCCGGGAATCAGAGCAGAGCCGGGGCTTGGATCGGCAAGGGTCTTCATAAGCCCAAAGTTCCGAAGGTTCCCAATGAAGCCGTTCGTCGCGGTGGGCGAAAATGCTAGGGAGTATCCCCAAAAGTACCACTGGAAGAAAACGACCGACATGGAACCCATACACGCCCAGATCAGGCTAAGGGCAGATTTTCGGCGGGCAAGACCGGAATAAAGGAAGGCGAGGCCAGGGATCATGACCATGACCATTGCCGAAGCAATGATAATGTAAGCCTGGTCGCCGGATTGAAACCATTTGTTGAGATTTTCAAATCCTGTTAGGATTATAATGTTAGCCACACGGGTCGACTCGAGGCTTTCAGAGGGGGGGGAACTCAGACAGGTAGCGACCTGTGTGTAGCCGGGGAAGGGAAGGAGGAAAATATTCAACTGACTTGAATCACCGCCCAGCACCGGGTCGGTGGCGAGTGAGAAGTTAGAAGGAGCACCGGTCCAGTTGTACGAAGCGTAGTCAGGAGCGTAGGGTGCCGACATCTTCTGGTCGTGCTACCCGAGGCCGCTTCACGCTTTATCTTTGTATCTTTTGTATACTGCCGTCTCTTTTCGTTGCTTGCAGAAACCACCAGCTATCTTATCTCGGCTAGTCAGACGATTTCCCTCCTCTTGGCCTGACGATAGACGAGATTGCAAGTTGTTCGAAGCTGCGCTCTCTGTGTTGCCTTGATCAGATAAAGGGGGTGGTTTGGCGTGAATTCTGTTCAGTTACCGGCAGGATGTCAATGGAAGAAAAGCGAGATGATCTGCAGCAAGGGCGTCAGCGAATCAAGGACACGGATTTTTAAAACAAATATATACAGTAGAAAGGAAGCATTTTGTTATTTCCCCCCCTGGTTCTTCACTATTAAGAACATACCAGTCGAGATAAAGCACCGGGAACTTTCCCTCAATGCGAGTATCAATGGGATCAACTGTCGTTCAGCAAAATACAGAGTTGCACCCCCCCCCCCCGAAAGGAAATTTTAGGGCAGAAAAAGCCGGTATAACCACTACAAGTAGAAGAACTTGAAGAAAGATATACAGAAGCACACTAGGAGAGAAAAGGAATGACTCCGGGAGCTTTGAGGGGAGAGTGGGCTTAGCTGTCCATACAAACAAGGAAAAAGGACAGGAAAAGCAAGATAAGAATGAAGAAGAGGAGAAGAAGAGGAGAAGAAGAGGAAAAGAAAGAGGGAGAGGAAAAGAAAGAGGAAAAGAAAGAGGGAGAGGAGCGAGAGATAGGCTATCAGCGTGTGCCCGACCAACAAGGAGCGATATCAGCCCCCCGAGCGGAGATGCGTTCGAGCAGCCCCGGAGGCAGTACCGCCATTTCCTGTCCGGGCAGATATGGTTTCCGGAAAACGGGATAACCAGGAGCCACACGCCACAGCGGTCCGTGCGTGTTCTCGTTCTCTGTGCGTGTGCGTGCGTGTGTTGTAGGTATTGACACGAGAACATTTTGTGAGAGACAGAGGGAGAGCTCCGATCTATTTTCGTCCCCGATGAAGACGCAGTAGATATATAATCAGGACCGATAGTTAGCATAAGAGAAATACATAAAACAACCCCCCCCCCCCCCCCCCCCCGCCGCGGTGAGAAGGGCACCTCAGCATGTACCGTAGTGCCCCCGAGATGCGAGGGTCAGAGCAGGCCGAATCAAACGCTTCTTCCTCGATACCGGAGAAGAGCACAGCAATCCTGAAAAGATGGAGACTTTTCCTCCTTTCCAGGGCCACCCTCCTCTGGCCAGATGAAGCCACTGGCTCCCAAGTCAGTCAGCCAGTCAAGTCTGATCGCTGTCTGAATCCAAGAAACAAGACAGACAGAACAGAGAGACAACTGGGGAAACGAGTTCTCCTCCATTGCCGTAGGACAAACATCATCATCCCCACGTCCCAAGGATTCATTGCAACCACTGAAATTCTAAGCTTGGTTATCACAATCTCAGCCCTATCAGTTCCTCTTTCGTGATGAAAATTGCAACACAAAAAAAAAACAACAACAGACTTCCCTGATCGCTATCAGGATCCTCCCCAGACCCACACACACAGAGAGAGAGAGAGAGCTAAGCTTTTCCTCGCTGGAGATGCAGGAGGGGCAACACGATTGGCCGATAAGAGCCCAGATAAACCCTTCTTCCGATATCCTCCAGAACTCAAACCCGGACAGAGAAGGGCCGGGAGGGCGTCGAGCTTACCGGGAAAAAACAGGCTTGATATGATAACGGGGCAAAAAAAAAGAAAAAGGGAAACAAGCTTCTTTCTTTTTTTTTAACTCTGGGGGGGGCGAACCTTCCCTTTCCCAGCGGTTACGGACGACTTCCGCGCCTCCTTATCTGGTTAACCGGAGATCCAGCTGACATGATTGGTCCGGAGCACGCGCACCGCCACAGATTAGTTACTTACATAAGGCAAGTCTTTATCTCGGCGGCGGAACGACAATCGACCCAATCAGGACGCCCGCCTTATCTTCAAGTACTGTCATCATGCTCAACTCTCTCTCCCTCTCTCACACACTCTCTCTGTGTCTCTCTCTGTGTGAGTGTGAGTGTGTGTGTGTGTGTTTGGGGGAAAAAAAAAAAATTGGGAGTCAACGTTGAGAAATACGGTCGAGGGACGTCTGCTGGTAGGACCGGCTTTGATCGTAGCATACTCTGAAAAAAAAAATAAATAAATAAATAAATAAAATAGATAGAAGCAATAGGAAAGCTGCCCTTACTTATACCACCATCGCCCTCGCCCTTGTACGCTCCTCCACGGACAGCTTGTCGGCCACATCCCCGCCGCTCTGCTCGATCTCTTCCCACTCCTCCTCTTCCAGCCCCATCACCATCGCAATCTGTGAGCAGCGTCCAAACGCCTCGCGGTGTCGATACCGGCTTCCCCCACCACCGCCATCCCCACTCACGTAGCCTTCCCCGATGTCCACCGCCGCCGAAATTATGCCCGTGACATCCCGTTCCAGTCGGGTGGCGCCCAGGGCATTCACGCGCCCGTGATACGACCATATCCTCTTCTCCAGCAGCCGCGCCAACGACGCGATCGACACCCCCAGCAACCGATCGAACGTTCGGCCGGTCAGGATCCGCGAGATCGGCACCAGAAGCTCCCGCCAGGAAGACGCAAAGCGGCGGCGGACCTCGCTCCGACTCGAAGAGCCGCCGTCGAGCTCCGCCGATCCCGCCTCCCCGTCGTCGAACTCACTGCCTACGCCTCCTCCTCCTCCATCGCCGCCGCTGCGTGGCTGATACTCAAGGTCGCGGAAGGCGTCCGCAAGGGTAGGCCGCAGCCTGGTTTTCACAACGTGGTTGAACACAACCTGAATTCCATCGCCGATGAGGTCTTGGGATTTCGATTCGAACGAAGAGGCGAGCGAGCGCAGTGTGCTCACCACCGTCTCTGCGTCATTGTTGAGCGGGAATAGCGTGGGGATCCTGCTCTCCGAAGCCCCATTCGCTGGGCCGCCAGAAACGGAGTCGGCTGCTGGATCCGATGGCTCTAAGATCTTCTTCACGATACGCTGGACATAGTCAATTGCAACGTCAAGGTTGTTGATGAGAACGAGGAATGAGACCACGACCGGCTCCGGAGGCGGTCCTCCAGGGACCACCGGCTTGGGGTAGGTTTCGTCATGCATCTTTCGTCGGATCATGCCGATGAAATCTGAACCTAGCACTCTCGCTATCGTCGGCACCACATTCGTTACAACCGACCTCTGACCGGTGGCCAGTGATTGCTCAAGGACTTTGTTCGCGATGTACATGATGTCGTCCACAGCAGAAGTTATGTGCGGCGGGTTCGACGTAGGAGGCCGGTGCAGGTTCAGAGTTAAATCCGACGGACTTTCGTCGAGCTGGAAAGCCTTCTCGACTGAGCGACGAAGAAAGAATGTTGTCATCGCATTAAATGGCGAGATAAGTCTTTCATTCACCTTCTGAGCGAGAGGAGATTCAAGCAGGAAGTTCGGGAGTAGGAACTCCTCCGAGTCATCATTCTGGAAAAAGAACCCACCATCAGCAAACAGGTCAACTTAGATATGATAATTTAAAAAATAAAATAAAATAAAATAAAATAAAAATAAAAAAGTAAAAGGAAGAGGAAAAGGAAAAAAAAAAGAAAGGCGCATTGGACAGGCTAGACTTACTCCACATTTATCAGCCAGAAAACGGCTGTACAGCGACCATCTTCCGAGCATGAGAGACATTTCATTAAGGATGCCGTCAATCTCCTTCATATCAACGCCCTCATCCTCGCTGGCCCTATTAGATGTGCCATCCCTGATCCCGGGTGAATTGGCTCGTTGAGGGCCACCGCCCCGCGGATTCGGTAAAAAGCTCTGAACCAAAAAGGTAAACGCATAAGATTTAATGTCGGTGAGTTTGCGATCAACATGTCGCTCTTCACTCCAAGTCTCCAGAATGATGCCACCCTGGACGTCGGCTTCCACCTGTAGCCGCTCAATGACCCTGGTCATCTTACCAGAGCCATAATGACGTTCGACCAGGCCACCATGGCCTTCAACAATCTGTGCGATGTGTTCAAATAGCTTAGTGAGCGCGTTGGCGTAGAAAAACCCGTCTTTGCTCTGGGCACCGCCGGTACCCGTATTTAAATTCGCACGCGCACGACTTGCGACGCCTTGGCACACATATCTTCCGTAAACGTCCAGGCCAACCGCGGACCTATCAATCAAAGGAAATAGTTTGAAAAAACGCGTAATCTTCGCACCATCATTCTCCTTGACAGCGCGATCAAACTCACGTAGAAATAGTCCGCACAACGACTCCGCCGCATTCTCCAATGTAACGGCAGGAGGGTCCGGAACTTCAGTCGTAGGTACAATGTCTGCAGCAAACGCGCCGTTGACGATCTCAGGAGGTATCTTCGATGCTCGATTCATGTATGAAGCGGCCATCTCCCAGTCCTGAGAGGCTCCCATCGACCCAGCGACACCGAGCACGCACGCTTTAAGCTCCGCCACCTGCTCGACCATTTCCAGTGTTGCCTTCACGCGCGACTGTTCTAGGTCGAGGCGTTGGACCGCGCTGGAGACTCGCTGGGCCGTGGCGGCAGTCTCCGAAAGCATGCCGTGGCTAATTGCTCGGGTATTGCCTGCCTGCGAACCGATATGTGCACGAAGCAAATCGAGGCGACCCAATTCGCGAGAGAAGTCCTTCTGAGATGCCACGAGGGCCTCGAGACGAGCCGTCACGGACGCTTCGCGATCATGGAGGGCGGAGAGGGTAGCCTTGATGTCGGCGACGGAACTGGCATTGAAAATGTCTGGTAAACTCTCGGCTTCCACGTCTTCATGATGATAAAGATCGCCATTGACCATTGTATCCGTCTGGTTCATTTTGTAAGTCGTGGGGGGATTGGGGTTGGGGAGAGCGAGTTGCCGTGCTCTGCTGGAAACTCAAGCGATTGTCAACAGCGGCATTTCGCATGAGTAGAGGAAAACGGCGCTTTTTTCCGAAGATTTACCGTGAGAAGGTCCCGTGACTGGGGTTATTAGTCGTCGGCGAGCGAGACAAAAAAGAGAAAGATACTCGGCCCTGTCGCCTGCGAATCGACGCTGTCAGGGATATTCGTGGATTTGTGCTTGACGATGCCAGTTTGAGCGCATGGAGTGTGGAGAGCAGGGGGTCGTCGTCTTGGCGTGGCTCAGGCAGACCACCAGTCGCCAATTGACATCGTTATGGGTCTTCTATATCTCCCGAAGGAGAGCAGGCCAATGTCGCGAATCCTTGTCATAGAAGTTCCTCTCTTTTCACAATTAGTAGTAAATCTAACGAATACCCTCTTTTGAATAGCTAATAGACCGTTTTTTTGATTTCCCCAGCTCCGCATTTCGGGAGCGTGCCATCGTGTTTTTTTTCCTCTACCGATCCCTCCCCCGCACGCAGCTAGGTGTATGCGTGTGATTCGCGTCACTCTATCGCGACGACGTGACGACAAAGGGCTTCCCTCGCGGGCCGTCGATACTGTCTGAGACGCCGGGGGTTTGGCGAAAAGAATCCCCGTCTAATCATGGGTAACGAAAGCTCTATTATGGTCGATGATGATGTCCGACCACAAGCACTTGAAAGCCGCACGCTCGAGGCTGTAGCCAAGTACATACATGAAAAGAATGCCAGGAAAATAGTCGTCATGGTAAGTCAATATATGCTTCTTCAGGAAATAAAATAGGACAGGAGCTCTGACGAGACGTATATATTTTATAGGTCGGGGCTGGGATCAGCACCGCCGCGGGAATACCGGACTTTCGCTCTCCGGATACTGGACTGTATGCCAATCTTGCTCGCCTTAATCTTCCTACTCCTGAGGCGGTATTCGATATTCAATACTTTCGCACCGATCCACGCCCCTTTTATGCCCTGACGAAGGAGATGCTTCCTGGAAAGTGCAAACCCACAATCACACACTCATTTATCAAGCTCCTTTACAACAAGGGGCGGCTTCTTAAACTATTCACACAGAACATTGATTGCTTAGAGCGGGAGGCTGGCATACCTAGTGAAATGATCGTTGAGGCCCATGGGACCTTCGCTACGCAGAGCTGCATCGAATGCAAAACGCCGTATCCAGGGGAACTGATGACAAAAGCGATGGAAGCGAATGATGTGCCTCTATGTCCTGAATGCATGAACCTGGTGAAACCAGATGTAGTGTTCTTTGGCGAGGCGCTCCCTTCCAGCTTCTTTCTGAACCGTACACTCCCGGCCGCCGCGGATCTATGCATCGTTATGGGGACAAGCTTGAGTGTGCAACCCTTTTCCAGTCTGCCCAGCTTATGTCGGGAGGGCATCCCTCGTCTTCTCATCAACCTGACTCAAGCTGGCGGTCTTGGATCTCGACCCGACGATGTTTTGCTTCTTGGCGAGTGCGACGATGGAGTGATGAAGCTAGCAGATGCCTTGGGCTGGCGGCAGGAACTGGAGGAGCTCTGGGCCACAGTAAATCCGGAAAAGGCGGCGGCCATCGCAAGCAAAGAGCAGAAATCTACCCCGATAACAAGAGACGACCAACTTCGAGAAGAGGTTGAGAAGTTGACTGAAGAAGTTGAGCATGCGCTAGATATCTCTCAGGCACATGAGGAACGTGTGCGAGCGCAGCTTCAAGAAATGAAGGCCAAGCAGGACCGGGGCGTTGAAGAACCTGAAGACGCACAATCAAGACAAGTGGGCAGTACATCGCCAGGTGAACCTGATGGCATCAAGCACGCGAATAACCCCACGCAGAACGGCGCTATCGCGGCGACCGAGCAGAATACTGCGGAACAGCAGCCGGAAAGATCGAAGCAAGATTCGTCGCTGTGATCCGCTGCTCACCGCGAACCACCCTCTCTACCAATCATTCTCTCCTACTTTTTTCCTCTCCCAACAAATTTTTTATAATTGGAGCTTACCTGACGCTGCGTGTTGCTTCTCTAGAGGCAGCCATAATGAGTTAACGAGCGTTCTGCTTTTGAATAAAATTTAAACAGGCCGATCCGTGTAGATGTTCGGCTCGACGAAACGACATAAAGGGAAGTTCAATCATTTTCGATTCTCCTTTTCGGGACGGAGTTTTGGAAATGATTTTATGCGGGACAGCCAGATGAATGTCTGGCAACGCATGTGAAAGCAGCTATTTTGGCATTAAATATTCGTAGGTAGACAATACTAATGGAATATCTTTGAGTCGATTTTTGTATTGAGTTTTGTAACTGTCAGGGGCGATTTGGGTCTGCCCCCTGGATGACGGTCTGGAGTCTGACGGGAGGGGGCTTTTTTCTTCCAGTGGATTAATCCCTCGTCATAGGCTCTAAGCAAGAACTAAGTTAAGCTGGTGCGGCGGATGAATGGATGGGTCGGTGAAAGTCGTACATTGGCAGTCATTCCCGGTTCCGATGACAATCATCCAGCACGCTGCCAATCGCCAGCGGATCGAGAAAATGTCGCGAAGACGGCGACGGACGAGGGGCGACAAGCCAGATCCAGATCCCCAGTCGACTCTCAGACGAAGGGGAGCCCCACCAACGCCCGCTGACCGACAAGATATTTATAGTTCGCCCAACTGAGTTTGAGCCCGCAGCCGCCAACCCAGCGCCATCCCCAAAGCCCGCCTCCTGCCCTGAAGTCTTCTTGCTCCCTTGTTCTCAGAATCGCCCAGATAATACGGAGTAGCTGTCGGTCAATTGCACAGTTGCGAGAGATCTCACACTCTCGACATCCGTTGATCTTTTTGCAAGTCATTTCATTTTCCTTGACTGCGGGGTCATCGCTTTCACAGTATCAGAAAGATTCAAGAATGACGGTCACCGCTCCTCGCCGAAGGCCGTCCCGGAAGGGTGAGCTTGTTCTTGCATGGTCTTCGACTTGTAGCACTTCGTGGGAACGGAAGCGTTGACGTTGCATGCAGGATCAATGGCCGATATGCCAAAGGACCTGCTCGAGCAGGTGAAGGAGCTCGAGGAGCTCTTCACAGTCGACCAGGCTCGGTTGAAGAAAATCGTGGACCACTTTGTAAAGGAGCTGGAGAAAGGTAACTGCTCTCTCTTTGGGAGATCTCCTGGAGTTCGGTAGTTGCTAACTTGCATTAAACAGGTCTCAGTGTACAGGGTGGAAACATCGTGCGTCTTCGTCCCTCCCTATTCCTCCTCTCACTTTTTTTTACTTGTCTCGACCATGACTAACGAAGACCGTCCTCCGTTACAGCCTATGAATGTCACTTGGGTTATGGGCTTTCCCACTGGCCATGAACACGGTACGTTCCTCGCGCTTGATATGGGCGGTACCAACCTCCGTGTTTGCGAGATCTTCCTTTGCGAGAAGAAGGGTGAATTCGACATCACTCAGTCCAAATATCGCATTCCCGAGGAGTTGAAGAGCGGCAATGCCGATGACCTCTGGGAATACATCGCCGATTGTGTTCAGCAGTTCATTGAATACCACCATGAGGAGGAAAATTTACCGGACCTACCCCTGGGCTTCACCTTCTCCTATCCCGCTACGCAGGAGTATATTGACCACGGTGTGTTACAACGATGGACCAAGGGCTTTGATATTGACGGCGTGGAGGGCGAGGATGTTGTGCCTATGTTAGAAGCGGCCCTTGCAAAGAGGGTATGGTCCCTTGACATACTCCGAAAAACGGAGAGAATCCTAATATTGCAGGTTGTTTGAACGGACGATTGATTAATTTGATTTGTAGGGTCTCCCGATCAAAGTCGCTGCCTTGATCAATGATACCACCGGAACTCTGATCGCCTCTGCTTACACTGATCCTGAGATGAGGATTGGCTGCATCTTCGGAACAGGAGTTAACGCGGCATACATGGAGAATGCGGGATCCATCCCAAAAATCGCTCATTACAACCTTCCCCCTGATATGCCCATCGCCATTAACTGTGAATATGGTGCCTTTGATAACGAGCGTGTGGTGCTTCCGTTGACTCAATATGACGTCGTGATTGACCGTGACTCCCCGCGGCCCGGGCAACAGGCCTTCGAAAAGATGACCGCCGGTCTGTATCTTGGCGAAATCTTCCGGCTGGTCCTTCTAGACCTTATTGACAACAAAGGCAATCTCATTTTCGAAGGCCAGGACGTCAGCAGCCTCCGGAAACCGTACTGCCTAGACTCTTCCTTCCTGGCGTACATCGAAGAAGATCCTTTCGAGAACTTGTCTGAAACCAGGGATCTTTTCGAGCGCACTCTTGGAATCAAGGCCACCAAGCCTGAGCTTGAGCTCTGCCGCCGCCTGGCAGAACTTGTTGGTACTCGCGCCGCACGCCTCTCCGCTTGCGGTGTCGCGGCCATTTGCAAAAAGAAGAATATCAAATCTTGCCATGTTGGAGCTGACGGTTCCGTCTTCAACAAATATCCCCATTTCAAGGCCCGTGGAGCCAAGGCACTTCGTGAGATCCTCGACTGGGCTGATGATGAGGAAGATAAGGTCATTATATGCTCTGCCGAGGACGGTTCTGGTGTTGGTGCCGCACTGATCGCAGCGCTGACGCTCGAGAGAGTTAAGCAGGGAAATCTAGCCGGTATTCGAAAGACAGACACGATGAAGAAGCTGCTGTGAATTTTTTTCCCTCTTTCCTTGTCGCTCGTTTTCTTTTGGTGTCGTTCATACAGCGGATATTATGATATCCCCATACATACAGAGGTTGGATTTGCTTCTTTAATTGGCTGATTTGGTGTTTACTTAGCTTGAAAGGCGCTATTGGCCCTTATAGAGTATTATTTTTCTGAAATATCACAACTATAGATCGCATATACCTCTAATAGAAGTTACGCAGGTATTCAAACATTTCCAAGAACTCCTCTTTTTTGTCCAGAAGTTCCCTGGATGGATCATGCAGCAAAATTTAAATGAACTCAAAACGAGTATCTGGGATGAATCGGGACTTTAGAATGTATGGATGTAAGAATTTGCCTAATTTGCGTTGTATCAGAATTTTATATCCTAGCCGTGAATCTCCCACAGCCGGATCTTCCCCTGCTCGTTCGCAACCGCTAGCATATCAGACGTCGGAGAAATTGCAACCGCAGAAATCCTGCCTAACGGTGTGCTTGATGTCGGCCAATTCCTGTAGACAGTGCAAGACGGAAGATGGACTGTACAACCCGTGTTAGCCTTCGCAAACTTCGAGTAAACGGAAGCGAGGGAAAAAAAAAAAAAAAAGAAGAAAGAAAGGTCCAACCCACCAAGCCTGAGAGCATCTTTCTTCCAGCGACTCGCCATGACAAGTAACTGCCCATCATTCGAGAACACCAAATGGCTCATCGGCGTCGTCAACTGATCCAACGTCCGCGTTGGCTTGGGTGTTTTCGGTACGCCGGATTGTGTGTCATCCGGCTCTCCAGCTGCTGTCTTTGACCTTGCCGGCGCTCTCGCTATATTCACCGCTTTCGCAGCCCCAGCAGCCCATGGTCTCCGATCGTATATATTTACGATACCACTAGAGCTCCCAATCGCTACCCACCGATCGCCACCGAGTTGCGGTTTGCCTGACTTTCCTCCCAGGCTTATCACCGTTGTTCCGACGGCGCCTTCGTCGACCCATCTAGCAACAATGCGGTTTTCCCTCCCGTCCCATTCGCTAACCTCTCCATTCTTTCCTACAACGCACAAGCCTTCACCATCGCTCCACCACGCAAAATCTGCCACACCACCGCGACTGTCAATGCGCACTTGGGCGACCCATTGCATGGTGCTCGCGTCAAGGATGGTGATAACACCCCCTCCTTTTCTTGTGCTTCCTATTAAGCCCATCCACCGTCCGCATGGGGACAGCTTGAACTGCTCCATGGATTTCTGCTCTTCTCTGCGATCTGCTGTACCGTTGACCTTTTCAACCTTTCCAGTATCTAAGTCCCAAACGTGGAAATAGCGGCGACGGCCGGAGAAGAAGATACGATTTCCACTTGGAGGCAGGAATGCACTGGTTCGGAGGGGGGTACGGCGGACGTGAAGGGAAGTGATGAGAGGATTTGGCGAGCTGGATTGCGGAGATACATGGTGAAGGAAGAGCGTTGACGCAGGGCCGGACGAGAGAAGCAGAGGATAGTGTGGGTGAAAAGTAAGAGAGTCGATGGTGGACTGAAATATTATTGTAATGGTTAGCGTTGACCACTGGGCCGCAAAGCTCTCAGAAAAAAAAACTCACAGGTTGGTTTCCCGGGACGTCTTTCAGTCGCTGAATTTCTAGGACTTCTTGGCGAAGTTTTCGTCTTGTGTTTGACTTCGTCTGCTCATCTCTCCTTGAGAGGCTGCCCACATTTTGTAGTAATCGCGCCAAAGGCTGCTGCGACATATCTTCTTCTACATCTGTATCCATCTCATCTGCACTGGCACCTGACCCATCGTCTGAACGGTCGGAATCATCTCCGGTTTTTCTTCTTTTTGCGGCTCTGCTTGTGGCCTTGCTTGCCCATTCTGGTGTAGGCTGTAGCCGCTCAAACTGCCTTCGGAGCCTTTTCGCATATTCTTTGCCGCTAACTAGATCTTCAGCCTCTGTCAATCGCAATTTTCGCATACGCTCGTTTGTAGCAAGCGAAACAGTAATGCGCTCATCGTCACTGTCTTCCCATGCAGCTGGGACGGTGTCGGCCTCGAGCAGATCGCCACCGGCTGCCGTGGTCTTTGCGAGAGCGGATGCAGAGGGCGGTTCAATTATGGGCGGCGCGTGGCCTGTGCCTGTATCTAGGACGAATAGCTAGAGCATTGGTTAACATAACATAGTTTCAAAGGTTTAAATCTCAAGTGACGAAAACCCGGGGGACTGAAAAGTCCGTTGCCATTCACAAATGGAGAAACTCACATCAGCATCGTCCAAACCTGCAAAGTAATCAATCGATTCATTGTCGTCATCATCTGCTGCCCTGTTGGCTTCTCCTTCAGCCTCTGAATCCTCCCGCAGAACCAAGTCTGTCGAGGTCGTCCTATGGTCTTTCAATGCACCACGGAAACCTTCGGAATCCCCAAAGAGCAGCTTTTCAAGCTGCTCTTCCGTCTCGTCTTTTGGTAAGATTTCTTCTTCGCTCGACTCGGACTCATCGTCATCATGAATGGGCCGCAAATATCGGCTTTGGACCTGCGCCTCGGAAGCCATTTTCAGATAATGGTTTGTCTGTCCGGCGGAGGGAATTCACTCCAGATAAAACCTGACAAAGAGCCGCAATATTATACGAAGGGCCTCGACTCCGGATTCATCGCTGGTTGTTTACTCCCAAGCTCATGCTGGCTATGCGCTCAACCCAAATTTTTGTATTATTTTCTGCTAGCCCAGACCGACAAAAGGAATAAAGTTTAGTGCTAGTCTTGGCTGAGATAACCCAGGGCAAAGGTGGCCAAGAGAAATCAACAATGGGATGGTATGCATGACGAGGAGTAAAGACATACGGGGAGGAGATATTACAAAACCCTTGGATCGAGGACAATAATGTTCTCTATTTCTAGGAGGCTGTCATGGCTGCTAAAGACGACAGGAGAAACAGCCTTAGATTATTATGTTAGATGTAGAGCATGTCACCGCGCATCGAGAAAACATCACCATGTATAGGCACAATAACTCCAGAGCAGGCTAAAGGAGACCGGGATCGAGGGATATTCAGAAGTAGGGGGAACGGACAGGAGAAAGACATTGCTGGCAAAGTTTAAAGTTATCATCCATGTTACGCTTTCACACCCAACGCCAAGTGGGTTTGTATCAAAATAGATCAACAAAAGATATCCGGGCAACAAACCCAAGAAACGGTGCTGCTTCTCAAGGATGCTTCTCACAGAATTTAAGATAGTAAAACGGGCAGCGCTATGACCGTTGGCGAGACAGACCGCCGTGGCCTGGCCTATTAGTACCAAGCGACTGTTTCGCCACGGCCTCGTCGTCAGAGAATACCACAGATTCTTCTTCATCAGACTCCTCGTCATCGTCTAACCCTGCGAGCAAGGCACTTTGATGATGCCGGTCTTCGTCGATAGAGGTAGTGTCAAAGCTGTGCGAGTCAACCTCGCGACCCCGATCCTCCGGGATAGCTCTCTTGATGAATATATCGATAATGTAGTACTGGACGGCATTCATGATCACCGGGAACAAGAGCATCACAAAAATGATTTGGACAGCGGTATTGCCTTCCGTCCATCTCAACGCCCAGTCTCCCAGTTCCACAATAAATGGCAACATGTGTATAATGACCACGACGCATGTTTTCATGCCCACTAAACCGAAGAAGTATATTACCGACTGCTTAAGCCACCATATGGCATTAGGAGGGTCACCGTAGTTGCCAGACTCAATAGACTCGGGAGGGTTTGCAAGAGGAGTGTATAAGGCGGCACGATTGAGGACACGGAGTATGAGAATAAGAACAGGAATACCAAGGGTAGTCTAAGGCAAAAAGTTAGATAGTCGGTTTAGTTTGCATTGTTCTGGTGTTCAGAATAAAACTGGTAAAGGGGATGCCTTTCACCGTCAGGGGATCACTCACGTCGATTCCTAGGTTCAAAAGGTAGTACGTGCAGGGGTTTGGTTCGTACGCAGCAGTCACTGGTATCTGGCCCGCTGAAAACATGGAGGCCAGCAGGTTTGCCAGATGAAGCAGAGCCGACCCGACGACCTGCTTGGATACATCAAAGGCCCAGACCTTCACCGGTCTCTGTGGCCTTTCCTTCCATCTCTTGTAAACCAATACTAGAATAGCCAAAGCTCCCAAGGCAGCTTGAACAAACAGAGAAAACGGTCCCAATAGTTCGCATTTACCGTTATTCTCACCTTCGCTCGACGCCCAGGTGGATGCCGCCGGCGGCGACGTCATGGTGATGCTGGATGAAGCTATAGCGGTCGTAGCGACCCTGCTGGCAAGGCTGGTTGCAAAGCTAGCCGCGGGACCAGCAGCTGTGGTCATTTTAGGCCATGCAGGGGCTGAAAGCTCGAGGATCGGGTCTTGTAGATTGTGTCGTAGCCTGGATTTGGTTGAGGCTGCTAAACAAAGAGCGGCAAGCCACTCAGTTCATAGTCAGGGGAGATGATCGCCGTTTTGCCCGCTGCTAGATTTGGCAGAGGCCAATATAGATGCCCATAATTGTCCTAGGGCTTTGAGCTTGAGGACGACGATGTCAGCGGAGGGAGAGAGAGTCAGTCACCTCTCTGGGAGGCGGGAAGGGGTGCGGTGAGAGCGGTTCATGGCCTGGCCCGCCGCGCCTCAAAGCTTGGTATTGCGTTGAATTCAGTACCGCTGCGTACCGTAACATTGATACCAGAGTTACAAGGTCGTTTCACATGTTTCGAATTATGTAATTCCGAGAGGCTTCGGTGGTGACGTTTGAGCGCGTTAGGCCAGGACACGGGCACCGGCAGTTTGCGGAAAAGAGCGATGAAGGACATGAGCCCAACGCGTGGGAGACTGTGGTCGCGCTACTCGTCGCTGGGTTGACATCAACGCTCACTGGTGGACGAAAACCGTCTCGCACACGCTTGCACCAGAGGCAGGAATCTGATACCCGAGAGAAACGGGGACATACTCGGGAGTCCCAAGACTCCACTGGCTGCTCTATTGATCCTTCGAGTTTATGCAGCCAGGAATGCTGGCCAGACATCCATCACGAACGAGCCGACCCGGTGCTGCTCCTTGCGCCTCCGCCTTCGATTCAGACCTTCATGAAATACAACACACTTTCTCTGCCTTTGCCCCAATTTTCCCTTTGGGTGGGATTCAATTTCGATCCTCTTCGGTCTTGCGAGGTGGATCTGGCGGTAAATCAAACGGGGGCGCAGGATTGAATCACTCCAAAAGGGCCCGACTTGCTCCTATGACCATTACAGCTTCCTTTACTCTATAGAAACGGGCTCTTTTGTACATATGTTTGGGGCTTGGACCACCCATCCGCTGCTACGCTTCAGGGCTGGCTCTATACGGTGAAGTAACGGATCAAAAATTACGCGCTGCAATCTGAGGCAGAAAATGGGAATTCCTAATCTGCTGTGTTATCACCCCGAACTCATTCGTCTCGAAATCCATTTTGCATGCGCCATAAATTAACTAGAACCACTCAGGTAAAGCCAGGAACTGGGGGCCCTATCATCCGGAGAGTGATGGACCATTCACACCAGAAGCAAAACTCCAATAGCCGTAGAGACCAGGTAGCGCTAGGTAACTCCGAAAGCGAACTTTTGCGACCGTTAGACAGGTGGTGACGGGTTGGGGGAAGGAAAAAAAAAAGGGGCTCTAGCTGAAGGAATAAAAAAGACTGTAGTGCAGGTTTATTCAATGCCGTGCTGCTGCTTTAGCTTTTCAAGATTCTCTTGTCGTGCTGCAAGGTCTTCTTTCGACTTTGCCATCTTTTCAGGCTGATGGTACAGGACTATACGAATCCGGACGGAGGTCAGATATGTTCACAACAGACAAACACCAAGTCCAAGAAACCGGCAACTGACCAACAAGGTATCGGTTCTGGAAATTGAACCCGTTCAATTTGTCGCAGGCCTGCTTGGCATCATGAACGTCCTCATATACCACAAATGCCGTGCCTTTTGAGTTCGCGGCAATGCCCTGGCGGATTTGTCTGCCAGATATCGTTAGTTTTAAATGTGCGAGGGCGGTCGGGAGATGCAACGCGGCATACCGGATAGGGCCGAACTTCCCAAAAAGATCAAATAGGTCGTCTGCGGTAACGTTGTAGCTAATAGAAAGACAAGTTGATTAGCAACCAGCGGCATAGGACTCGGGTAACGATGGGAGACGCGGAAACGAGGCGTTGGAGTGATCGCCACCGCGTACCTAAGGTTCTTGACGAAGAGGATCCTAAGCAGCGTCAAGATTAGCATCGCACCAAGCACTGTGGGGGCTGCAAGTGAAGGGATAGGCCGGGATAGCGGGGTGGCAGGGCCTTAGGAGCAAAGAACCGAAGAGAGAGGGTGTTGGGGCAAAGGGCATACCTGTTGGCTTCCGGGGCGAGTTTGGTGCTACGGCTCATAGCTCTGTAGTCTGAGGTGCAGAGGTTGGCTTGTTTCAAATACCGCGCGTATAAGAACTTCGAGAAGATGGAGGACGAGATCGAGGGACCGCCACGGGATCTGCTTGATGCAAGGAGAATGTCCACTGCTGCCTCTTAGCGCCCACGTGACCGGACTCTTATTTTGGACTGCCCTGGTCCAAGCACGAGACTTACCGCAATCTGAGCGCAACGGGACGGCCTCAGGTAGTGATAGTGAGTGATGGAAGCAGGAAAGTTGGAGGGAGGATGATGGAGAGAGAGAGAGAGAGAAGAGAGAGAGAGAGAAGAGAGAGAGAGAGAAGAGAGAGCAAACGGGATTGTTCACAGGCCTTTATGTATAGGCAGCCCGCGCCGAGCTGCCATGTTTTGATTGGCACGATCAATGCAGCCACAGCAAGCACCATCTTCTAGAGCAGATTTTCAAGGGTGCCTTTCCAGGGCTGGGATGACGTCCAGTGGCCGATATAACTACATAGTCTGGAAGACAGGTGACGAAAGTAGATTTCATCCGCTCACACTTCCCAGAACAAGCATTATGGATGCTAGAGGCGTGTCCAAGCATGCTCTCTATCCCATAGCCTGTTTGAAACCCTCTGCGGGCCTCAATGATATGTGTCTCTTGAGATGCGGGATAAAATTAGGAGCTGTGTGCCTTGTAAAACCGGGGGAGGAGAAGGCCATGCGGTCTTAACGCGCAGCTTCAGTACGAAGGCTTAAGAATCGTCATGTTTTCGGCTCCAGACTTCTAGCTTCTTATGTTTGCTCCTCAATTCCCTTTCAGCTTCGTGAAGCTAGCACCCCCGACCATCCATTGACGGTGTGTGTTGATGCTCCCGCTGCCCGTCACTGCGCTGGCCCGTCTCCATCTGGTGATGTATTGGCAAAACCGTATTATTACCGCACCTGCCCACGGATTAGTAACCTGATTCGTTCTCCCAATACCAGAACAGCGAACGGGAGGCCTTTTGCAGAGGTCCCTTCATCGTCGTTCGGTCTTCCTCTCCATAATAATCACCAAGACAGTTGGTTGTGATCCCAATCCCTGGTTGTTGCTCTCGCTTCTGCCGCAAGTACCGAGTCCATCAAGTGTATAGCCCCGAGAACGCGTTGCCTTGTGTGCATGGTGGTTTACCGCTCGACTCCGCACCACAGCGGCTCGCCCTGCACAACTGAGCAAGCGACAGTCCTCCTTCGCCTTCTTCATCGTCGGCCGTCTAAACCATCCACCTTTCCCGAAAGACTCCCTTCTCTACCATCCGCTTACATCCACGTCCGTTGCTCGCCCCTCTTGATCAGGGATGACTTGCCGCGTCCCTACCACCGCCTCAAGATAGCGAAGTTCGCGCTCCCTACGTTCTGTTTCCCCACCTTTCCGCGAGAACTCGAACAGAATCTTCGCCTCCGCCTTCCTCCATTTCCTCGAAACGCATAGCCATCCTTTGCCATGGCCGCCTCTATGTCGTTTCGCAGGCCCTCCAATAGCCGACCTCCTCAGTACCGTACTCCTTCCCCGCCGAGATACGCTGTCGAGCCTCTCTCCCCCCACGCATCCGCCGCCAGCTATCGCCCGCCGTGGGATATCGGTGCGAGCGGCTCTGAAAAGGTGCCAACGCCTTTACAACATTGCCAGCCACAAGCAGCGAATAACTTTGACGCCTCTCGGGGGAACAACAGCCATCCAGACCCCCCTGCTGAGACCAAATCTCTCGGCAGATTGGGGCATTCAAGAACCGGCTCGAATATCGACACGCTAGCCACCATTGCTCTCGCCACGAGGGCTAGATTTGGACCGCTGACCTACAGTTCTGCTCCCGACAATGAGTCAAGAGAGAGACCTTCGAAACGAGCAAGGTCGGAGCGGTCACCATCGCCAGCCTGGCAAACATTTGGTGCTAGGCCCGCGACCAGCCATACTTCGTCCTTTGATAGCATGAAGACTGACGCAGAGCTCCTTCTAAACTTCGCAAGGCCGGCTAACTTCCCCCCACGACAGCCGATCCAACCGGCCCCTCAATTCCACAACAGTGGGCCGGAGGCTAGCAACATGGAGTCGAAGTGGAATATACCACCCCCCACCGTCCCTGACGAGTCGTTCAATATCTCAAGCAACAAAGTCTCTGCAGCATTTTTCGGTGGCTCGGGTGCCTTGGCTCGAGTACGATCCAGGTCCGATGGCGCGGCGGCCCTTTCCCGACCTACGATTAACGGATACAACTCTGGGTCTCCCAAAGGGCCACCGCCGATGGGTCCGGTTCTGGAAGATGAGTCAAACGGCCCGGAAGAGCAAGGAGAGCGAGCTACTGTGACTGTTGAAGAGAAGGCCGAATCACGTCCACCAAAACGGGGCCCGAAGTCCAAAGGTCGCCGTCGCCAGTCAGACACTGCCGTGAAAAGCGAAGACGCTGACAGTGACTCGTCAAACCAAACAAATTGCGCTGCATGCAGTTTAGTCCGAGTGCCTATGAACAATGGCGATGATGCCGAAGTTACTTGGGTCAACTGTGACGGCTGTAATAGGTGGTTCCACATTGTTTGTGCCGGATTCAAAAACGACCGTGAAATTCGGACCGTGGATAAGTTCATATGCAAAGAATGCCGACCGGTACATGGGCCGACAACTTTTGTGCGCAAGTCTTCGCGACCAAAAACATCTATTGACTACGCTGGGCTGAATCAAGGTTTCGTAAAGCCGTCAACAGAAGCCCCAGATCACCATTATATTCAGCCCATTAAAGCGGGGAAGATGACATTTTTGCCTGATCATTTCGCTCGCCTCCCTGCGGAATTCGTGACTGCAGAATATTTCGAACATGGTATAGGGATGCCAGAGCCTGTCGTTATTCCCGCTCATCTAAATCCTCGTACTCCTGCCTCTGCACTTGGCTTGGAAAATTACTGTCCACAGTTCAAAGAAGCGTCAAGTCAAGAAGAATTCGATGCCATTATCGATAGTCTTCCCAACGACGACGATAGTGAAGAAGTGATCGATTGTTGCCAGGATCTTCTCGATATGGTCATCCCAAATAACCTCACGGTTCGAACGGTGGGTGAACTTTACGGCCTGGATGAGCGAGTAGAGGTTATCGATGTCAAATCTCAGCAGGGCGAAGATAAGAGATGGAACATGCGAAAATGGGTGGACTATTACCATGACAGCAGCGCATCGAAGACTGTCAGAAACGTTATCAGCCTTGAGGTGTCGCAGAGTCCCCTCGGAAAACTAATCCGTCGCCCCAAGATAGTTCGTGACCTGGATCTACAAGATGCGGTTTGGCCCAATGAACTGAAAGAAATTGGCGACTACCCGAAAGTGCAGTTCTACTGTTTAATGTCCGTGGCAGATTGTTACACCGACTTCCACGTGGACTTTGGGGGATCGTCGGTTTACTATCATATCATTAAGGGGAAGAAAACATTTTTCTTTATCCCTCCCAAGGAAAAGCATCTAAAAAAATATGAGGAATGGTGCAATTCTACCGCACAAGATACCACCTTTCTTGCAGACCAGACCAAAGAATGCTATCGCGTTGACTTGTCAGAAGGTGATACCATGCTTATCCCATCTGGTTGGATCCATGCGGTATGGACGCCGGAAGATAGTCTCGTCATCGGTGGTAACTTTCTCACCAGAATGAACTATGGAATGCAAATCAAGATTGCGCAGATCGAAAAGGATACGAAAGTTCCAAGAAAGTTCCGGTACCCTTTCTTCCAGAAGATTATGTGGTACACCGCGTTTAAGTATCTCGACGAAGACCCCGTTCCTCAAAACGTACTGGATTCTTTTGCTAGGGATGAAAACTACCGATTTTATCGCGAATATCCCCTCTATTACCAATTTGGAGAACACGCAAGTAAAGCAGAAACAGGCTCAGATTATTACAACTCCCGTTTTTATTCGCAAGCGGAACTCGACGGTCTCCCGGACCTCGCCAAATACTTATTGAGAACTGCTCTAATTGCAGGTGGATATATGGTGGATGGCGTAACGAAGGAAACAAGAAATGCCGTGAGTCGATCCATCCCAAAGGGCCAAGGCGATCCTATCGAGACGGTCGTAAAATTTGGAATATGGGTTGCATGGAAGAGGGGTAATGAGCCTGCTGCTCAGTGGACTCGCCCAGGAGCAATATCTCTTGATGCGAAGGTCGATATTTCTGATAAAAGACGAACGGCACGTCCGACTAGGCGTTCGGAAAGGAATGCCAGCAATGGTACCCGCCGAGCTAGCATGGCTTCAGAAACATCCAAGCCGATGCAGGGTCAGAATCTGGACGATAGAGTATCAATCGCCCCATCCACTTCGAATAAAGGCAGTCCGACTCCGGCAAAGCGAAAAGTGTCGTTCCCGGACATCAAACTCGAGCAGGACAGTATGCCAAAACCGGTCTCCAAGGGTACTAACCTTGGTCCAAAAAGAGTGGCCTGTGACGCATGTCGAAAGCGCCGTATTCGTTGTCGCCATAAAGCTGAACATAACGGCGATGTGGTTTCAGGCAACCAACATATAAGTTTCCAATCAAACGGCGAACAGGTTCGAAGAGCCTCGGAGATTCTTCCGAATAGTACTATCAACACATCAACTGACGAGGATATTTCGATTAACTATGCGGAGTCGGCCCAGGGTAGCGCTTCTGGTCCGGTGCCACCAGAGACGACCCTTAATTATTCAGCTGGGGCCAGTGGAAACAGCCCAAACTCCTCAAATTCTGCTAAAAAAGGGAGAAACAAGGCTTGTGATGAGTGCAGAAAGAGCAAGGTTTTTATTCCCTATCATTATCCCAAAATTTACCTCAGTACCATTCTAACATTTGTTAGCGCCGTTGCATCCATGATGAATCCGGAAAGGTGGATCCTGTTAAAGCCCAAGAACGAGCAAAACCGCGAACCGGAATTACAAAGCGTCCACGTTCCAGCGATGGTTACTCGTCAGTATCCAAAAGGCCCAGACTCAGCCAGAGTATACACGAGCGCCCAGAGAAAGGTGAAGAATTCGGCGCTGTGCCTACGGTGGCTTCTCACCTGAATCTGGAGCGAATAGATAACCCAGCTGACCACATACATCCGAGACACGAGTTGAGCAACGCGTCAGAACCGGCGACAAATGGAAAGGCTCAGGATAAAGGGTTGTATACATCTCCAGCTGTGAACACTGAACTAGATGGGCCATCTCGTCCTGAAGGCGAGCTAAGACCTGCTCCACCTACTGACAGCCTTGTGTCGCCACCAACGTCCCTTCTTGATGGCCGTGACGAGATCGTCAACAATCCAGAGCAAACCTTGCCTATTGTGAATGATAACGCTAAGGAATACCCAGTTGATGTTAACACTCCGGCTTCGACGTCGCCCAAAACACCCCACCCAACGGTACGGGAAATTTCTCCTCCACGCCGAGAAGAGTATGAAAGCCTGAAAGTTGCTGTACCAGATTCAGCGAAAGATCAAGTCATTTCAACGCCAGTGATCACTTCAAAACCCACAAAGCCATCTTCTCGACCGTCCTCCTCACATAAATCGAAGCAATTCATGGCCAAGGAAGTCAAACAAGCCCATCCTGCAGCTGAGAGAAAGGGATCTCCGAGCCATATGCGGCACAATGCAAGCCTTACATCCCCGCAAAATCAGTTTAGACCGGGCAAACGTGATCGTGTCAGTTTCGCCGAGATTAACGCAGACGAGGAGAGTCTAAAGCTAATCAAAGAATTACAAGAACAAGAGTTCGGACTCCGTAAACGGTCGACGAGGGCCTAAATTTCGATATTTTTCCTTCTGACCCTTTTCGCCTCTTTTATCGGTTGCCATATTTAAAGCGTGTTTCAGGGGATATTTGCACGGGACATTTCAGTTTACTGTTGATTTCACGGAGTACCAGGTTCTTTTTTTCGGTCGTTTCTTCCTCTCTTTCCCTTTTCCTTCGTGTACGAAGTACTTACTTTCTTATTTCTTTTAAAGGTTGAGGCGACATAATTATGGGCGGTATTCTTGTTTCCTTCATCAAGGCTGGAATTGTGTCATCGAACCAGCTTGTGTTTTCCTGTTTTGCGGTATTTCGACAAAGCGCATTTTTAATATTCGGGCGTTTGGGCTTCGCAGGTTTACCATGGTTGAGGCCTGGGCGCTCTTAATTCGGGTCTGAGATTATCTGGCAGTCTTTTGATTTTTCTTTGCGTTGTATCACCTCGCCAGTGCTGGGAGACCTAGTAGGAAAGATCGTTCTCTACTGCTCCTAGTTTTCCTTTTCTTTTTCTTATATCTTTATTCTCTGTCTTTCGACAGTTGAAGCCTACCCGACAAGCATGTCTTAACATCTGTCCTCTATTGTCAAATCAGAGAACTGTGTAGCTCCTGTTAGCGAATAATCAGTCTTCGATATGTTCAAAAATTTTGAAATTTACTCGAAGGCAATTTAAAATCACAAGTCATCACTGGGAAATATAATCTTCCGTTGGAAAGTGCTTTGTGCAGACTACCATTTTTATAATGATTACACCTTGATAGGAAAAGGGTCAGACAAACGTGACAAGGCCATAAACAGAGTGAAACCATCATGATGAATACGAGAAAATATGCAATCTGGTCTTTTCCACCCGAGCTCCTGTAGGCATCGCTGGGTTCAACAAGGAATAAATAGGGCACGAAACAACACCAGCACATCTTAACCTCCCACTAGCAACAGTTGAAAAGAAAAGTCATACACGGTTTGTTTAAATTATTGGTGAAACACATAGTTAAGCAAAGCACAATAAGAAGAGGGGGAGGGAAACAAAAAGAATTATCGAAGCAATAGAATAACACAGTCCTGCGATACCATACCCGAGAGGTCGCTCAATCATGATGTCGACTAAAACGAGCCGAACGGCGCATTTGAACTAGCCTCGTGCATAAGGATGGAAGCCCCGATGAACACCTCGTCCTCCACCGCGATAATTTGCCCCAGGTTTCCCCGCATTTCGTGGACCTGTTGGAGCATTTGCTGGGGGGGAGCTTTGGGGTTGTGGTGTCGGAATCTTTTGTGGCTGCTTAGGTGCAAGTCCTGGGCTTGGGGACATTCCACCACGGCCAGCTGGTTGCCCGCGTCCCATTCCCGCCTGGGGTCCAGTTGGGATGTTCGGCTGCTCCTCGTACCCATTGTCCCAATTGCCGGTAGTTCCTTGCTGATATCCACCGTAATTGCGTGGGTCTATAACACGACGCACTTGTTGCTGCTGCTCGTACTTCTGCTGTTCGAACGCGAGCTGCTCCTGGGCGTTGTATCCTGGACCTCCTCTTGGCCCACTGAAGTTCCCTCCTCCCATTGCGCCAGGACCACTGGTCATGCCCTGATTCATATTTCCAGGTTTAGCGCCAGACATCTGACCTCCCATTCCAGGCCCACCGTACCCAGGTCCACCTTGAGGTTGATTTTGCATCTGTTGCATTTGCTGTAATTGTTGCATTTGTTGCATTTGTTGCATCTGTTGCATCATCATTGGGTTCATCATCCCCTGCATTCCTTGTGGAACTGCGCCTTGAGCTGGCTGGTTCATGGCTGCTCCTTGTGGTTGGCCCCCGGCCATGGGATTCATTTGCTGCATTTGCTTCAACTGTTGCATTTGCTGCGCCATGGCAGGATTCATTCCACCCATTGCAGCAGCCCCAGCCATCCCCTGGCCCTGTGCTGCCGCAAGCGCCATTTGCTGTTGCATCATAGCAAAATACTGCTGCATACGTTGCCAATACTGAGCCATCATTTGAGGTGTCATGGTATTGGCAAGATTAGTCTGGCCTTGCGCACCCTGCTGTGAAACGTCCGTCGACCCCGACTTTTCGTCTTTGAACCGATCGCCTTGAAAGCCTCGAGCACGCAACCTGCGGTCATCCTCATCTCTCAGGTTCCCCCGAGGCTGCGCCTTCTTCACTTCAATCGGCTTGCCGAGAATTTCTAATGGTTGGGAGAGGCACGCTTCGACAGCGGCTTCGCTATCAAAGGTCACGAAACCAAAACCTCGAGGACGGCCCGTATCCTTATCGATCATAAGAGTCGCATCCACAACTCGCCCAAACTGCATAAAAAACTTCTTGAAGTCTTGTTCGTTTGCGTCTTGGCTAACTCCACCGACAAATATTTTGCTGGTTCTTTCCTGTTCATCTCGGGGAATGGCTCGCTTGGGATCAATCTGCCATCAACGTAAGTCTTGGCTTCTGAGCGTAACGGCACCATGACAAGCTATAACTTACTATCTTGCCATCTAAATAGTGTTCTTTAACCATTACCGTATTCACAGTCTTGGGGTCTTTAAATGTGAGAAAGCCAAAGCCTCTTGATCGACCAGTAGCGCCGTCACGCATTACTGTACATTCTTGAACTTCACCAAACTGCGAAAAGTAGTCCTTAAGAGATTCTAGAACTAGAGTTAGTGCACGATTAAAGACTATTTAGATATATCGGTGTACATACGATCAGTGGTTTCCCAATTGAGGCCTCCGATAAACATTTTGCTATGAAACTTGTCAGCAAGGAACCGCCATCAAATTCCCTAAATCATGTACACAGATAAGTGAAGGTAGGCATGTGGGTGGTTGGTTTCCAAACACCAGAAGGACTGGGCACTTTGAGAGGCGCGACTCGTGGTAGACTCATAGCAGACTCGTGTGTGGTTCGTTGGCTAGCCCGGATTTCCGTTGCAGTCGAGGACGAAGAGAAGCTGTGGCTTCACCATCAGGTCGTAATTATACAAAGCATGATCGACGATATTGCCGGTCATCCTCGATGTGTTGAGAACCGCCCGTTAGAGCTATCTTAAACCATTTTCCTTCCTGCCACGCATGATATCGACATCCATTTGCAGGGCGAAGCTAAGGAATTTACTGCGGACGCAGACGAGGCTGAGGTTCTCATGGCTCCCTTGGGTAATCGGTACTGCACATGTATAGGGAATTGGGATTGAATCTCCGGAGTTCAAAATAGAGACATATTTGATTTTCTTTTGTTTCTGCCCGATCATCCTGTCTGCTCTCTCTAAGACTCCGAAGCTAGGTAATGTTCGATTGTCCACATTGAGAGCCGAAGTCCCTGAACTTCTTGCTCTGGTCTATCAAGGTATATCGACAGGAGTTATATAGTATCTGTTGTACTATAGTCGCTTTCAAAGCGGATCGCGCAAGACTAATGTCCGTCACTCAAATCATATCGACAACCCGTGCATACAGGTTCGAATCAATTTCCGTTGACATCATTTGTTATGCTATCAACTTGCTTTCCCGACCGTCCCATGAATGACTGCTGGTCCCATGCAACCCATCCAATCTTCTGAATCCACACGCCTGCACGGAGAACCACACAATCGACCAGGCGAGTCCCCCTGCAGCCGTAATATAGCTGCATACGGAAGCATCAAAGCCTTTTCATATGCACAAATGGCGCCCGCATCTCAACTTGAAGATGACAGCTGAAAGCGTAAAGCGGAAGAGTCGTGGTGCTTAAACGGTGCGATAAAAAAGAACCGCAGACAAACAGTTGAGTGATTTCGTTTCCGCTCACTGTATCAAGATTTTGAACCGGCAGCAAACCCCGATAGGAGGTCTGAAAAAAGTTGACGCCAATCAAAGCTTTTCCCACCCAGAGCCCTGTGCAACCACTTGTCCGTGCCTGATCCTTCAAAGGTCCCAACCATCCAGAGAGAAAGAAATTGTACAATGTCAATAGAAACTTACCCATCTTCTTTGATCCCAGTGCCTTGGGGTTCTGGTTGCTGTGGGCTTATTGAGCTTGAAGCATCACCCTGCATCGCACCTTGTTGTGGCATGCCATTTTGTTCACTGTAATTGGATGGCTGCTCATAAGCGGCCATGTTCACAGAGCCTGCATCCAATTGTTCTGTACTTGAAGCTTGTGGTGGTAGGACTGGGGCAGTCTGTGGCTGTGCTTGGCTTGCTGGAGGTGGTGCTGACAATGCAGCCGGAGCTGAGGGAGCTGCTGCTTGAACAGGCTCATCAGCATCATACCTAAGCAACGTACCGGTCAGCGAAAAGCCACTATGAGCATATAGGCATTCGGCAGAGGAACAGGGGTTTGAGAGGCCGAGAACTCACAAATCAGCGAAAAGATCTTCTTCGACATCTTCTGGCTCAGTCATTGTCGCAAATTGGTATCTCAATATGTCTCTTGGGTATATTTAGTGTAAATCTTGCAATTCCAAGCTTTTCAAGCTAGTTCACGGGCTGCAGACGAGGTTAATGATGGCAGGAAGATGAGAGATCGCGGTGTTGGGAATGAGAGGAGAGAAGGCGAGGTTGAAAGAAAGAGTGCTCGAGAGGGCTTGGCGGCAACAGGTGCTGGGCGGTCATGCACTAAACCCAATTAGTCAACTCCCACCTCCGTCATCGCCTACATGACTGAGAGAAGACATCTTTGAGGGCGTTCTGAGGGTGTTTCAATTGTGATACATTTTGTTTGTCAAGTAGCCTTGGTATAGGCTTTAATCTACACCTAAAAAATGTCTAAAAGGGGCCAAATTCAGAAAGAATCGCAGCAGCAGGTATTTGTGAATGCCTCTGTTCCTCAAGGCATTGCTAACATTTATAACATGAAAGGAGATGGTTCAGGTCGGTCCGTGCCTCACATTAAATAATGGAGTAGACAGTGCATTGAGTATTTATGCTGTCAAGATTTCTACCGGAGTCCCTAGCTAATACAAACATACTACCCATTCTCTATAGATCAGATCGAGTATGGTAATTTCCTAGCAACTGGTGTTGAGACCGTTTGGCTGAATTCGAAGTAGCAGGACTGGTCCTCCATTCTGGGGAAGCCAATCTTCATCGCAGCGACAGAGTCCGAATAGAATATTTGACCCAAATACTGTGGTGGGAGCATCGTACTCACATGCAGACTTATTAAAGTTGGTATATTGCTGCTGAATGGTTTGATTCTAAACCCTGGACTAATTGTTCTGTTGCTGGATGGCAGGACTATATCGCCCCATTCAAGGTCGCACACACCTTCTAGATCCCCAATACCAACTCGAAACCCTCGTAATGCGAGCGATTCCAAGTTAGCGAATTCCAATATAACATCGCCACGCCAGCCGTATCGCAATTTACTCCCGCAAGCAGGCGAACTTTGGAACGCTCATCGAGAGCATGACGACGACGATGACGGCGATAATGAGGATGAACTTGCGTATGATGACGACGAAGATGAGTTCGGGCTCCCAAGCGTTACAAGTCTACGAAAGTCAAAATTCCAAGGCTTGCGCCGGACGCAAGCTACCGAAAGTAGTTTCGAGAGTCAGAGCGGCAGTCACGCAAACGGTTCGTCGGTGTTGGTACCCGATCTCGGCGGTATGCGCCTCCGAGCGAATAGTTCAGACATTGCAGAAGAACGGGGAACTCTGGCATATCCAAATGCAAAATCCACTGAGGGGAAGATTCTAAGGCCGCAATACAAAGAAATATTAAATGGTGAGAACATTTCTGATCCAAGGTGACACTTAAACATTCTAACACCAGCAATAAGATCCGGCAAATTCCCTCCATTTAATAAATCATTCACCGCCACCATCTGGCGCGACTCCCAAACAATTGGAAGCGCATTCAGCTCGAATAAGTCGAATTAACAAATTTAAACGCATCCTTCAATCCAGCACGGTCTCTTTACCTGAGCTTCGGGATCTGGCATGGTCAGGTATCCCTGAAGAGGTTCGAGCAATGACTTGGCAGCTTCTCCTGGGCTATTTACCAACAAATAGTGAGCGCAGAGTTACAACTTTGGAAAGAAAGCGAAAAGAGTATTTGGATGGTGTCCAGCAAGCTTTTGAGCGCGGCCATTCTACTCGAAACACCTCATCTTCAATACCACCTCCTGGAACTGGCCGCGGTTTGGACGAAGCGATATGGCATCAAATTAGCATTGACATACCCCGAACGAATCCGCACATTCCTTTATACGGCTTTGAAGCCACTCAGCGTTCGCTGGAAAGAATATTGTATGTTTGGGCCATAAGGCATCCAGCTAGTGGATATGTCCAAGGTATAAATGACCTTGTTACACCGTTCTGGCAGGTGTTTCTGAGTTCGTATGTTACGGATTTTGATATCGAGGAGGGTATGGACCCCGGCCAGTTGCCAAAGCAGGTTCTCAATGCTGTCGAGGCTGATTCTTTCTGGTGTTTGACGAAACTTCTGGATGGCATACAAGACAACTATATATATGCCCAACCAGGCATTCATCGGCAGGTAAATGCGTTGCACGACCTCACCAGGCGCATTGATGCCACACTTGCAAAGCACCTGGAGAAAGAGGGCATTGAGTTTATGCAATTCAGCTTTCGGTGGATGAATTGCTTACTGATGAGGGAAATCAGCATCAAAAACACCATTAGAATGTGGGATACATATATGGTATGATATCCCTCAGGTATTTGCTTGATTTAGCTAATTCCATTCAGGCCGAGGAGCAAGGTTTCTCTCGTTTCCACCTTTATGTTTGCGCAGCGTTTTTAGTAAAGTGGTCTGACCAGTTGCTCAAAATGGACTTCCAGGTTTGCTATGCGATCCAATCATAAGAATAATTGGCTAATCGTTATTTTAGGAAATTATGATGTTCTTGCAGGCGTTGCCGACACGCGATTGGACCGAAAAGGACATTGAGCTGCTCTTGAGCGAAGCGTTCATCTGGCAGAGCCTGTTCCAGAATTCTAGTGCACACCTTCGATCGGGAACGGCGAGCACCGCGAGTACGGGATAATAGAAATGAAAGGCAAGACCACGAATAAAAGCCGTCGTGTCATTGCCTTTCATTGACCACAGACGCACTCAGTTGAAATGGATACCCCTCTGGTTGAATGACCATAGAAGTTTTAGAAAATCACCTTCATCACACATTCTTGCTCGCTTATCTGCAAGCCCTGTATCGTCTTCGAGTACTTGTCGAACCTTTTTGCGAACCAGTTTCGCTACTTTCCCGTGTTTCTTGGTCGGTTTTGTTTTGGGGACTTGTGTCGTTGGATCTGGCTTATCTTTGAAGAAGTCTGGAATGTCGCCTTCATCATCGACATCCATAAGCTCGTCAAAGCCATCATTCTCTTGACCATACTCTATGTCCATACCTTCGTCTTCGACGTCATCGTCCGGTCCGACCTCGACAGGAATGTCATTCTGCGCACACCAAGTTGTGTAATTGCTTTCTAGCATACTCAAAACGCTTGATGTACCAAGAAAGCTTGATCGAAGTGTCTTATTCTTCCTTACAAACGCGATTCGCAGCAAGCCATCCCATTCGTCGTAGCTAATATCCGGTCGTGGAGTTTTCGGAACAATTCGAACAACGCTTGACTCAACAGCCGGGGGGGGCTTGAAGTTATTCTTCCCAACTTTCATGATATGGTCGATTTTAGCCCACATCTGGGCGTTGACGGACAATCGACTGTAAAGCTTATCCCCAGGTTTCGCGAATAGGCGCATTGCGAATTCTCGCTGAAACATGAGAATGCAGACCCGAGGCGCGGGCGTGGTTGCAAGGAGCTTAAAGGTGAGGGGAGAAGATATCTAGTCGATGTTAGCAGGGACAAATCCACCAGTTTGATCAACCGCATAGCTCTACCTGATACGGAGTGTTGCTAATGCAAACGTCAAAATATGGTAGATCGGTCTTTATCACATCTCCAAGTAAAACCTCCAATCGTTTCTGCTCTGGTTTTCCTTGGACTCGCTTCGTAACCTCTGCCGCCATTCTAGGGTCCAACTCCACTGCGATAACCTTCTTAGCTTTTTCTAAGATCTTAACCGTAAGATTTCCGGATCCAGGACCGACTTCCAGGACGACCTGTTCATTAGAACATTCAAGTCAGAACCAGAATTGAATAAACTAATATTAACAAAGAGGACTTCATACGTCACTCTGCTTTAAGTCGGCTTTGTCGACTATGGCCTGGGCAACACCTGGATTCTTTAGAACGTGCTGACCGATATCAGTATTCATACGAAATATGCTGTTCGCAGCGCTTGTTTTGGCTGCAGCTTGGGCATAAGGGCCAGCCTTAGAGGCGCCATTACGCTTTTTGTGTGACGCCTTTGGCATACTGATTTGACCACAAACACGCTCGTAGACAAGGACGGAGTGATCAAGCAAGCGCGTGGAGATCCTCCCTCTTATCAGAATTTTGTGGGAATTTTGGGTGGATTATGTAAGGAACATAATCGGCATTACATTAACGCGAAACCGAAATTCTGCCACACATGCTTAGTAATGTACTTAATTGGCGGTGAAAACGAGAGCTGCGAAAGGTTGATATTCGCCTTCACGACTGAAGACTTCCCGTCCTTCGATGTGCCAATTTGCAGTTGTGAAGCAAAATGTCCGGGCGTAAAGATTTTCTCAGCCAGCCTGCCCCAGAAAATTATGTTGCGGGTCTAGGTCGAGGTGCGACCGGTTTTACGACTCGCTCCGATCTTGGTCCCGCAAGAGAAGGACCAACACCGGAGCAGATCCAGGAAGCTCTTGCGAAGCGTGCTGCGCTTCTAGGGACAGCACCTCCTACAGCCTATGGTGCTTCCGCGAGAGGCGAGAAGGGCGGTGCAAAGCAAAGGGAAGAAGAAGACGATGACGATGAACGATTCCAAGATCCTGAAAATGAAGTTGGGCTCTTCGCGTACGGACAATATGATCGAGAAGACGACGAGGCGGACCAGATTTACCAGCAGGTAGATGAGAGGATGGAGAAGAGGCGAAAACTACGAAGGTTAGCAGCCCGTCTTGTTTCAATCCTTAGCCCCGATTCCCTTTTTTTAGACCATTGTTTATCTTGTCTTCGTCAAGATTTTGAACAGATTACCGATATGACGTCCTTTTCGCCTTATCTCTAGGGAAGCTCGAGAACGTCAAGAACGAGAGGAATACGAACAAAACAATCCTAAAATTCAACAGCAATTTGCCGATTTGAAGCGGTCGCTAGCCACGGTCACGGATGAGGACTGGGCGAACATTCCAGAAGTCGGAGACCTTACTGGCAAGAATAGACGAGCTCGTCAAAATTTACGGCAAAGATTCTACGCTGTGCCAGATAGCGTGATTGCAAGCGCCAGAGACTCGGCGGAGTTCACGACCACGGTTGCCGAGGACGGTACACAAACGTCGATTCGAAGTGGAGAAGGTGGTGATGGGACAATAACCAATTTTGCAGACATTGGCGCTGCCAGAGATAAAGTGCTCCAGGCTAGATTGGATCGAGCTGCGCAAAGCTCTACGGGCGACGCTGCGTCTGGAAATGCCACGAATATCGATCCGAAAGGATATTTGACGAGCTTGTCAAAGTCCGAATTAAAAGCCGGGGAAGTCGAGATTGGAGATATTAAACGGGTAAGGGTACTTTTAGAGTCTGTTACCAAAACCAACCCCCGCCATGCGCCTGGCTGGATCGCCCTTGCGCGGCTGGAAGAAATCGCCGGAAAGATCGTGGCGGCGAGAAACTATATTGCAAAAGGATGCGAATTATGCCCAAAAAGCGAAGACGTGTGGTTGGAGAATATTAGAATGAATGACAACCATAATGCAAAAATCATTGCGGCAAATGCGATCAAACACAATGATCGTTCAACCCGACTTTGGATTGAGGCAATGAAGCTTGAATCAGATCCCCGGGCGAAGAAGAACGTACTTCGACAGGCCATTTTGCACATTCCTCAATCCGTTGCTATTTGGAAAGAGGCAGTGAATCTTGAGGAGGATCCTGCTGATGCTCGCCTGTTGCTTGCTAAAGCAACCGAGATGATACCCCTTTCGGTAGAGTTATGGTTGGCTTTAGCCCGTCTTGAAACCCCTGAAAATGCGCAGAAAGTGCTGAACGCAGCACGAAAAGCGGTTCCTACTAGTCATGAAGTGTGGATAGCGGCTGCACGGTTACAGGAGCAGATGGGAACAGCAAATAAGGTCAACGTTATGAAGAGAGCTGTTCAGGCGCTTGCCCGAGAGTCTGCAATGCCAAAGAGAGAAGAGTGGATTGGAGAGGCTGAGAACTGTGAAGAAGAGGGAGCAGTCCTTACGTGTGGTGCAATTATCCGCGAGACTTTGGGTTGGGGTCTGGACGAGGATGATGACAGAAAGGACATCTGGATGGAAGATGCAAAATCAAGTATTTCCAGGGGCAAATATGAAACAGCTCGGGCGATTTATGCTTACGCACTCAGAGTATTCGTCAACAGGAAGTCCATATGGCTAGCTGCAGCAGACCTAGAACGTGCTCATGGCACAAAAGAGAGTCTCTGGCAGCTACTTGAAAGCGCGGTTGAAGCTTGCCCCCAAAGTGAAGTTCTATGGATGCAACTTGCAAAGGAGAAATGGCAGGCTGGAGAAATTGACAATGCTCGGCGAGTGCTTGCCAAGGCCTTTAACCAGAACCCCAACAACGAGGATATTTGGCTTGCAGCTGTGAAGCTAGAAGCGGATGCTAAACAAACAGATCAAGCCAGAGAGCTTCTTGCTACCGCACGTCGTGAAGCTGGAACTGACCGTGTTTGGATTAAAAGCGTGGCGTTTGAGCGTCAATTGGGAAATTCAGACACTGCCCTTGATCTCGTCAACCAAGGTTTGCAGCTGTACCCGAAAGCAGACAAACTTTGGATGATGAAGGGTCAGATCTACGAAGTGGAAAAGAGGTACCCGCAGGCACGGGAAGCTTATGGAACAGGTACAAGAGCGTGTCCGAAATCAGTACCACTCTGGCTTCTTGCATCGCGACTTGAAGAGAAACTCGGTGTTGTCGTGAAAGCACGATCCATCCTCGATCGTGCTCGGCTCGCAGTACCGAAGAACGCTGAGCTATGGACCGAAAGTGTCCGCGTCGAACGAAGAGCGAATAACATTAGCCAGGCTAAGGTACTCATGGCGAAGGGCCTTCAAGAAGTTCCGACTTCTGGTCTTCTTTGGAGTGAAAGCATTTGGCACTTAGAACCTCGTACTCACCGGAAGCCTCGAAGCCTCGAGGCAATCAAGAAAGTTGATAACGATCCGATTCTCTTTGTGACTGTTGCCCGTATATTTTGGGGCGAACGAAGACTAGAAAAAGCAATGACTTGGTTTGAGAAGGCAATTGTAGCGAATAGTGACTTGGGAGATGTTTGGGCCTGGTACTATAAGTTCCTTTTGCAACATGGTACAGACGTAAGTGCATTTTGGTTTCCCTCGCATTTCCCAAAATCATCTCTAACAGCAATATCGTTACAGGAGAAACGTGAGGATGTTGTAAGCAAGTGCACAGCAAGTGACCCAAAGCATGGGGAAGTTTGGCAATCTATTGCAAAAGATCCATCCAATGCGTATAAATCCACCGAAGAGATTCTCAAACTCACCGCCGAGCGTTTGAATTAGCAGCAATTAACAGATTCAGGGCTGGCTATTTTCTTTTTCTCTTTCAGTGTTTTATAGGGATTCAGGTCCGCGGCGATGGCGTTGATAGGAAGAACGGCGCTTTTGGTTTAATACCTTAGGGCATAAAGGCGATCGATATGATTCTAGGGTCTGTCTCATACAACTTGGGGAGCCAGCTTTGCGACTCGCTGAAGATACGCATCGTATTTATCCAAACGGTATCAAGATCATCATAAATTAACTCTTATTTAACAATAACATAACACTCCAGTGGTTATTGGAATGATAAATCGGATCTGCTCTAAAGAAAGCTCCAATAAAAATAATACCTCGAATCCGGGTAAGAGTATATGATACAAGAAAAGAAAAAAATCCACTAAAATTCACCTTGAGTGCACGCTGAATTAAGGTCGCAAAGTGATAAGAACCCCCTTCGTTGAAAACTCCAGGCCCAAACCCAACCCAAGGGAATATTGTAAGCAAAAGCTGTGGAAAAATAAGAGACCACCATCCAGTATACGCCAGCAGCATGCATCGTTTACCAACACCGATTTTGAAAGTCCAAACATACGAGAAAAAAGGGGGCAATCAGGTATTCAGGCTGCCATGCTAAGGCATTCATCAAGGACGGAATTCAGCTGATCTCGGTCCGCAGGAGTCGCGCCTTGCCAGTCCCAGCCGGCATCATCGATCTCCATCTCGTCTATATCAAACATGTCTTCTGGTACTTCGTGATCTTCATCCTCGATTTCCACGATGTAATCGTCACGTTCTGCCTCAAGCTCTCCTTCTAGGTAACCGTCCATGATTTGGCTGACAATGAGCGGCATGTGGCCCAATAAGTCACCTCCAAGTCCCAGTGTAAACTTCAAATCTTGGACACCAAGGGGCTTCCTTGTGCTAGCTTCTTTCGCTTCAACGGGTAATAGGCCATTGGCAGTATTCTTTACTAACTCTCCGCGAGCAAAGGCAAGTTCTTCCTTCTCCAGCTGCTGGCGGTATCTTCTCGTCATTGTGCCGTTGATGGTTCCTGATGGTCCATTCGATCTTGTTCGCGCAAACACGTGCGAAAGGAATTCCTTGACAAAGTTTTCAGTCGCGATGGACATGAAAACTGCACAGGGAAACGAAGCCCCGTTTGTTATGGACTCTTCATAGCATATTGGCACCATGCGCGCGTGGATAGACTCAGCGTCTGGGAATTCGCCTATTTCAGAAGCAAGTGGCTGGGCATATCGTTTTCGGATTTCAAGCTCCCAGTCTGTGAACGTAAGATGAATCGTTAGTCGGGGCCTCACCATAACTATAATAACGTAGAGAAAGACTCACTTGGCGTATTCAGGCCTCCTGCACTGGAAGGGACTTGATCCACTATACGTATCTGCTTCGCAAGGTGGTATTCCTCGAGTGGGTTAGGTATCGAGTGGGGATCCGGCTATCGAGCAAAGTGATGTGTTAGCCCGACTCTCACAAACTGAACCAAAAAAAAAAAAAAAAATCTCCCACTCCCATCTTCATCTCTGTTGGCTATGACTTACTTCCGGTATGGCTTTTAATCTCCTCCTATCCTTGGGCTGCAGCTGCATAACCTCCGTTTTAAGTCGCTGTTCAGCGGCATCACCCGACGCGGGTTTCGAGACCACCGTCGGTTTGTCATTTGCAGAAACCCAACTTGCAACTCCATGATCAGGAAGGTCCCTTGTGAGATTCCCGATTATCGAGCATATGAAGTTATTGTGCAAATGCTCCAGCTTGGCATCAGCGCACAGGAAGTGGTCAACACGTCTCGAGAACTCATGTTGGTTTAAGTGCCCTATAGATACCCAGCGGGTTAGCTTATCATGCCACAGCATCATTGTTGTAATTTTTTGTCCAAAACACACCTAGTAAGAAGAGAGTTATGGCCTGCTTGTACTCGACCCAATGGTCTCCTACTGCTAACTTCAGGTCCGTATATATAGGCTCAAAATCGAGACGGGGGACGGATATCAGCGCTTTTGTAGTCTTTTGGGTAGTCGCTTGCGAAGAACTGGGCGGTTTTGCCGATGGGACTGACGCTGAGGCAGAGTCTGACCCCGTCAGCGCAGCTGGATTGATCTGCATTGCCAAAGAGGAGAAGGCAGCGGCGCCTGGGCTGCGCGAGGCCAGAAATCACTGAACTACACCCTCATTTACAATAGAAGAAGCCAATAGATCCCTTGGATGGTAAATGGAATGATAGATTATCATGAGTTGAGGATGAATTTCGATGAGTGGCGATGGAGTTCTGATGGTTCGGTTATTTAGTGGGAGCGATGTGGTGAAGCAGCGTCCGGCTTTTTTGGCTTTTTGAGATGAGAGCGCTCCATGGACACTGGTATAACTCCGGCAATGCTTGAACCACAGCACATTTACTCCCGGCAATTTTTACTCCGTATTCTATTGGCATTTCATTCATCCCGAAGGAAACAGCCTACTTTGTTACCAAATATGTACGGTACATATGAAGTATATACGTACTGAGTACTCCGTACATAGTTTCTCGTTGCAGCTAATGAAGGGCAATAATATCTTCATTTACAACACCAAATAGCCTACTCACTTCATCTATAACCGCCATGATTTCGTTTCGGAGCTGACCAGTCACTAGTACTGCAATACGAGATGGGTAAGCTTGCCACGAGCCCAATGACTAAGGGAAAAGGACAGCACGTACCATAAGCATACAATAACGCGTAGTCTTCGTCGGTTGTTAAGCGGGAAGCGGATTCATCTTTACGATAATGATGTAGTCGCGCTAATAGTCTATCTCTCGAGTGGTCTATATCCGGCGGCGCATCGTAGAGTTGATATCCCAGTTTCATTGACGATGCCAGAACTATAAATGTCCGACGTCAGTAACTGTCTTTGACCGATACAATCACCTTTACATACTCGCAAGTAAATGAGTAATTCTTGCTGACAATTGCCTTCTATCCTGCAACGTGTGCCTTAGCATGGCCGCTTCGCCTTCGGACGCCGTTAAATTTTTCATAATCTCGAGGTTCAGAGCCTGAAATGCATCTAGCATACGTCTGGTTCGGGAGAGAAGCGTTCCATAGGATGCATTTGGAAAGGGTCGCTTGAGGGAGAATTCAGAATTGGCCGCAGTTCGAAGCGTGTCTAGACGAGCTAGGAACCGCTGCAATTCGAGTTTCTCTTTCGTGGTGTAGTATGCAATGGCCGAGCCTCCTTGAGTCATCGTTGAAAGAGGATCTCTCTTCCAAATGATGCTCATCCTAAGCCATAGCAAGCTGAGGCCATCCTTTAATTTTCTTCGAGCACTTATAGGCCAAATAATCCTCGTAATAAAGATACCCCAAACGATCCCTGATGAAACGGCCACCACCCGATGGAGTGCAATATCTGCGACCAAAGGACTCTCTCCGCCTTCATCTTGGTCATTATTGCTATCCTGCAGTGACAGGGAGTAGGAGTAAAGAACCACCAGGTTGTATGTAAGCATGATGAAGCGGCCCATTGGCCCGCGTCCTTGGCCGATGATGATGTACGCTGTCCATAAGGACATTGCCCAGCCCAGAAACGCCAGCCCGAATACATTGGCATGGGCTACATACCAAGCTGCCAGTGCACAAAATGCTCCCAGGCAAGTACCAAAGAATCTGGCATATCCCGTTGTATTCGATGCGCCGATAGTCATAGAACAGACGAACATGTAGGAAAGGAGTCCCCATTCTCCACGCCAGTGAGAATATATAGGGCGTGTAGAGTGTAAAAAAGCGGGAAGAGCATAGAGTGCTGCTCCAGCGCCCACTTTGATCGCAAACTTTGTCTCATCACGTCGAAATAATCTCAGGGCTTTCCACAACCTATATCGGAGATTTTCATTGGGCCCAGATGTGCCAGTAGGGCTAACACTCATCAATTTTGGATCTATGGAAGAGATTGGAATGCCTAAAATGCTAATCAACACTTTGAAAAACCTTATGATCATTGCTTCAGGCTTTTGATTGCTTACTAGGGTCCGTCATATCATCGTCACCATTGGTCTTCGGTCTTGGCCGCCACGGCATTAACCACGTCCATGATCGACCACCAGGCCTTTCCTCCACTTCTAGCTGCAGTTCGTCTAGTATATCAAGAAAATCCTTCAGTTCTTCGGCAAACTCTTGCAATGAAAAACTGAAATGACCACAGCTCGCTGCCACTTCCTCAAGATCAGCTTCCACTTCTGCGGACTTGACCCTAATGAAATCTTTTTGCATATAGATGGCGTTCAAGGCGTCGTTTCGAGAAGTGCGGTATAAGTCTAGAGCGCGATCCAAACTAATACGGAATTTGCTGTTAATGGCGATTTTGAAATCTGGAGCCGGGCCATAAGGTAGCTCTCCTAGGATCTCTCTCAGAGTGTAGGCCAACGACTTCTGTTGAACAGCATCAATAAAAGTTATAAAATAAGCCAAAATAGGGACTATACCTACCATTGATGGGCCAAGGTGAAAGATAAAATTTTCAAATATATCTGCTGGAGAATTGGGGCCAGTATTTGTGCCGGAGTCCATGCGAGTCAGGGCTGGAGTGCTATGGCCTGCATTCTCAGTGATGCCTTCGCTTGGGCTTGGGTAATCCCTTATCGTAGACGTGGGCGAGAAGATCGATGGTAGCACCTCATCAGCCCGGGGCGTCGAACTGCCCTTTTGAATACCTGTGGAATGGATTGGGCCATACGATTGTTTCAGCAAGCCAAATTGAAGCGCGGCAGCACTTCGGAGGCCACCAATATTTTGAGCCAGATCCTGGATACACAAGGCAAGTTTCTTCTCCAGGCGATATTCGTTTCCCGTGCCTGCCACATAGTGTTCAAACTTGGATTCTTTAAGCAGCTTATCGATATCGCTAGAGGAACCGTTGTACCGCTCAAACACATCTCGGAATTCATCCTGTTCCAATAGCTCTTCTGACCCTTCTAGAAAGCTTTCGGTAATGACATTTAGCATATCAGAAAGTGAGTCGGTCGCCTCGATTAAAGCCTGTCGGAGTTTGGTCCTAGCGGAAATAGGGAATATAATAAAACACACGGCCATGGTGGCAAAGATACCCATGAGAAGCATCTTCAGGACTTGGGATATTTTGACAAATGAGATATCCCCTCGCTGCACAGCTCCTTCTTTTGTTAAGACGGTAACTATGGCGAGTGAAGCTAGGGAGCATCCAACATTCACCAACGGATCGCCCATTTTCTGTTTAACCCATCCGACAAGCCCCAGCCCTCCTCCACAGAATACAAAGACGACTATAGCATGGCCAAGTGGGAGAAATTGGACTGCGTCCTCAAAGAACACGGAAACACCCATGCTCATGATAGATATGAGGAGGGCATACATGAATGCTACAGAAGCGCACACAAGAGCATAGAGCATGCTTCCCCTTGTCCTGGCAGGGTGGAAGTAGACGGTAATTGTGGCCACCGTATGTTTTCCATCTTGCTGGCCAAGCAAAGCGGCTATCGGGGGAACAAATGTCGCAAGAGTTCCGAGAAGGTAAGCTAGACTACATTTAAGTACGCCCCTGCCTGTCTCGGAAGCAAAGAATGCAAGAATACTTGCTTTCGCATCGTTGACACGGCGAAGCCACTTGGTGTTGGAAATGCGAGAGGGCCGCTCATTCTGGGGCAGTAGCGGAGTTTGATCGTCGGGGGAGTCTAAAATCGCATCTAGGGAATCCGTGCCTCTAACACGTTGGCCAGTTCGGGGGATTATAACAGTGGCTTGCCGTAGCTATTGTTTTCATGATATTTAGAATAAACACTGTTGTGGATCAAGGTCACTGCAAGCTCAGAACAAACATACCTGGGGCCGTCGAAGTCGGGGTCGCCACGCGGGCTGGGTTGTTGATGACGAGGGCATGGTTGCCCGTCACGGTATAATTGCCATGGCATAAAAGAAGTTTTAACATGCGCTACTCTGTACAAGCTCCAACAATGCGTTGTCGTTTGACTCTCCTCCGAGCTGGAGAGTTGCAAGCAGCTGACGAGCTGGAGATGACGTAAGGAACTTCACGCCAAAACTCTGGTTCTGCCAAGCCGCTGCTTGTTACAAAATAACTAAGTTTCTATTAACTGACTACGGAGTACTCCGTAGTTAACTAAGTTTCTGTTAACTGACTAGTTAATAGACCATATTGGGGCTAATTCACATTGCTCATGATTGCTTACATTCACGATGATGCCGGGGTTCAGGGGCCACTGCACCAGAGATTGCTGCAGCATTGCCAGAGCTTGAGAGATATTATATATTACAGTGATTGACAATTCTAACTTGAATATGTCGGAGTTCATCAAATTTGAAGAGTCCCTAGCTGGCTCAGACAACCTCTGAACAAAAGCCGCACTTTATTCTTCGTTGGATACCGTGAGCTTGAGCTGGTTTCAATTCTTTTTCGGGTTCTGTTTACTCCGTAGAGTATTTTCAAATCAAATTTTGTTTCCGTTATGCGTTCTCGGTTGAGGGCAAAAAACAATCAACACACGGCAGAACAACAATATCACCCGAAGCGCACCCAGTTACGTACCATATCTAGAGAGGGTAAGATTATACTGAGGATAAGGGCAATGACAATAAAAGCCAGACTGGCGCCTCGAGGGTATTGGGTCTCATTTTGCCTGGAAGATGAGTTGTCTTCGACATCATCTTTGCTGATACTGACGCTGCCCGCCTCCTTTTCCTGGTCCGGCTCCTCCTCTGGCGCTGATTGTACTGGACTGGATGAAGATTCATCGCTTGTCAACACCCAATTGCGCTGCTCCTTCTTAAAATCAAGAGTAAAAGTCGCGTCGCTCGTTGCGCCGGAGTGTTTGGCGCCGGCCAAGGCGCTTCCTTTGATTCGTAGCGAACACAGAAGTTGACACTTGCCAGACTATTGTCGCCACGGCAATACCCAAGATTACAGATGAGTTCCACGGCCTGGATAAGGTATCGTGGTATGGTTCTGCCTTTTTCATGACCAATGGTGGCTTCCAATCCTCGTGGGGCAAGGCCTACAAGTACATTCCATTGAAGATGACATTTCTTCTCTCCATCCTCGTCCTAGAGCTCGGTAGCCTGATCTGCGCTGTGGCACCGAACTCTACAACCCTGATTGCTGGCCGCGCGATCTCCGGCCTTGGGGCTGCGGGAATCGGAACTGGTGCCTATACCATCATCGCTTTTGTCGCCGAACCCCGGAAGCGGGCCATGTTTACTGGTATTATTGGAGAGTCTTACGGTTTTGCTTCCGTTGCAGAGCCCCTTATCGGTGGTGTCCTTTCCCGACAAGGTGTCGTGGCGTTGGTGTTTCTACATCAACCTTCCTATCGGTGGTGTCTCGGCCCTCATAATCTTGCTCCTCTTTCATGCCCCATATAGCGCAAAGCCAGTCCCAGCGAGCTGGAAGGAGAAGCTATTGCAGATGGATATCGTCGGTATAGCCATGATTATGGGCGCTGTTGTGACCTACATTCTTGCTTTGCAATATGGTGGTCAAAGCAAGGCATGGAATAGCGCCCAAGTCATCGGTCTTTTGGTTGCCTTTGTTGTCATCCTAATCGTGTTCTGCGTGTGGGAGCGCTTTCAAAGAGAGCGGGCCATGGTGATCCCACGTCTATTCAAGCAGCGCACAGTCGGGATAAGCTGCATTTGTACCTTTTTCTTCAGTGGCTCGTACTTTCTGGTCATCTATTACCTACCCGTCTATTCCCAGAGCGTTGAGAACTCCAGCCCGGCCATGTCGGATGGGAAAAACCTGCCACTCATAATGGCCGTCACGTTGGCAATGATCTCTTCGGGCGTCATGATCTCTGCGACAGGCCTCGTCTCCCAGACCAAGGTTGTTGGCTCTATCATTTCCATTATTGCATCCGGTCTACTCTACACCCTTGACGTCGATACCAGTACGGATAAATGGATTGGGTACCAAATCCTGGGTGGCATTGGTTGGGGCATAGCGTTCCAAGTTCCTATTATTGTAGGCCAGAGCGTTGCAGATCCCAAGGATATGTCATCTGTAACCGCTAATAACTCCCAGCCCTAAAGTGAAATCTAGCTCCAAGTCCCTTTTTTCATTTTTTATGAATGCTGGTGGTACGTCGTTCGTCTCGGCCGGACAATCGGCTTTCGTTAACAAGCTTATCGCTACTATCCCCGCCACCGCTCCCGGTATTAACCCAGCTACCGTGGTGGCCACAGGTGCCACACAAATTCGGACTACCTTTCCCGCAAATAATGTCCCCGGCATTGTGTTAGCGTACATGGCCGGTATCAAGGTGGCCCTGGCGATGTCGATTGGCGGGGCAGGCGCCGCATTCATTACCAGCTTGTTCAGTGACTGGAAAAGGCTCAACAAAAAGGCTATGCAGGATGCCAACGGCGCAGTTTGAGGCCATATACTTCTCGATAACTGTATTAATATTAACCAAGATGGTGGCTCCTGGATCGGTGCAAAATGATTCGGAAAAGACTTTATTAAGGCATGGACTACTTTGGGTGATGGATTTGGTGAAATCAGTTAAAGACAGGGCCCCAAATTTCGTCTGTGTCCGTATCCATCCTAACTAGACATGTTCCGGCCTCTTCATACTCAGCGGCTACGGTCTAGGTATATCATCGAGTCTCGCATCGTCTTCTAAAGCGATGCGATAGCAAACTCCAAAGGAACCGCAGCAATTTAAGGCTATAATTGAGGGAATGGTTCTCGTGAGGAAGCAAACATAGTACGAGACCATTAAACAAGATTTTAGAATAAAAGACCTTCGATCCGAAAAGAAATCAACACCAGTAAATCAGTAACATCGGTGTTGAGAAATCTGCTATTGGGGTTGGCCAAGCTTCTCTCTACCTTACGCATTAAACCAGGTTAATTAGTTACCTCAGGAATGGTCCATATGAATCTCAATCAGCACCAAAATAGGCTGGAAGGTGGTTTCCATTATATTATCTATCCGGGCGTTTGCCCCGAGGATATCATTTCAACGAAGAGGAAAAAAAATAAAAAATAAATAAACATACTTGCGATACCAACGGCAGCACGGAGTAACTAGTCAGTCAACGCCATTTAAAATTCCACTTGCCAGATCTTCACCGCACCGTCAGCACCGGCGGAGGCCACCTTCGAATCATCCGCAATCCACGCTACCGCATTAACACCCTCTTTGTGAGCGTTCGGTGCCTCTAGCCAGTCTCCAGGGCGTTCCAAGCTCCACACAAAAATATTTGTGTCAAGAGCCCCGCTAACCAATTGTGTTCCTTTGGAGTTCCAGGCCAGGGAAGCGACACGGCCGGTATGAGCTGTCCAGCGGTCTGTGACAACCGTCCCGTCTGCGGCTTTGAAAACCACGATGCGACCTCTTGAATCTCCGGCAGCCAAGAGTGAGCCATCCGGGCTAAACGCCATGGCGGTAATGGGGTTCCTTGACACTCGGCCGTTCGCTTTTGGCTCCAGGCCGGTTGGCGTGACGGTGTAGATCTGGACCGAAGAGTCTTCGGCCCCTAGAGCAGCGGTTGTTCCAACAGCAGCAATAGTGCTTAATGAAGCCTTTGAGAGAAACTCTCCGGTTTTCTTTCCGTCTTGGAATATCTCAACTGCTTGGAAATTGGCAACGAGCACCGTATTTTCTCCTGCAGCAATTCCTTTTGGCTGGCTCGACAGTTTAGTCGCATTGCCGACATAGCTGTGTGATGATATATCCACAGAGCGGATTGTATCATCCCAGCCTACACTATAAATGCGGCCACCTCCTTGCCTGGCCGCTGCGAGGCCGGCAACGTATCCGGGATGTCCTTCACCGCCGACGCGTTCCATTTCGCTACCCCCAACGTCCCAGCTACAGAGTCTACCATCGTAGCTTCCAGTCCAGAGAGTTTCTTTGGGGCCGGTATCATCCCGAGCAATAGATGTAATGTTCTTTTGATGGCCATGGATTACCCGCGTTGGCTCCTGTTGCCCTTCAACCAGATAGTTCAGGTCTCCTGAGAGAGACAAACTTATTATCAACCCATCGCTTCTTCCACTTGGCCAAACAACGCCAACCTGTTGGTATGGAACGGTCGCAGGACCTTGCTCCGGACCAAGCTGCCAATTCTGCACAACTTTCTGGGTCTCAACATCCCAAATCTTCACTGTTCGGTCTGCACTGGCCGTCACAAATTTTCGTGAATCATGCGACCAGGACACAGCAAATATACTTCCTTTATGCTCTCCTTCCCCAATCTGAAGCTTTGGTTCACCAGTCTTGCCATCATAGAGCCAGATCCGACGGTCTCCACTAACGCTGATCAAGTTATCCCCATTAGGGCTAAAAGCCACACCGTAGATGTAGTTGCTGTGGTTGTCTCGATGGCCGGTGTGATATTTGAAAGGGGCTCCATGGTAGAATACAAGCGTCTTGTCGTCTCCGGCCGCGGCAGCCCGAAGGGGTCTCTGTTGGCGAATAGAAACGGAATTGATGCTCTGGCTGTGACCGGTAATCTCACCAACGGTATTCCCACTATCTGCGCTGATACAATGACCGTATCTCTGCTTTCCGTCGCCAACGGCAATTATCCTCTGCGAATCCCCGTCCCAAGCGAGGTCATTGATTCTTCCGCTCACGATGAAGTATTCGCCTTTCGTGATTCCTTCCCCTACGCAGTCCCACACCCGTACGGTCCCGGCTGCGTCGCCGCTGGCAACGTAGTATCCGGAAGGAGAGAACCGTGCGACGGTTGTGTCGGCCCTGTGCTCAGTATACTGGGTTGCGAATGCGGGGTTGTCTATAGAGCGGAGGAAGACCGACTTGTTTGACTGCAAGAAAAGGTGAGATAATGTCCGAATTAATAACTGAAACAGCATAGACACAAAGATTTGGACTTTACTTACAGCGTAGGCGAGCCTCTCACCTTTTGGGTCAGCAGCAAGCTGTGTTGGCTGGCCTCGCGTGGTGGAGGGGCTGGCGGCCCAGATCAGTTCTACGCCACAAAGTGAGCTTTAAACAATTCACTTTAGCCTGAAGTGGATAATCCATACCGTTTTTGATTGCCATTGAGCGAAAATGTTTACCAGGCGACCAAAGAGTTTTGGGGTGAATGGATTCTCTTGCTGCCGGGAAGGCCGTTCGATTTAACAATAAAGGGCGAGGATGACGTTGCCGGTGGTGTTCCGTCCCCTCGCTCTCAGGACGCCAGGCATCCCCTTTTATGAAACACCCGAGTATAAGGGAGACTTTTAGACAGCAGCAAAAATAGAATGCAGATTCTATCTATGTACAGAGGATATAATACAGTGTATAGCTCCCGCTACCCAATTGCAAACAACGATAATCGATTCCAAGACCACCACGACTCGACCTCTTATTTATCTGCGGTTTTTCAACAACAGGATTTCTGGGTGTTGATATACGCTAGGCATTAGCCCTAGTCCGATGGCTCTCCGGATGGCTTTTGCCATCTTCCTCTGATTCACAGGTCGCAGACCGGTCACAGAACGGGGTTTTATACGGCCCATTTCGGTCATGTATTCTGACATGATAGAGAAATTCTGCCATAATTAGCATCTAAGCCATTTCTATGGACACGCTGTAATGTCAAGCAGGAATAAGTACCTTGTATTGATCCAAAGGATCCATGGCGAGTGCGTCGAAAACATCGATATTAGGACTATGTCTCTTCCTCCACTTCTTCATTTCCGCGGGACTAAGATCGTGAGGAGCGTATACGTCTCCCGCTTTCCATTCACGCGTCTGATATCTCTCCATGGTTCTCAGCTTTTCGTCTCGGGCCCTTTGTGCGGCAATTGATTGCGATATTCTTCGATCCTTTTGTTCGATGGCCATTTTCCGTTCTAGAGGCGTTTTAAGAATTCAATTCAATTAAAGAACCAATTGCAAATAGCTCCCTTGATGGGATTATACGCTTCACATACCCTGATAAGCACTGTAACCGCCCGCCTTTGAAGGGTCTTGAACGCGCCCGTGCGACCAGAGGCGGCGGATATGTTGAAGATTGGCAGGGCGCACAAAGGAGTGCGAAGAGAACGGATTCAATTTGCTCGACATCGTGAGGATCGTGCTGTATCAATTCGGAAAAGTAGAATGTCGATTGCCATGCAGATAGGGCGTGAGTTGCGATGGGAAGAAACTAAAGGAAATGTCAGGCCGTCAATCTTTTGACCCAGACAGCTTTGACTTTTGATGGATGCCAAGCCCATCACCACCAAACCTTCTGTTCGTTCCATTCCAAGCACCACCCAGCGAACATATTTGTAGAGAACTCCCTCACTGTCTCACTCAATGGCTATTTTGGATTGAAAGCGGGGCAATGTTTGAAGCGACTGCCCTGGCATTACACAATTGACCCCATTACTATCGAACCCGTAAGATTCATGGCTGGTAACCCCCCCAATCAACCACAATTGAGGCGTCTGCTAAACTCGGAAACTCTTAGGAGCTTGAATACACAGCTATGCGTTCCCATCTCACTCGCGGGGTTTTCCAGGCGATCGTGGAAAACAGGCCATACGTCCATTCTCAATGTTCTAGACAATTAACTCTCCTGTTGTCCTCTCGCCAACCCCGAAGATGTCCATTCCGTATCACCCAGAGCCGAACCGCATTCTCCCTTCCCTTTCTCCCACGCGCAGACAATGTCACAAAGTCTCAGCTTACGGACAATGGAGCCAAGCAGATGATGGAATTGGTAAATGCGCTGGAGCAGCAGACCCTGCCGCCACCACCATTCATCCTTGCCAAGGCCTTTATGGCGTTTATTCAAGAGCGAGGAGAGTCGATGGCCGTTTTAACCCAAAATCAAGTCCGATTCTTGCTACAGACTTTCCAGTATTTACTCAACGAATACCCATACAAAGGGGCCCGGGGATCCGTGCGCACGGTTTTGGGACTTGAAAGCCTGGAAAATACGATGTTTGTTTTGGCTCAGGCGGGATGCGAGCCCGATGCGGTCGAGCTTTTGAATAAACTGGCCAAGGCGATATACATACAGATCTCCCATCGGAATGAGCGGGCCGAGTCACCACATCTGGAACCCACCCCGGTAGTTCTCAGGTCATACGTCTCAATACTGGCCTCTACAGGATCGCCACTGGAAGCCCTAAATATAGTTGAGACATACTGGGAAACGGTCCTTAGCCCTGAAGGAATCCTACCGTGGCTTGATATCATCAGTGGGCTAGCCAAAGAGGGCAAAGAATCAGAGATCCCGGTAGTGATGGGAAAGATGGATCGTTGCGGTGTCGTCTTGGATCCGAACTCTCATGAGGAAATGGTTAAGTTGCTGGCAGCAGAAAATAACGTTGACGCTCTGAGGAAGCTTTTCGAGCTAGAGCTTCCCAATGGCCTCCAACCTACCGCTACGTCCACTGCATTCGCGATAGCAACTGCTGTCCGAAACTCCATGGTCGATTGGGCAAGCCAGTTGAGCGAAACCTTCCCCGCATACCCGACACCAGAAAGCCGAGACGCGATGCTTCTCTTAGCTGCAGCGAAATCCGAGGGAGCGGAAAACATCCAGAAAATTCTGGACAGTATGTCTGCGAGAAATCCCGAAATCAAGACCTCCATGACCATTGCCACCTTCAACCCACTCTTGGAACACGCAAACATGACCAACAGACGGGATCTGGTGGATGAGTACGCTGAGCTCGCACGGAAGTGGGGCCTCCAGGCGGATGCGCAGACCTATATGCTAATGATGGACTCGAAGTTGCGGGAGGGGGACCTTGACGGAGCTATCGCTCTCTTTGAAAACGTTGACCCCGAGGGTCTCGCCGAGCAAACCGATGTTGTCATGTTGAATAGAATTCTCAGACAGCTTTGCTCCACCCAATACGTCGACGTGGACTACGATACCATACTGTCATTCGTCGACCGCCTAATCGAAGCAAGGGGGCGTTTTGAAGCCGAAACGCTCGGAGCACTCTGTCAAGTCCTCCTCTCTCGTCACGAACTAGAAAGTATTTCCGGACTCCTCCGCCCCGTCATCGATCAGTATAATGCCGACGAACTATCCACGATCAGCGAATCTTTCGTCAAGTACATCTCCGATCAGAATCAGTCTACGGAAGACGCCTGGGAAGCCTACGAGCTGCTTAACATGGCGTTTCCCAACACCTCAGTCCGCATAAGGACGGATATTATGACTCAATTCTTCGAGCGTGGCCGTTCGGATCTCGCATGCCTCGTTTTCGGACACATGAGACAGAAGGAGCGCGGGCCCAGGCGTCCCACCTCGCACACGTATGCGATGTGTCTACAGGGGATATCCCGTGCTGCCGACTCCCAGGGCCTACACCTCGTGCACAACATGTTGAAGCTCGATCTCGAAGTCGGATTGACCACCAAGGTGCTCAACGGGCTGATGCTCGCATACGCTGCGTGCGGTATGCCCGAGAAAGCGATGGGATTCTTCCGCGAGATCCTTCACTCCGAGGAAGGGCCCTCGGAACAGACCCTGATGATATTCTTCCGCGTGTGCGAGACGTACCATAGCGGCGTAGAAGAAGCCACGAAGATGCTGGACAAGTTGAAATCGTTGGATGTACGGATCGACAGGGGTATATACAATGCGTACATCGGCGCGTTGGCTGGACACTGCCAGGTGGAGAAGGCGACGGAGGCGATCCAGGCTATGGAGTCGAAGATCGGTGTTGGACCGAGCACTCAGACGTATGTATTTACCCCCATTCCAGTGTCACTGCTTGTTTACTTTTTCCTGATGCTAACTCTGGCTAAACCCTTAAACAGCCTTGGGACGTTGTATAATGCTATTCCCTTCCAGTATTGGAAGGATCAAGTCGAGGAGTGGGCGCAGGCGACTTATCCCGGACTATGGGAGGAACTCGAACAGCGAGGACGCCATGAAGACGAGGAAGGACTAAAGAGTTTCGACATCAATAGGAATATTGATGTTTAATGCTATGTATGTGTGTAGGTCAGGGAAATATCGATATTTCCTTTTTGTGATATGCTTGGGATGCTCCATATCTTGTCATGTATATTTCCTCTCTCTTTTCCCTTTCTTTTCCTTTTTTTTTTTTTTTTTCCCGTTTCTTTAACTTATCATGCTGTTGTCTGGGAGGCTTTGTAACATGCATATCAGTGTCCACCTGAAACACACACCAACCACCTTGTTTGCACAGGTATCATTGTACCACCAGTTGCTGTACTTCCCTTTTATGTTGTTACATACTTGTATATTTGATGGATTAGGGCAAAAAAAGGGCAAACAGCATCGAAAAAAGTTTTCGATTTATGTAAAATCAGGAGAAAAGGAAAAGAAAACCGTATTTCTTCCACTTAATGTGTAACAGAGCACATATACCTTCTGGGTTTTACCTGTCTGTGGTCCTAGGGGAAGTAAGACACAATTTTTCACTGTTCTCATTACTGTCTTCAGACATAAAGCGCTATACTGGAATGTTTTTTTTACCGCCTAGAAAAAGACTTTCCCCTACAGTTACGTGCGGCTATCTAACATAGCCAATACTGCTATCATTAACAACAGAGAGATATCAAGATCGGAATATACCAAGGACAACAGTAATGGCATGGGATAGAAGTCCATGTGAGCCTTTATAACAACAAGCTACTGGTACTATTTGATTTTGAAAGGAGAGAGAGATATCAAGGAGAGACGTCATTCTATTTCCACTAAGAGTGCTTTGTTTTCCTTTTTCTGGTTTTATCCTTACACGAGGGCCGCTCTAAAAGGCCAAGTACCTAATCTTCTCCTTTTCTGGGGGTGTTTTTTTTTTCTTTTTTCCATTTCTTTATCTTGTTTACTTTACCCTTTTTAAGATATCTTCTTTTTGAAAATAGGTCATGTCATTTGAACATACAGAGTGAATTAGGGATAGGGAATAGGAAGGGAAGGGAAGAGGCTGGGGGTTTCGGATGTGGGAAAGCACACAAAAGGTCTATGGATCTATTCTTTTGGCATTCGCTTGGACATGCTATACTTTCAGTCAGAAGAGAGTACTTAAAATAGTGTGCATGACGATGGAATTCAACTCACAAATCAAAGAAGGCAAATTGACCCGGTGTAGCGCCGTACTGATAGACGAAACGGCTTGCAAGGTAACTGCCGAAGATAGATCGGAGATAGCTATCAGGAACCTACAGTGGGTGGATTGTTAGCGAAAAGAACAGCCAGAAAAAAAAGGAAAAAACAAGAAAAAAAAGATCTAACAAACGAAAGAAAGAACTTGTTTAACTCACCCGCTCAAGCAGAGTATCCAGGCCGATCTTCTCCTGGAGCAACTTAGGAAGTGCATCACCCAACACAGCCTTGCGCAGGCGGAGGTTGTCCCAGAGTTCTGACTTCTGGAGCTCCTCATCCAGCTTGGTGATGGCGACGCTGAGGGTGTCACTGAGGATGCTTCGCGGAATGCCGGTCAGCTCGTGCTCCCTCCAGATGGCTTCAAACTCCAGAGTAGCGTTGCGCTTGATCGTCTCCTGGACCTCGCGAACATAGGCGTTGTAGAATTCTGGTGCCTTGCCATCCTCGCCGATGCACATGTGCTCGGCGAAACCCTTGTCGTCAAAGGACAGGGAGGCCAAGACCTCAAGCGAAGAAGATGTCACGCCACCCTTGTTGACGGAAGCATCCTTGAAGAGCACACATCCGCTCTTCTCAAGGCGAAGCTTGCAGTCCTGGGAAAGGAAGAGGTTGGCGCCTTCAACGAGATACGGGATGGTGGTCTTGCCGTCGACGATGAGTTTCGAGACGTTGGCCAGATTGATGGACTCGGGACGACCGCCGCAGGGCACGAACATATCGTAATCACCTTTCCTGAGATGGAAGGTATTGCGGAAGACGGTTCCGTTGTGGACAACTTCGCCGTTGGGAAGTGTGACGTTGGCGTCGTCGACGAGGACTCTGTATCCCTCAGGCGAGAGTTTCGACATGTCGAAGTTGGAGATCATGATACGCGCCTTTGCGAGTCTCAGAAGCTCCTCACGATCGAGACCTTGGGGATCAACTATCACACCAGAGCCGTCCACGATGGCGGTATATTTCTCACGGCCGAGCAGGATCTCGTTAGATCCGAGGTCGCCATCGGGGCCACCGGTCTGCAACTTGCGGATCTGGGTCTCGTCGACGCCCGTCTTGCGATAGATGCCCTCGACGTATTGGCGAATCGACAGAGTGGTCATGCCGTAGGTATCATGGGGAATACCACCGAGCTTGGGGTTCTTGCCGGTGAAGAAGGACTTCCACCAAGGAGCACCTCTCTGCTTGGCGTGCATCGTAGCCCAATCGACCAGTTCAGCGGTGTTCTCGTCAGGTCCCATGAAGAGAATCTCGTCCTGACCGTGCAGATCGACGATGGGGTCCTTGATGCCGGGGCTGACCGGAGGAAGGAGGAGGTCGAGGATGCTGTCGATGTACTTCTCGAATGCCACTCTGGCCTTGTCTTGGTGGTTCACGTCGAGCAAGATAACACCTTTGGCTCCTCCTTCTGGGATATCCTTGTTCTTTCGCTGCTGGGTATTGGCCAAGTTGTAATTCTCATCGAAGATCGAGCGAGCGTTGATGGCATACGCCTCCTTGTCCCGACTCTTGACGATACGGATACCACCGCGCGAGATATCACGGAAGCGAAGGTGGAATCCACGGAATTCGGAGCTGATGACGAGGAACATGCCGTAGAGGGGCTGTGGGTATTCGTGGGTGGGCAGGAAGTCCGGGTTCAGGCGGAAGCTCAGGGCGACCTTGGTCGGGGTGTAAAAGTTGGTTTTGAGGACGGCGTTGTTGAAGACGAGGAAGGACTTCATGACCATCTCGTCGTGCTCGCTGACAACGGTCTTGGAGACGAGGTCCTTCAGCTGCTTGCTGTCGAGAACCTCATCGACCTGCAGGCGAAGGTAACTCAAGGTTGGGAGGAAGTCGTCACCGGCGGCTCTGGTCTGGACGTAGTGGGTGTTGGCAAAGTCGAGGTAGAGTCTGTGGATGAGCTCGGGATACTTGTTGATGATCTCGAGGATGTAGTCGGAGGTGAAGGTCTCGGTGCGCAGTCTCTTCTTGATCTTGGAGAGGAGCTCAGCGTGCACGGTGTTGTTGGAGTCGAGCAGGGCGGTCAGGGAGGTGTATTCGGAGCCGAGACGGTTGAGGAACTGCTGGACAAAGACCCAGACGCAGTGGGCGTAGATGGTCTCCTGCAGGCTGAGGCGTCCGCTGGCGAAGTGGCTCTGGAACTTGTTCTGGGGGACACAGTACAGGAGCGAGACCTCCTTCATGATCTGGTGGATGGCAGCCTCGATGGGCGGGTGCCTTCCGGAGGCCTCGGCGCCGGCGATGGGGCGGAGGTAGAGAGAGACGACGGTGATGCCGTTGGAGAAGTTCTCGAGGTACTTCCGGGAGCTGGTGAGGCGGTAGTAGTGGTAGAGATCGGACAGGGCGCTGAAGAAGCCCATGGCGGAGCCTTGGCGGTACGCGACGACCAGTCTCTTCTCGCGGCTTCCTTCAATCTCGAACATCTCGATGACAGGGCCAGACCGGGCCACTGCATTGCTGATGATCTCCTGATAGATAGCCTTTGTGTTCTCGGTAGCCTTCTGCAGGAAGCGCTTCTCGCCGATGACCTCGATGTTGGTCTCGCCCGGGTCGGGGTGGGGGTTGTTGAAGTGGCACTTGTAGACGAAGTAGCAGCGGAGCTGGTGCTGGTTGTCGTCGGGCAGGGAGGTGGCAGAGCGGAAGGTCTCGACGCGGTAGCTGTTGCTCGGGGTGGAGCCGTCGATGTACTTCTCGTCGATGCGCTGTTCGTAGCGGGGGCCGCCGACGGCGCTGACGCCGGGTCTGCTGGTGTCGATGTAGACGGCGTGGTCAGCGGCCTCCTTGTCGAGTCTGATGTCCAGGCGCTTGTCGTCTCTCGCGTAGGCGGCGACCTTTGCGGCATAGAGGGAGAGGATGTGGCTGGCAATAGCGTCGACGGTTTCGGTCTGGAAATACATGTCGTCGATGCCGAGCATGTTGTAGAACCAGTCCGTCTCGGTGGAGATGAACTCGGAGGGGATGAAACCGCTCTCTTCCAGCTGATCCATCACTATCAAACACAGTGTCAGATACCGGACCGTAGGTCCTCTTGTTTTCTTCAATGTTTGGCATTTTCACTTTTCTTTTTGTTGGTTTTTTCTTTTTCATTCTTGTAATTTTTTTTATTTCCATTTTTATTTTATTTTTATTTTATTCTTTTTCAGGTTTGGGCGGTCCAATTCGGCCTACCTTGTTCCATCTGCTTGCCCTTGCCCTCAAACTTGGCTGCCACATATCCGGGACCCTCTTCAGACAGGACGCGCGGGGAGCCGCCGGGGATTCCAAGGTGGACGGGTTGGGGAGAAGGTTCGCGAGCGGGAGTGCCCTTTACGCTGTCCAGCAGTTTGTTGTGGACGCGATGGAAGCCGAGAGGAGTGCCTGAGCCCGAAGGGGGGGCAAGGCCATTGGCGCCGTTGGCGGGGACCCCGTTCCCGTTCTGCGGGGTTAGATCGGCGGGGGACATGATGTAGTTGTATTAAGAACAATATACTACACTTGCGACAAATCCAGATATCAAAAAAAAAAAAAAAAGGACAAAGTGAAAAAAACAAAAAGAAGAAGAAAAAGCCAAATGTGTGGAGGTCAGAACAATGGAGGAGGGGAGAATTCCAGAGCAAGATCGCGGGCTTAGCGAAGAGCCGGTGGGGAGGGAGTGGTTTCGATGACGTTTTTCCTTTCTTTTGCTTTGATGACGGCTACAGGGAGCTCTGGCGACGGTGCTCTGGCAAGCTGGAGGAGAGAAGCGAGGTGAAGCCGGCGGCCATGGAATCCGCAGACGGGGGGTAACGCTGGCAACGCGGTGACAGACGGCGGGAGGTGAGGTTTGCCCAAAAGCGACAAGCAGCAGCAGCAGCAGCAGCGTTCAAAAGAGATATTTATGTACGGCGGGCGGCTGACGGTTCCTGGAGCGCACGCTAGGCCCAACGCGGCAAGTCTGGGGCGCGGCTAGTGGAGGGAGCGAGCCACGGGACCGGGCCAGGATGGCGGAAAGCATCGGTTAGTCGTCGTCACGAAGCTGTTATGTAAGAGCATTCAGGGTAGGAAACTAACTTAACTAGTTACAATGAGCAAAAAGAGGGACTGAATACAAAACTCACTCACCGCATCCGAGTCGTGGTCGTGGTCCCGGAGTCTACTAGAGTCTAGAGGTCCAGAATTCAAAGGGTGAGTCAGTATGGGAGGAGTTCCAGTCCCACCACACACAAGTCCAGGAATTGAGAGTCAAGTTCAGGAGGGGGAGTATGTATGTCTGTCTGTACTCCGTCTCACCGCTTGCCGCAGCTCCCAGGCCGGAGACACGTCTGAGCATTCGCCCGCGTCGCCGAGCTTCTCGCCCATCTTCCCAGTGCCCCAGAAACCGCAGTCTGGCTGGCGATGGGCGGCGTCGTGATTGGCTGCCTGCGTGCGGCATTTGTCGACTGGCCGAGACTCCAGATCTTACATATTCCAAAAAAAACAAAAAAAAGAAAAAAAAAAAAAGGAAAAATATACTCCGTACTCCGTAACTACATCAAGCAAACTGCTTGGTAAAAACAAAAAAAAAAAAAGGCCTCATCCAAAAAAACTCCCCCCACCCCACATGACCCCCCAAAAAAAAAAACACCGATTACGTAAAGCGCAGCCACTGGGGCTGAGCCACCGCCTGTCCCTCGCCGCTGATTTGCTGCTTATGTAACACTCGTCAGGGAGCATCGTTGGCGGTGATTGGCTTATTTTTTCTTTTCTTTTTATTTTATTTATTTTATTTTTTAATTTTTTTTAATTTTTTTTTTAATTTTATTTTATTTTTTATTTTTTTGTGGCTGGTTCTACTCTGTATGGGAGAGCGCGCGCGGCCGTGTTTGATGGAGGAGTATATGGACGGAGTATATGGACGGAGTAACTATGGAGTAACTATGAAAAATGGCAGCTCCGGAACCATCGTTTTCATTGAAGATCCTGGGGGGCCCAGCGAGGGAAAAAATTTTTCACGGCCATCTGACCGTCGTTTGGCCCTTCGACAGGCGAACTGGCGAGACTGGGGGAGAGCAAACGATCGCACGCAACGCCAGACGCTGAACTTACCGCCTCCTCGAACGGTCACCTGCCCGCCCTCTCGTGGCCCAGACCCTGCGGCATCTGAAACCGCCCAATCCATCGCCTACACGGAGGACGGGAGTAACTATGACTATGCAAATCTGCGGACTTTGCTCAACTCCTGTGGAGAGAGACTTAATTTTCCATGCTTGTTAAAAATTCACTCCTCACGAGGATCACGTCGAAAAAATTCCATCATCCGTCGCGATCCAGACGGTTGGCCAGTCGTTCACCTCTGCTAACCTTTCGCCAAGCGGAGTTCCCGAGCAGGCGGCTAATGCACGACTGCATCATCTTCCGCCGTGAAGCAGCCAGCCCCTTGTATGTACCTTCTTGCTGCTCCCGCCGGTAACCCCTCCAAACTCCAACTCCAACTCCTCCTCTTCGTCCTTCTCCTCCCCTCTCCCGATGTGCAGCCCTGATCGACGGCCCATCGGCCAGACTGGGTCCTCTTTTACCTCGCATTGAGTTTTTTTTTTTTTTTACTTTTATTACGGAGTACTGTTTTATTTTATTTTTTATTTTTTATGCTTTTTTTCACCGAATGTTGGTTTCTTCTCAAACTTGTTTCAATTGCCTGCTGACACGAGCTGGTTGCGCAATCGCTCTGGCTCGATCGACCCTGTTTCGTATCAAAATGTCCCTCCAACTTCTCTTCAACCGTTGCCATCACGTTGCGGGGCATCCAAACCTTGTTCCCAGGATCCTTGACCTGCAGCAGGAAGTAAAAAAAAAAAAAAAAAAATTGAAAACAACAAGAAAATAACAAGAAAATTGTTGTTTAGTGTCGGATCTATTTAACGATTGGACGGCTATTGCTTTTTCTTTTTTTTTTTTTTTGTTCCCTGTCCCTCTCCATCTCCTCGCCGAGATGATGGAATCAGATCTAGCCGCCCAATCGCGTGCTTCCTCCCGCCGGGCTGCTCGCCACTGTCTTCCGTCCGTGCATCGTGCCGGTTACGTGCACCGAATCCTCCGATTTAGTTCCAAACGACGCACGTACTTTTCGCCGACTGACGACTCCGTAACGCAGCATGTCGCCGAGATGAGGTCAGGATGAGGTCAGGATGAAGCCAGGACCTTTGGCAGACCGAAAAAGACTTGGAAAAAAAAAATATAAATTAATAAAAATAATAATAATAATAACAATAATAAAAAAAAGGAGGGGGGCAACACTCTCTCCGTACAGCCTTTGGGAGTACCTTGAGATATCATACTTTGGCTTTCAAGTATATGAGAGAAGCCCTTGCACACAGAAAACGCATCGTTTGCCAACCGGACCTTAGCGGTGCATTGTTCCGGTCCACAGGTCCAAAATTTGAGCAGCACGGAGTACACGGCAACCAGGATCATCGTGCAAGGGTCGTTGGCCAATGTTCAAATCCCAAAAAAGTCGAGCACCAAAACCAGGCTCGGGTTTAAAACTGGCTTCCAGCAACTGCACAAGGGCTTCCCCCGCTCTTTCTGATCTCACAGGTCTCTTTTCCTATTAAACCACATTTTTTAAAAAGAGCATTTACGAGCTTCAGTGCGGAGTCCTCTTCCGGTAGTCTCAATCAGCATTCCATTGAAAATGACGTGAAAAGCAATGTGGAGTTTCTATGGCTAGCAATGCTCCATATATTGGAGAAATTTTTGACCGAATTTTTTCCCATGCGCCATGCAGATGGTTTCCATCAATGCATGTACAATATTTCTATGCCCATTCATGCTTGGGAGCCAGCTTGCCAAACCAAGGGCATCGACGGGGTAGCAACCTACTAACCTCCAAAATTTTACTATGCATCTAGGTCGCTCACCAACAAATAATGCCCGGATCACTTACCCTCACAAACCAATTGAACGGACTTTGCACACCTCCGACTGTACCTACATGGGACATCTGCAGCCGGCCGTGCCTTGGGAACAATTGTCCTATCGTCAGCTGCTCCCCGACAGTTTGCTAGGTACCTAGTACAGAGCACTTCTCAAGCTTTTTGAACCCCAAAAATGACCAGGCAATGCAAGATATCTCCATATCACCAATGGTCCTCAGTCCTTCCCCCCACTCCGCGCTAATTTTCCCTGAAGATGAATGATTCGCTGCCGCACACATACATATTAAGATGGACAACTAGTCTTGTGGTTCGATGAGCACAAGCTGCACTGACCAGGCAGGTTTCCCCTTTGAGATATCACCAACGAAACATAAAACTTTCCTCAGTCGAGATAATATGGTTATGGGGCTTCAACCTCTCTTGACAAGTTAAAGAAGCGCCCTTGTAGTCATTTACCTCTTTAGTCTGATGGCGGTTTGCGTTGACCATTATATTTCCTGGTTGGAAAAAAAAAAAAAAAAAAAAAAAAAAAAAGATGTCCTCTGGTCTCGACAACGATACGTTTTCTGCTGGTGTTAAACAGAAAAACCCCTAGTATATAAGGATATCAGGGGCATAAGCATTTTTGAGCAGGGAAATAAAGACTGTTCAGTGTGATAAGATGCCACCCCGATATACTTACTCCCTTTCCCCAAAACCAATCATAACGTTGATTTTTGAGGTTAATTGCCTTGTCGCGTAGTCAACCATCCTGCTTTTTCTTCTCCATAATTATACGCGTCTGCCCCGACAGGTATTTGCTCAGATAAGCTGGCTTTTCAAAAGGTACAATTTGCCGTTCTGGGAGGTTATGCAGAACCTGGGCGGGCGGCCCCGAGACCGGAGCATGTACGGAGTAGTCTCTACTCCGTATTTTGTGTTTTATTTCACGTCAAAGCCTGACGTAACTAACGTAATCGGATTTGCGAGCCATCCTAGCAATTATAGTGTATAAAAGGATTCCAGAGGTTTGAAGAACGCCCTAGAAAATATGTCAGTCTTTTTTTTTTTCTTTTTTTCTTTTTTTTTTTCCTGTTTCGAGGAAATTTTATACAACATCCAACCTTCATTGTGATGGTGAAGATAATAGGAAAAACCAGCTCCGGTTAGAATCTTACTATGAATAATATTTTTTTTTTTTTTTTTTTTTTTTTTTTTTTTAATTCCCCCCCATATTGTTAACTCAACGTCTACAGTGAAATACAACTGATTATATATGGCCTCTCTAGTTAGCTCGATGAGGAGCGAGAGCGTATTCCAAGGACCTGGAACATTTCCCCAACTTCGAGGGACATAAGATATATGAGATATAATACAATCTTGACGAGAGAACAGGCCGGTAGGGCTCGACAGCGATTCAGAACACACACGATTACCTCCGGACCTATGGTTATCGCCTAACTTTCTTAGCCACGGAAGATGAGACTGCGACCCCGTAAGGAGTATAAGGGCGTCTTAGTAGATGTTGGAAAGCGGTGCGCAACTCCATGGAGAGGGGGTTCTGGAGCCACTGGTTTGTATGGAGAATGGAAGGTTAAGGTTGGGCGAGTCGTGACTCGTGAATACCTTTGGGGGAAAAAAGGAACTAGAATCATAAGCGCAAGTTATGGAGTATCTTGCGAACACTCCGACTCCGAACGAGCGAGGGTGGCGGGGGGAACAGACACGCTCGTTTCAAGATAGAGAGGTTGAACTGATACTGTAGCTTGCATGATTGGCATTCAACGAGTCGGTACGTGGCCTCTCAAGCCTCTTTGCCTCTCATCGCAGCAGCTTTAGGGACCAAACAATCCAGGGGAGAAGGGGGGAAAAAGGACTTTTGACTATCCAAAGTCCTTGACGGAGTCTCAAACGGCCTATCACTCAGGAGCTGGCTTCGCAGCCCGAGGTTCCCTGACTTTCTCACATCTGACAAGAGGACACATGCCATGAAAACTATTGATGTTGGACCAAGTGATAAATTTGAACCGGCGACTAAAACGCCTCGGGAGCTTCGTAATGGAGGCTTGAGGGGGAGCAAGGTATCCAAAGCTTCATCCTGGAGCTTAGTTATGATTACTCCGTACGGAATACGGAATACGGAGCAACTACGGAGTACCTTTGTTACAATCGACCTCCAAAGATTTTTCAAACCCGTCTCCTCTGGTACAAAATGTGGCTATCAGCTCTGGTTTCAGTGGCTTTGGGCTGGGTTGGTACGCCAAGGACTTGGATAATTTTAAGATAATGTGGTGGAAAAACTACTCCGTAGTAAGACTCACCAAATATGCCGAACAGGCTGTCAAATGCTTTTAGTGCTGAGACACCCAACGGTGTGCGTCCGATTGGTGGATTTGCGCCAACGCTCCCCCGGATTGATAGTTACTTGATTTGCTCGTTTCGCAAAGGTTCGACATGTGCCCAAGAAAGGAGGATACTCCTCCATGCTCCGCCCCAGACACCCAATTCCAAGGGATAGCTACAGGGATAGTACCTCACAGTTTCATTGTGCCGTCGATGCCGTACGGAGAGGGCCACGCCAAATACGTGGCAATACCTGAATACGCCTGTGGTACGAGAGTCGTTACTCCGTACCTTGGGTTTGGATTTGACCTCGGGAGACTGGCGAAAAAAAAGATTCCACCAGAAATTCCGCAAGGCCACCCTAGAGTACCTGACCGGGGTTTGCCATGTATCGAGCCGTCTAAGATTCGGAGAACGATCTGCATAATTTGGTGTTTGAGGCGGCGAAATCCAATGCTGAGCAATCATCGGCAGGTTGGCTAACACCAGCATGCAAACAGCATCCCGGGCTAACCGGTCCTGAAAGCGCCTCGAGAAACCAACGTGCCGTGTTTGACCATCGACAAACAAAGAAACCTGGGGTAAGCGACGAGACCCAAGCTTACGCGCTTCTCGAAGTCTGCTTTCACACCAGAACAAGGATTGCAGGAGGCAGGTGCCGATGATCGAGGATCGTTTGCTCAATTAGAAGCTTCTGGAGCGATTTGGGTTCTGTCGCATCGTTGCCGGGCCAGGCCGACCCGACCCGCAGACGGGATCAACATGAAATTTCCCCTGAGCGAACTAAAATTTCGTGAGTCACCAATTATTGTTTGCCTGGGCGCTTGAAATTGGCAAAAATGTTCAAAAATTCCAAGCCCAAATTATAGCTCTGGGATCCAAGTTAAAACTTATTTAGCAAAGATATTTCCAGGATCAGATGGAAAAAAAGACAATCGAAGAGCAAAAACAAGGGGGAAAAAGGAATAGGAAAGGAAAGAAAAGAAAAGAGCTCACATGGTGAAACAGTGATAACCCTGTCGCCACGTTTACTAGTGCTAGCCCTGCCAATGCAACATTACACGGGGTGCAGATTCAGCTCGCGGCTCGGGGCGTCGTGCTTAACCGTTTGTAGTCTTCGCAAGTCAATTTCGACGAATCGAGTTCCATCCCAGGGACCTTGCTCCAACAAAATAAAACCCCAGTCAAACAGGAACCGTTATCTCGTGAAAATTACTTTGGATACGCCCGTCGCCCCGTATTTTGGGCTGACCCAAAAAAATTTGGAACGTTTAAATGAAATCTGCTTTGGCCAGAACAACTCTCTCCTCTTTTCTTCCTTTGTCTTCTGCTCTGCCATATTGCTTCTTTATCCCTTTTCGTCAATTTCCCATATAAAGGAGCCCCTTGTTTAAGGATATCTCCTTTTATAGATTAATCTTCTTATTTTAGAAAGCCCTCGATCGATCGTTGTCCACTCAATACATGCCGATTTGTCCTCATCTCTGATCAGCTTCCGTTCCTCGATTGAACTCGAATCCCACAGCCTCTTGAGTTTCGAGGTCTGAAATAATCTTTCGCATTCCGAAGCACCTACTAGTCATTAAAGCATTTTGAATACTCGAAAAGACGTCGAAGAACGAACGTCGCAAGTGCATCGGCTAAATTTTCAAATCCCATATAAATCGTCTTTCGATCGACCGGCGCATCACACCATAATGTCTCAATCCTACTGCGCACGATATCAAACACCTGCTCTCTGTGGATCACCTGCAACACTAAAATCGCCGCTCGCAAAATGCAACGGCAGTGGAAAATCGAACAAACTAACGTTGTCGACGGCCACACTCAGCCAAGACATCTGGCGAGCTGTCCAAAAATCATCTGGAACTCCCAAATACGCATCGTTTAGAGATGAATATGAGCAGCCACCGCCACCTCCACCATCTCCAGTCGGAGCATCCGGCTGGAAGATGTGCTAAAAATTTGAACCCGATACCCGAACAGTTTAATTTCGACATGAGCTGGTCTTAATCCTGTTATCTTTCCTCGCGTTCTCTTCGTCTGCGACTATTATAGAATATAACCTTTTAGAGCCTTGGTTTCTTTGCGAACCCTCGAGTTACCTTCTTCAGGCAAGACCCGCTCGCTCAATTTCCTTTGTTTTGCTTGCTCCTTCGAGAATATACCTGATATAATGTCTGCTTTCAACACGTTTATATTTGTTTTTGAAAGGAGCGGGTGTTTGGGGGCTCCCATAATTCCCTGAGAATCATCATACTTTCCTTGTGTATCAAAATATTAGCTTTTCATAATGAAAATGTTGTGAAGCATGAATATTTAGGTCTTCCAGGAGAGAACCGATGGCGGTTATTGCGATTTGTAAAACATAAGGTGTTCAGTTTTCCGGTATGCGGCAAATCACTTATTTTCTTGGAGCCAAGAATCAAGCAATTGTTATCCGCTTTCAATGCTATTAGGTCAACGCTGAATCTCCGGGTAGATGCTCTTGGACAAGCGGTGTCGATGATTGGGCATTGGTGGCAGGAGTTTCTGGCCCAACATTCTTCCGTGAAGCAGCATCAAATCGTGCGTAAATCTCTCCTAGTCTTTTCATAGCTTCGGGGTCGCCAGCCCGCGCCTGCTGGCTGACGTTCTCGAGTTCAGCAAGCATTCCTTCAGTTCTAGCCCAACCCTGCAATCTTTCCTCAATATTTTGGTTTCGCTTTTGCGCTTGAGGAAAAGTTGTTCGAACAATATCCTCTTCACCTTTGGCTCGTTTTGCTCTCATAAGGCATTCTAGGAATTGCGCTTGTCCAGTTGAAGAACCTCCTGAGCGCATTCTTTGAGCTTGGCTAGAGCTAGAACCCGATATGAGATGCGCTTTCTGACCTAGGATTTTCACTCGCGTCGTGGAAACTAAGTCAAAATCCCTATTTTGTCGCAGAGCGGGAGTATCGTCTTCATCGCCAGGCAGTGAAAACATCATATCGGTTCCAATTTGATCAGCCCAGGAACAACTAAAGATCTGATTTTGGTAGGACACGATAGGATTAGGTGAGTGTAACTCCATTATTTGAATTTGATTTTGAAGTTCCATTTCCAGATCTGGGTCAATTCCAGTTGATTGACCCTGGTTTGGGCTTGAATGGGGAACTGGAGACCCTGGCTGCGAAGTCGTCATATCAACTAACGGGACGAGGGAATTTGAGGAGGCAGCAGATCTCTGCCTCGGCGGTCGTATCGTGCCATTGCAGGACGTGAGGTCAAGGTTGATGTAAAATGTCTACCATAAAGGATGACTGTTAGTTGTATGGCTTGGTGTTTTTTGGTCGTATTTGGAACACACCTCCCTCTCGGACTCGTCGTATTCATACTCGTAGTCCGACTCATCTGACTCTGGTTCTACAGGCGGGCTGCCGCCTTTGGGATTGCCGGTAGGAGACTGCATGACTCCTCCTCCCCCCGATCAGCAGGAAACAAGCTTGACGACGTGACGAAAGGCGAGAGAGTGCAGTCTGCTCCGTAGCAAGGGCAGGCTTGGCATGTGGTCAGTTTAAAGTTCGTTAGTCGGTAGATCTAATCTGATAAGATGTCTTGGCCCCCCCGGGCCCGGGCGCATGCCGTGATGTCATTGGTGCCTGCCCTCCGCCCACTCCCGAGCCGACTTGTTGGTTGCATCATGAGAGTCCGAGTTTGTCGGGAGGATGATCGGACGAAAGTGACGTTGACGATGAACAACGATCATGGCAGATAATGATACGGGAACCGGCCTGATGTTTGTCCATCGTAGGGGAAGTATCATATAAGAAGGAACCTCGTGTGGCGGAAAGCCTTTCCGAGAGTGTTCTCCATCGCCGTCCCCTCGACATGGCATCGGTCCCATAGGACAATTGCGAGGAAAGCCGATCTATGGAACCCAAGGCAGGGCTCTTCCGCGTTCCAATCATATCGTCAGTCAACACTCCACATCAGGCGGTGGGCGTAAAACAAGCTTTCCCAAAATTTCTTTCACATCACGCTTCAGCAGCTTTCGGAGTCTAAACTTCAACATAATAATGTGGTTTCGCAGCGAACAAGGTCCTGGCAAACCAGCAGCTGTGGTCATTTTTCATTGAAGGGGTTAAGGAGATTAGAGTATACGTAAAGAGTAAGTTTTTTTTACCTCATCTTCATTTATCTTTCAAGGGTTTCAGGATATCCCAAATCTTTGCTGGCTTCAAGGAGCTGCGTTGGCCCGGCTTTTCCGGAAAGGATGCAAGGCGCATTAAAAAAATCCAGACTGCACATTTATGCTCAAAGAAAGGCTCAGCTCTTTCCATTCTGGCGTTATATATGAGATATCGCCATGTGATTTCATTGGCAATAGCCGTTAAAGCCCATGGGCAACTTGGTTTAGCATACATACAATGTGCCGGTCCCATGTTGCTTCAACAAGCCAATTAAATATTTGATCGCTAAATGAGCTCGTTATCAACCTGATACCCCCGCCTTCTCTCGTTCTACTTCTTCCCCAGTTCTACGTGATATGGACCAGAAAGTTCCTCGATGTCCATGCAAAATTGCTAACAAAGTTGGATCCAGTGGCCCCGCGGTTCAATGCAGGGCTTCAGCTGCCGCTGGTGTCGGCTGTGTCTGAAACCAGCCCCCCGTTTATTCATACAACCTTTTCTTCGTCCTCCGTATTGGCTTCCCCAGATCCTATCCTTAATCTAGGGGGTGAAGGCGAAGGTATCAAGTCGCCTGATATTCTTATATCCGCTACTCCTTTGCCTACCGTTTCACTTAATTTCGCTACGAACAAAAAAGAGCAAGAACAACTTTCCGATGCATTATTCGTCGACAACGAAACCTCTAAGTTATCACCTCAGACCATAACGACCAATCAGCAAAAATCGAAGAGCAGCTCATTATCCGATCGCATCCGGTCCTGGACTTGGACTTTATTATCTTGGATATCAAATGTATTGTACTCTTTTTTTACGAATGGAAAGGGCGCAGCTCCTGAGTATGATGCCCTTAGAAACAAGGTCAATTCCGAACCAGGTGGCCTTTCATGGGAACTTTCCCGGTCTGCAAGGGATAGCAACGGCCAGATACTACATGAGATACCAGACTACGTTCTTGAATATGCTCCCTTAGTCCATCTCTTCTCTGCTGAACAATTTTGGCCATGCGATATTGGAGAACATTTAACGCACATTACGCCATACTTGAACTATACCCCCCTCAGAGCCACATGGGAGCACCCTCTACTTGACAATCTCGATGACCTAAATAATTGGCAACACGGTCGCCATGTCTTTTTGACGAGTAATGAAAACGTGGAAAACCGACCAGAATGGCTACATGGCAAGAAGAATATTCCGGAACCTGTTCCCTATTCCCGGCAAAAAGGACGCTTTTACCGTCGCTCGATTGACTTCCTGTCACAGAATACCCAGATGTTAGGATACTTTGGCCGCAAGGGGAAAACAGCTGGCAAGAGTAAAGCCCCCGCAGTGCTAATTGTGATTGATAAAGGAGACGGCATAGTGGATGCCTTTTGGTTCTATTTTTACAGTTTTAACCTGGGAAACGAGGTGTTCAATCTCCGTTTTGGAAACCATGTTGGGGACTGGGAGCATTCCCTCGTTCGATTTCATCGTGGCGAACCCAAAGCTATCTTTCTCAGCGAGCACTCCGGCGGAGAAGCATATACTTACAATGCCATGGAGAAACTCGGCAAGCGAGTGCGTTTAAAGTCCTCCCCCAACCCTCCTTAATCTCTTGACTGATCAACCCATTTTTCAGCCTGTCATATACTCCGCCACTGGCACTCATGCCATATACGCTAACCCGGGAATACATTCTTATATTCTTCCCTGGGGCCTCCTTCGCGACCAAACTGACGCCGGACCGCTGTGGGATCCTTCCCTTAATATGCATGCGTACGCTTATTCGCCCCACAACGACACTTTATACCCCTCAAATAGAACACCCAATGCGCCCACCGAATGGTTTTCATTCCGAGGCCATTGGGGAGATAAAATATACCCGCTGGGTGACAGACGACAGTACCGATTTGCCGGACAATATCATTACGTCAGTGGACCCTTGGGCCCAAGGTTTAAGAACCTAGCTAGGAGGAAAGTGTGTCAAGGACCAGAAGAGGATATTTGCATTATTAGAAATGAGGTCGGGGCAAAGGGTGGGCGAGAACATGCTAAAGTGGGGGTGAAATGGGATGCAGGGCTTAGAGATGATGATGGGGAGGATCAGGTTTGATCGCGATCCTTCGGGAAGATAGACGCCTTTTACTGTTATACCTTATCCTGTACTTACCTATGATTGTCGCTACAACGTTTTTTTTCGCTGGCAGAGTAGCTATCCTGTGCCCCTTTGGGGTTTAGTTTTGGTCCCTGGTGGAGAAACACCATAGATCCCGCTGTAATCCGTATCTAATGGCCGAGTTTGAAATCATACTGATGTTGGGTATAAATGTTTAGCCAGTTCTAGACAAGAAGCTTTAGAATTAAGAACTATTCTGGTCCATATCAACGCTATAGGTACTTCCACACCAAAATGAATTTAAGGAGAGACAGGAAGAACTTCAGAGACATATTTGGTTAAAGCGCCTATGAATGGGGCTAAGGAAGGTTGTCTTCGGATATATTTGCAGCATTATGCTTGGACGTAGGGAGAGGAGCGCAGAGTCAAGGTATCTGAGAGGCGCGACAAAAGAGTGCGTCAGTGTACAGAGAAGGAATTGATCTAAAATAGGCAAGGAATGCTTTTTTTCCAAGAAATGCTAATCTGGCAGACTTCTAAAGGAATGTAAAATTAAACAATAGCAGGAAGACCAGGACCTCAGGAGTAAGAAGAACCTATTCACAAAGAGATTATGGACAGTGAAAGTAGATAGCGAAAAGGAAGAGGATAGAGTGCAAATGCCATAAGACGAAAGCGCTTGGTATATAGATATGGTAAGGAAATTCGTTTGGAGAAAGCCTTCGCTGGGCTGCCGTGACCTAGATTTAGTAGGCTCTTCCGACGCGAGAGTAGTCGGGGTACATGTTAGAATCAATTCCATCGCCATTGGGCCCTACTCGGCCATAATCGTTATGAGGTACCAAATGATCGGTGCTCTCAGATGCTTGATGGCGAGGTCCTGGTGGGATATCTCGATACGGTTCGTACCGGCCGAACATATTTAGTTTCCCGACTTCTAGGTCCTGTCGACCGTTAGGGTCGGTTCGAGAATTCAACAGTAGGGAATTGCGAGCGTCCAGGGGCGTTAGATTATCGAGGTCGCGGTCATATTTTTCTGAAAAGAATTAGTTAATATTTAATCTTCTAGTTAAATAATTTCGGGGGAACAAAGTTGTTTACCTGACTCCTTCCGCCGCTGAACGTGTGGATTTTTGCGAACCAAAAGAATGATAGCATTAATGGCAATAAGAAGCGCCAAAATTCCAGTCAAGGCTGATTGAACTGCAACTAGTGCCACTCCAGTAACAGTTTTGGTGGTCTGTCCCATACCCAGTTCTTGAACGAAAACAATGATGCATGCCACGGAGAGCACACGGACCACTTGGATAGAGATATTAATCCACTGACTTGATTTGGTCTCATATGGTCTGGCCCACAAGAGAAGAATGAGCATAAGCGCCTCCACGACGAGCTGCGCACCCGATTGAACAAGCCCATGTCCATCGCCAGCAGCGAGGATGCAACCCTTGGCAAACATGTAGAAAATGTATGGGATAAAAATCCACCAATATCCCTTTTTATAGTTGTCATAGAAAAGACTGTATTTTCTCCATGTTTCCTTGTCTTCGTAGAGGGCGCTCGCATCGCCATCCATTTTCTTGTGTCGACGGGCCACAGACCAGATGCGGAAGGTAAAGTACCCAAGAACAGCCGTAAAGATCGCGAGCGTGACTCCAGCCAGTATTTTTGCTGCCCAGGAATCCCCGTGGGTGAACTGGAAAATGCAATATAACGTCCAGATTCCGTATAACAGGAGAATCAAGTTGGTTATTGTGCGAGCAAGTAGTCCCCAGTAGTGCTTCCGAAAATTCGTTAACTTCTGCGGAAAATTTCCCTTAAGAGCCCAGATTTCCAGGATGAGCTTAAACAACAAGATACCAACAGCAATACCGGCAACAATGATGGCAAAAACCAGGAGGACCGTCATGAACGTGTTTGCTTCGGGGATGGAAAGTTGCTCAGCATAAGCCTTGAAACGCGACACGACATGATTAATGCCGTCTTCATTTTTGTCATCGCTAGGGGACGTATTCTCCGTAACTTCAACATCTCGCACTGCAAGCGGTAGGAGGTTGAAGATGGATCCCAAAGCGCGCTTTGCAGGTTGCTTCGAATTGGTGTTATCTCCGAAGATCAAGGTGGCATTGCGCAAAAAGGCGACATTGCTATGCGTGAGATTACCTCCTGTCCGATTCCTGAAGTCATCGATGGTGGACTGCATCTGGAACCACGGAATAAGACCGGTGCTGAAGCCGAAATTCTTCGTAAAGCTACGGTAAACCGGGGGATAGTTCACGCTCAGCATCCCATTCATAGCCATGGTGTGGAACCACCCGAGGACGTCGCCAAAACTGGGACCAGTTGAGGCAGCACCTGGAGCACCGCCTGCCATTGCTGCACTAACCCCCGTCAAGGCAAGGGCAGCGCCAGCTATACCGGCAGCTGCATATGAAACCGCGGGGGATTCGAGAGTTTTTCCATTTCCAACGACGGACTGGATACAAGCAAGGGGCTTGTCGTTGTCCCGAGCCTTCAGTTCTAAGGTGGCCTCTGCTTGGAGATCGGGGATTGCAAATGCAATGGAGGGAATTTTACCAATGAAATCGGAAGGTATTGTAACCGAATCCTTTGCGGCGAAAGACCGAGCGGGAACTAGAAAGATGCAGCATTAGCTCAATGTTGCCCCCAGGAAGCGTGCACTTGTTGCGGCTTGGTACCTGGGCACAATTGATCAACTTTCGTCTTTTCATCACAGGGGTCAAATTCTTGCGTAAATCTTTGTCCGTAAGCATTGACAACGAGGGAAGCTGTCACTTCTTGCTCCTTGGAACTTGATCCAGCAACATCGAAGGTGATTCTATTCGTTGACCGATCGAAACTTATATCGAGCCTTTCAACCTTGATGTCGGCATCATCGAGACACGTCAAAAATCCGTTGGTTTTCAACACGTCGCCAGCTAGAGCTAGATTGCAAAATGCCGCCCAAACTAAGGGGGTCACGGCAAGGTAGCGTCCCAACCCCATGCTAGGCGAGTCACTGGCACCAAACCAACCAAGCTGCAATGATGGCGTAACGAATTTTTTCTCAGTCACTCGAATCAGATTTGGTGAATTTTCGAGTCAGGGTGGGCATTCGATGGGTAGATACGGAGAAATGCTAGAGATGGGGATGATGGTCCAAGCTTCGCCCGTCCAGGTATGTAGATCGGTGTCAGGTCGGGGGCGGAAGGATATTGAAGAGGATGGAAGCAAGATAGTCGAACAAAGAGGATGCAGGGTCAACCCGCACAGAAAGTAAGTCTATAATACTCCGAAGTAGAAGTGAAGATGAGATATGAATGCTAGGTCCAAGTAAACTTGGACGAACGAGATGGCTGTTCACAGGAAAGTGTCAACAAACTGGAAGCCCCATGAAGGGACGGAGTGCTAACGAATGAAGAAAGGGAGTGACTTTGATAGTGTCTGAGAAAGAGTGAAAGGCGGACTGGGCGGAAGTTTTCAATCCAAAGGAGAGGTTCGAGCGAAGAAGCAAGACAAAGACAGGCGAATTTGGGCGGAGAAGCCGCCAGGTCACAGGAGGGAAAAGGCCCGTAAATTACCACATCGTGACCAGCCAACAACAAAGCAGCTGGCGTGTAATCCGGCGGTATCGTAACCGTGTCGATGGAGCTGGCTTACCCCTGGCGAGTCTCAGCTGGAACACACCGCCGCACGCTGATTGGCTCGCGGCGTGTTTTATCAGCCACACCGCTCCACCGCGCCGATGGGGCTGGAGGTCAGAAAAATGCCAAGAAAAGCGCGCTCTGACGCTTCGCTTTCTCCCGTCGCACCAGCGAGTCGGCCGCGCGCGGTTGGAGGGCGCTTTTGCGGTGCTGGCTGGCTTGTCTGGGGCAAAGGACGGGGCGTTGGCACGGGGTATCGGATGGATGGTTGTGTCAAAGGGGGGATGCTTGAGTTCCTATGCCCAAAAAGATCGAAGTCCCGCCCAACTCCTTGAAGGAGAAAAAGTCGAGACAAAGTGATCCACTTCCCGTTGTGTTTAGAATTGAGGCCACCGGAGTACCGGTGCAAACAAGGCCCTTCTAAATATATCCGCCAATACCTCACGGTCGAGATTTGAAAGCGGCAAGACCAGGGAGTCCCCTTCCAGTGACCCCACAGGATTCGCCATCACGCAAATCCTGTCTGCAGGGAGGTGGTCCAATGACAGACCAACAATGCCCCTGGTCAGAGGTTCTGGACCTGCAGAACCTGACGGCCTGACCCGGCCCTGAAATGTTGAGGGGACGCTTGCCATTTTCTCAGGTTCGATGTCTCGTCTGCAGCAACCAGAATCGGGAGTGATGCAGGTACAGGGTGTTTGTGAGCATGAAAGGACGTCCTGCGAGCGGGTGGCCTATCAGCCAACAGAAACCAAACATGTTGTATGAAATCTACATTTTTGAAATGCCTGCAAAACAAAACTGTGATCTTTTGACAGCATTGCGTTTTGCCTGTAAGCAAGGATGTTCGCATCAAGCTGATGTGTCCGCCCCATTTCCTCTAACGCTACGCCGGTTTAACAACACTCGACCCGCTGACTAATCACTCCTCAAGGTTATTTAGGTAATACTGCGAGCACGTGACAATGATGTAACAGGCAGGGCTGCTGGGCTTGGGGACAACGACGAACCTTCATCGAGCTGGGTCGACGGGACCATTGCGACATGCTCTGCGCGATCTCGCGCTTATTCCACACAAATGACGAGTTCTCCTCCATCCACATGGAGAAATCTTGATGAGAATGAGGCCCTCCTCCGTCACCCGATTCTCAATAAGTATCCCGGGGAAGATACTAGGCCCACTAGCAAGAAGGAGCTGGCTGGGTGGTATAGTTATGGCTGGGCTGCCGAGGTGTTCGCCGTGTGCGCCATGGGTATGCCTCTGTTAATATCTCACCTTGGGTGCTTACCGTTGCGTCCTATGTCTCTTAAATGCCTTCGTCGCTGATCCATCTTCTCTACTTAGGCTCCTTCCTCCCCATCACCCTCGAACAGATGACGAGAGATCAAGGTGTTCTACTTTCAGATAAGAAGACTCCATGCAGTGCAAGCTGGCCAACTGCCCCGACGGCCTATGCCGCGGCAGACGCCACTGCTTCTCCTCGTGTTGGTCCTCCCCAGTGCGTAATCTACGTTTTGGGTATCGAAATCAACACCGCCAGCTTCGCCATGTATACGTTTTCAATAAGTGTTCTCATTCAGTCCGTACTCATTATTTCCATGTCAGCCGCGGCGGATCACGGTGTATACCGGAAGAAATTTCTCTTAGCTTTTGCTCTCATGGGTGCCTTGTCTATGATATTATTTCTATTTCTCCTTCCTCGTTTTTATCTCCTGGCAGCAGTTCTCGCGATCATTGCCAACACAGGCTTTGGTGCTTCGTTCGTGCTTTTAAATTCGTTTCTGCCCGTCCTTGTACGCAATGATCCGTCAATACAGGCAACTCGCTATGCCGCTGCTTCAGATGAACAAACGTATTACACTCAGAACCCCAGCGGGAGCAACACAATTTCTCCGGTGGACGAACCTGAACGCCTGGATGTCAGCTCGAATGACTCGGCACTTGTATCAGCCGAGTTGCGACTATCTACGAAACTATCCTCGAATGGTATTGGGATCGGTTATATTGCTGCGGTTTTGGTTCAAATTGGGTGCATCCTTCTCGTCGTTGCGACCCATTCAACTACTTTCTCTCTCCGCCTTGTACTCTTTATCATCGGCTTATGGTGGTTGGTTTTCACGATTCCCGCTGCTCTATGGCTCCGTCCTAGGCCCGGTCCTCCGGTTCCAGATTCGGCATATGGGAAAGGCAGGTGGGCGTGGGTTAGTTATATCGTGTTTGCATGGGTGTCTCTTGGCCGAACGATCGTACGAGCTCGTCAACTTAAAGATGTGCTCCTGTTTTTAGCGGCTTGGTTTTTGCTATCCGATGGCATCGCTACGGTAAGTGGTACGGCCGTGCTTTTCGCAAAAACACAACTTGGCATGAACATTGCTGCCCTTGGTCTCATAAACGTCATCGCCATGATATCAGGCGTTCTCGGTGCGTTCTCTTGGAGTTATATCTCACACCATTTTAACCTTCGGCCGTCGCGTACCATCGTAGCATGCATCTGTCTTTTCGAAGTTATCCCCCTCTACGGCCTCCTTGGCTTCCTCCCATTTATCAAGAGGCTTGGGGTTATTGGCCTCCAGCAGCCATGGGAAATGTATGTTCTCGGAGCAATCTACGGCCTTGTGCTTGGCGGTCTGTCATCATACTGTCGAAGCTTCTTCGGCGAATTGATCCCACCCGGGTTTGAAGCATCCTTTTACGCTCTCTATGCGATCACCGACAAGGGGTCCAGCATGTTTGGTCCGGCCATTGTGGGTGCTATTACAGATCGGTACGGGGAGATCAGGCCCGCTTTCGGGTTCCTTGCGCTGCTTATCTTACTTCCGCTGCCGTTGATGCTACTCGTTGACGTCGACCGGGGGAAGCGTGATGCCAAGGAGCTTGCTGAAGCTTTAGAGGGAGTGAAAGATATGGGCACTAATGGGACTGGCTATGCTACGGTGGCCACGCATGAGGTTGAGGTTGGATACGAAGGAGACCGGGAATAAATAGAGCTGGAGAGCTATTCTGACGTTCGCAATTAATATCGGTTCATGGTGATCTCGTTGCTTTGTATCCCATTACGATAGAGCATATAATACTTATGGAACCTAGCACGAAACTTCCAAAGTGATGTGACTTCCGTGCCCATTTCTCTTACATAGTATAGCAGGGGTCTGCAGGAGTTAACCTTTATCCATACGCCGTTCGCAATTTTTCATCGCATCCCAAACTACATAGTTGAATCATCCATCCTCCGAAGGAAGCAAACCAAAAAAGAAGCTATTTCGCCCACCGTTTCATATCAATAATGGTCAAACGAGGGGAGCCCAGAGTATTATAAATATCACCGACATCACTTGCATCTCTTTTCCACAATATTCGCCCCATGCTCCTCATACTCTTTCTTCGAAATCCACATCTGGTGGAAGGTGCCAAGACTAGCCACGATGCTTCCGCCAATCCACGAGCCAAACTTCCTCTCCACCGTATTGCCTGGCGCAAACAAGCGCACTCGAGGACTTGGGAACATGGCCGTCAATTCTGAGTTTATCCGATCATTGAATCCGTACAGGAGACTGGTCGCGCCCGTAATCACCACGTTACCGAGCAAATGTGGCCGTATGTCGATGTCAACCTGATTGAGGGCGCTGCGAACAAGCTCGGGTATTGTCTGTGCAGCAGTGGGCGCGGGGAACTCAGAATCAGGATCTGGAATTGCGGCTTTGGCATCGAATAATGATTCAGCGACGCGGTATCGGTCTGTGCCGAAGAGTTGGTTGTAGCCGTCTGGGAATTCGAAGGGGCGGCCTGGGCTGTTTTTCGCTAGATCTTCGTTGGACACTCCGTTGGGGTTGACATTTAATAAACCCTGAGGGCCTGGCCAGACTTGGACCACACATTCCTTAAACTCGGAGATGGTCCGGTTTTCCAGAAGTCGACGGAACGAAGCGTCGGGAGCCTGATCATCGGGAATTGTGCGGTACGTTGCTTGCGCCGGCTGGCCAGCATCTACTGCTGTCTTGGAAGAGATGAGGTAGTGGGGTGTAATTGTGATGGGTTGAGGAGTGTTTTGTTTAAAGAGTGCGCGAACTTGGGAGGAGATATAGTCCCCGGCAAGATGGGAATGTTGGACGCCACGTTTTAAAATCAGTCCGTCGTGTACTGGAGTGACTGAGACCGTGGACGCGCCAACGTCAATAACTAAAGCGGACGCCTTGCCGGCGGCAAAACTGGAAAGCGACGTCAGTATTTTACGGGAGAGCATGCGTGAACGAAATCAACCTAGCACTTACGCAGCCAGCGGTCCCGTCCTAGCAAGATAAAAGGCTGGTGTGCCCCAATTCTCCATCGCTATTTCAATCGTCTTCTCCCGAGCTTTGGTGGGATTCCATCCACATTCAGTCATGAGCAATGGCGAATCTGATAAAGGCTTCTCTTGTGACTCCACAATCTCCATCTCAGTTGGCAATTCTGATGTGTCATTTAACCCATTGAGCATGGGATTGCCAGGTTTCGTGCCCGTCAGCCGCGAAGAAAATGAATATTCCCACAATTTCTCCGCCATATCCCAATCTTCCACAATTCCATCACTCCCCATCGGATTGTGAATAGACAGGCCCGGTCGCGGCGAGACATAGATGCTATCCCCGTATATGTGCTTGTCTTGTCCATCCGTAGAATATTTCGCGTAGTATGTCGGGGTCACAGATTTAGGCGTGTCTTCACCAGCAAATCCGGCGCGAATGGAGGAATAGCCTGGGTCGAGAATAATGGCGGATACCTCGTCTGTATACTCTACGGCTTAGCAATCCTGCGCTAATAAATTTGCCTGGGCATTGGCAAAGCGTGGGCAATCATACCTCCTCCATATTCCGCCGTCGCGGGGGGGACCGAAGAATTCATATTGGCCGCCGGAACGAAGAAAGTCTGGTGGAGTCTCAAGGCGCTGACCGAAGTAAATGCACGGAACTAAGGTCAACAAGAGGCAAGAAAAGCAAGCAATTTGTACACTCAAAGTTTCTGCAGCTGTTAAATGTACGGGGCCGTATCTATGAGCAAGAATGCGGTCGCGATGAGCAGCCGGGCGGCGGGCGGGCGTGGGAGAGCCATCGCCGCTTTAGGAATAGCGCAGCTTGCTGTCTCTTATCTAATCTTGAGATCTTGCTTGACTTGGAGCGTCCTCATCTTCGTCCTCCATCACAACAAATCAAAAGTCTACAGGAGTGCAAAATGGAGATTGAACAGCCGATTTTCAATCCAGCGAAGAGGAGAAAATTCATACGCAGGCGCGCAACAACGCCACCCGCAGAGCACCAGTCGGATTTTCAAGATCAGGCGCCTGAGCTCGCTACGAACGACCTCACCCAGTCTGCTACTCCTACCTTGGAGGACGATGGTGCAGCCGCACCTATCGCTGAGATCATTCGTGCTCGAAAGGGATTGAAATCCCGCAGAGCTGGAATAGAATTCTCGACGGGGCCGAGATGGGGTTCAGAAAAGACACCTCGACCATCCTCAGAAGGGACAGTGGCGAGCGAGGCTGGAGATGGTGGTTTAGGCGGGATATCAGACCGGTTTGTTGGTCTTACGGGACAAAAGGTTGATGTAGATAGGCATATGTACGTATCGCCCTCCCTGTGATTGTGAAGTGCCGCTTTGTGATGGAAATTAACGAGATAAGGATGACCTATATAGAGTCTGAGATGGCCAAACGTCATCGCCGCAGCCCAGCGGTTGAATCCACACACGACCAGTTAGAACCCGAAGAGATCATCAACCAAGGCCCAGACCACAAGCTACCTCAGCGCCAGCCAGCTACTTTGGGTAAACTTCATGAGATAGATCTCGGCCCGGACTCGAAATTGCGGAATATCGAACGAACAAAAGCCGCTACGAGAAATCTGGCGAGTGGCGAGCCTATACAGACTGAAGATAAGGATGTAGGGGGAAAGAAATCTCGCGTAGATAAAGACGGAAAGTCGTGGCGCCATAGAAAACGACGCAATAGTGAAGATATAAGACGGGATCAACTTGTTGAAGAAGTATTACGGGAGAGCAAACGTAAGGCATAGCCTTTATTTCCACATCTTTCTCTGAAATACTAACGGTTTCATAGTTGATGTCTATGAGGAGCCCGAGCAAGAGTTTGGCGATGATCAGGCCGCGGATGATCGCATTGCGGAACAGTTCAGACGTGATTTCTTGGATGCTATCCAGTCGCGGAGACGTGGAGCCAGGTCAAAGAATACGAAATCCTCGAAAGGTGATGTTCCTCGTGGCCCTAAGCTGGGCGGAAGTAGAAGCGCCCGAGCTGCAATGCGCGAGAGGCAAGAAAAAGCAGCCAAGAAGTAAATTTCAAACTTTTCGTGCTGTTACCTTACCCGCTGTGGATAATGGATATATCCATCTGATATATCCTCATGTGAAGAACTGGGTGGTTGAACGCAAAGCCCTCTGAGAAGTCTATAGTCTGGTGGCTGCAGCATATATAAATGCACCGGGAATGAAATTCATGACAATGCTATCCTGAACTTTTATGGCATATTCGGGACCAACTGGCAACCATAGCCTACTGTTAATGAAGTTCACCTGCCATTCATTGTCCTTGGCTGCTTGGCAGCATTTCCTATCTGAGGCCATCGACTCATTACAGATGATAAAACGGGCAGGGTTACTGGTTGTCTATGGAACCGTAGTCCCCAGGACTCGTCCGGCGGCCTCGTAGATCCGATCTACTAGCAAAAATACGATACCCACAGGAGCAACTTCGAACCCAGGGCTACCAGAATCCTCAAACTTTGCATTTTTTTATCACCTTTCATGGACGCCACGAATGCATCATGTATGTATGTTCGAAGAAACATGCTGGATTCCCTTCGCGACTATATCGTCCTCAGGAGCCTGACCATCTGCACCCAGGATTTTTGGGTTTGATGACAGCAAAAGCTCTTGGCTCTGCTGTTCTACTAGTTAACGTCCGACTTCAATGATGCCCCGATTGCATCCTTTAGTACTCCGTAATTAGTAGTGTCCAATGGTAGTTACGCTTTGAACAACCATCCACCAAAGGCACTCAGCCTCGTTAACAATACGAGTTATACATAGTACGGAGTATGGAGTACATCGCTAGGCACTGCAATGCGGATGGCGTGTTTGCAGAGGAGACTCACATTTTCAAATTGAGCCGATGGAAGGTTTGTGGTCAAAACGATCGACCGACCATCCAGTTGATACTCCGTCCTCCGTACACCGTACAGAGGATCGCTTGCTCATTTTTGACGGGCGTTGACATTTAATTCGTAACCTTGATCGTGACCTGTGACTGGCTGAGCGCCGAGCGGGTTGCAAGATCGGTCAATCACAGCTTCGCAAGTTCGCAATATCAAACCAAGGTCAAATGTTCTTGATTTTATATATCACAGATCACTTACACCGAGAGACTATTCTGGCTGCGTGCAGCGAAACAGAGGGTACGACTTGGAGCGTGCTTTTTCTCTTTCCGCCTTTCATCAAAACCAGATTATAAAAGGCTCATCTGTATCCCAATCCCTTGGTTTTTCGAACCCGTCCATTTCGCCTCCTTATCTCTTCATAAGCCTCGAGAGAAATTCTTCAAGTAGTTTTCTTCTTCAGGACGAGGAACTGTTGGTGGGCCAACATGCGCTTACTCCGAATCTTTGCTACGGCTAGCTCTCTGCTGGTCAGCCAAGCAAATCCCTCTCTCAACCCAGAAACACTTAATGAAAATCACTGTCTTGAGGTGTGCAAAGCGGAGAAGCCAACCTGTCCCCCTTACTGGGTACGGAGTAGAAGTAATCATTTAAATTGGTCTATTCCATGAAGCAGCGATGACTAACTTATCATTTAGCGTCCTGAAATAGTTTATCAGAAGGGTCCTGTATGAACCTCTCCCATTCCAGCTCTCCTACGCAAAGCACTTCCTTCCCTCGCAAGTTCTAACAAATGGATGAGAGTAGGAAGCTTGTTGGGGATGCTGCATGGATTTACCCCATTGGTGACATATGGGTAAAGGTTTTGAATGTACGGAGTAGAACAAAATGGAAATGGATGAAGAATTTTTGCTGGTATCGACAGTATACGGGTGGTACCTTAGCATTCTTACAATGCGGGGCGGGGTTCCTGTATTACTATGGCAGGCATCTCAGAATATAAAGCGGGTGAAACATCTGTTGCCTTTCAGATCCTCAATTCAGGCCGCAAATGGTAGTACAATGAAGAAAGTAGTACCTCTATATGAGAGGGTTTAAAAGAAGGCATATGTACTAGCAATTTAGCAGATCGGGGGTCGCTGCATATCCTGAGATCTCTCTGATTAAAAAATCCATTTACACACCCAGAAATGGCGCCTTTCCCCTCCCGAAATATGCGGTGTCTTAAAGTTACACAAGGATGGAATCTTTCTTGAGCTTTTATCTGTTAGTCTTCGCACAAACACAAGTCAGATGAATCACGCACTCTCTAAATACCCAAGTGTGCAGCATGCTTGGACCAAGGCCAAGAGTTAAGAATGGGGTAAAGGGCGCTCAATCCGAAGGTCAGAGGATCTATTTTCTTGTTTCGTTCAATTCACAGAAAAGAAACTTAAGTCTGACAAAATAGAGTGTGTTTTATTTGGATGTGTAACGCGGTATACATGTAGTTACAAATATCCAATCGGTGCAAGGTCTAGTGTTGTTCTCGTCGGATGCAGAATTATATCGCTTATATAGTCATGAGAATGATCTCCAAGATATCCTACGCTTTCCATTCCATGTATCGTGTGATAACGTTCAAAGGCCTTGTCCAGCGTCCCCTGTGAAATGTCACACTAATACTACCAGCATGTCCTGTTCCGCAAAGGCTCCCACAGATTAAGTAACTTCTTTCAGAGTCCGGCTTCTCACTGATAGTGAACAAAGATATCTCGTATTGGTGAGAAAAGCACTTTGAAGTCGCGAGGGGAGTTAGTCCGGCCATTGTCACCCCTCTTGGGTTTACCCGTTGGCTTTGGCCCCTTTTCTTTAAAAACTTCTTCGCCCTCGGCTTGGATTTCGTGGAGGTTTTTGAAGTTCATATGCCGGATTTTATAGGCGAGCTTGTCAAGATATTTTTCTTGTTCAGGAGTCAGATCGGAAAAGTAGGAGCGGAAATCGTAGATACGCGCAAGTTGCACAGGCATAATTTTGTCCATATAGACATCGGTTGGAAGCTTGGAATTGGAACCGGAAGACGGAGCGGCCAGGGCGAAGGAAGCGAGCCCGAGGATGCAGGTACCGAGGAGGGTTTTAAACTGCATGGTGGAGAGGCTCTGAAGAAACTATGCCCTTTAACAAGAAAACTAGTTTACGGCGTAGAAGCAAGTTTGACACTGTGATTACCCCAAAATCTGGGGTAATGCATCCCATTTTATAATGTTGTTGGGCACCTGGACATCTTGATATTGCCCAGCAGACTCAGCTCGGATCAACAGAGTCTTGAGTCATTTTATCCTATGTTCTCAACATGAAACCAGTGTTCCGGTGAGAGATGATGCTACAAAGGCAAAGAAAATGCGCCAAGTCATGCTAATCCAAAGTTAGATAACTTGCGGCCTTTTCATCATAAAGAGCTCGACAGCGTTTAACATTATGACACGAGAAGCCACCCGTGATTGGTGTTACTATCCGACGAGTGCAGAGTACTTCGTATTACACTCCTGAATTGTCTGATGGCCAAGTCCATACTCAAGTACGTAACCGCCATCTCACGACGGCCATTGGCCGTTGACTTGACAGTGTCAATATGTGTCATAAAAGAATGATATTTGCATGCGGTTGGGAGCTTCGATAGTCGCGAACGGGCCCAGTTGTGATTTCCCACGGAATAGATGCTTGGCTCATGTGAGCTCAAAAGAGCGCCTCCTCCCCTTCCCAAATCGTTTAGATGCCCCACGGCGCGGTGTCATCGCGATCGAAGAGCGGGCTAAAAGGGAGGGTGGTGATGTTGATCCCGGAGCTGCAAGCATCCCAAGCAGCCAGGGATTAGGTAAGTAACTAGGAAACTAGCGTTGCTCACGTGATTGCTGATCGTGAGTCGTTATCTTATCTGATCTGATAAGATGGAAGAAAATTATCTGGCCAGCGGAAGGTGGGATGAGAGACACCCCTCTCCTCGCCACGCACAGTACGACACGCTGCTGCGCTCTTCTTTTGTCGAGCTTGCACGTCTCCAGTCGCCAACGTCTCTTCACGAAATTCGGATCGAATAAATGCATATGGGCCTGTTCAATGGATCACGAGGACCGCATCATCCCCAACCAGAGCTCCTCGCCTACTGAGGAGCTAGCGATAAGCGAATCTCTCGTCCCCGCTAGAGAAATCAAGCTTGCAACTACGCTTCAGTTTACATTCGATGGCCTTCTGAATCCTCCTTTACAGCTAAGAGAGGATCCCAAAGAGGGATGTGGCGGCCACATCTGGCCGGCCGGCATGGTACTATCAAAGTATATGCTGCGCAAACACAGCGAGGATCTTCTCGGGAAGAGAATGTGAGTCTGTTCTTTACCCCACCAAAGCGAGCTTGGTGCAAACATATGTCTAACACATGCTGTTAGTGTTGAACTTGGGGCTGGAAGCGGCCTCGTTGCCCTTGCTGTCGCGCGAGGCTGCAAAATCGACTCTCCTATCTACGTCACTGATCAAAAGCCGATGCTGCCGTTAATCGAAGAGAACATCATTTTGAATGACCTCTCGGGTTCTGTAGTTGCTGCCTTGCTGGACTGGGGCGATTCAGACGCACTCACGACTTTACCATCGCACCCCGAAGTTATACTCGCAGCGGACTGTGTGTACTTCGAACCGGCGTTCCCTTTACTAGTTTCCACGCTCGATGGATTAATGGGGGAAAACTCGGTGTGCTACTTTTGCTTTAAAAAGCGTCGTAAGGCGGATTTACGATTTATAAAAATGGCGAGGAAGGTATTTGAAATCACCGAGGTCACTGACGGTATTAACCATGTGGCCTGTAAACACCAGAGTATATTTTTGTATATATTGAAAAGAAAGCCGCAACCGGCTAGGAAGAATAATATATCATCTGACAGCACGTAATACTATTCATCTCGTGTGAGTTAACATACCTAGGCTGGTTTATAGCTTCAAAGCATGTTGCGGAGTAGGTTTGTCTGAAGCAAGCACCTTTTGCCCGCGCATGTCCGTCAGGGTACCGTCTTTCCCAATTACTTTGACGCCACCCTTTCCAAGGCTTGAAACAAGCTGCTGCTTCTTTGCCGCTGCACTATCCGGGTTCTCGAGAGCCTTCATGGCTCTCTTCCGCTTCTTTTGCTTTTCACGTCTCCTATGCCGGAGCTTCTCTTCTCTCGACATCTCATCCTTGGCAATGGCCGCTCCGCCCTTAGTCAGAACTTCTCCGGTGCGGCTCTTATCCCCAGGGGCATACACTTCTTGGGGCGCGAGAGTCCCGGAAGTACTCAAGCCGTCTCCGCCAGAGGGCCGAACGTCTTCCATAACAATAGTATCGGCATCGGCCACCACGCGGATATTAGTAGCTGGCTGCTTGGGTCGAAAATGTAAATTCGAAAGGGTATCCAACTGGGAGCAGATATTGTTCCAGAGCTGTGTGATCTCGTCTCTCTCCTTCTGTAACTTTTCGTCTTTCTTACTGACGTAGTTTCTGTCGGTTGCTTGTAAATGGTCGGCCTCGTAGAGTTCGGCCAGACTCTGTTGCGGTCTTGTTTCATCCAACACGAATTTACTCTTTGCTTCCGTATAGTCGCCTACTCCAGGTGGTGGCCTTCGAATGATATCATCAAACTCTTTAGCAACTATCCTTTGTTTGATGAGGGACTCAATATCGTCGGTTATTTCAGCAGTGATGACTGGAACCGGTTTTCCGACCCGCTCGAAATCCAAATCCTCCTCAATCAACGAGTTAAGAGGCCGATCCACCGCTTTCGCCTCGCCAATTAGCGTCCATTCTTTGTTAGCGACATTAGCGGCCTCTAGCCGACGGATTTCATCCGTTATTTTAGCCCGTGCCTTTTCATGAGTCGATAGGTTGGTGTCGCCCTTTTTATTGGAATCCATATCCTCATTATCGAACTCAGAGTCTTCGTCTTCAAATAAGTCCCGGTGGACGTCCGCCATGGCTCGCTCGACGTCTGCGTCAAGGTCAGTATCGAGGTCGGGCTTTTTGGACTGTTCCTTAGGCCGGGTTCCTTTCTTGGGACGTTCCGAGGCAGGAGGATCAAAAAACTGGTCATAGGTCGCATTTCGCGCATCATCTTCGTCTAGCTCAAGACCGCCGTCCATATCCTCATCTGATAACCGAGCATCTTCATTATCAAAATCGCCTTCCTCAAGCTCATCCTCGTCCACGTCAGAATTGACATCGCCAACTGCGAACGGATCAGCTTCCCAATCAACGTCCTCCTCATCGCTACCAGCAGTATCATTTCTAGCTCGCTTGGCATCCAGATCTTCAAAGAGCAGAGACTGCTTGTTAAACTCGTCAATCGAGAAAAATCCATCGTTCAGGCCATGGCGATCCAAGACAAATGGAGTTGGTTCGCTCCTTTTAGGGGATCGTTTCCCAATTTTTAAGACATCAGTCTCGTCCAAGTCATCACTTCCATCACTCTCAAGCTGTTCTTCATCATCGCGGCCGTCCTCCGCCTCCTCTTCGTCTTTTCCGTCAAGGAGCTCTGATGCATCCTCTGACTGTTCGTCGCTATCCAATTCACTAACCATGTCGGCATCACTTCCATCTTCCTGATCATGCTGGCCATCCCCAGATTCTGAACTTGCGGCGCTGTTTCTGCTCGCATCATCATCCCCCAATCCCAAGCTCGGCGATACAATGGCAACGTGTTCTCGAGTGACATCCGACGAAGTCTTCAATACCCGCTGCGCCTGTTCCCATACTTGCTGCACATTAAACCCATTTATATGTACCTCTTGAAGCTGGAGCTTTTTCGAGCTCGAAGGGCCGGAAGCGGTTTCGGTTCTCTTTCGCTTTTGTCTATTTTGGATAAGTTGCTGTTTCTGTTGAAGTTGTGCGGTGCTAGAGGCAAGCGAATCGAGATAATGTTTCAAGGCAGCCGTCGACTGGGAGAACAGGAGGGCTGAGGGTCCAAGGAAATCTTCAGGTTTCGAGGAGAGCACCTCCGCGATTGGAGCGACCGCCGCTACGTCAATGGTGGGACGCCACGAAGACGAATACGATGCCATTTCAACGTAACCTTCGCCAATCTCAACTGAAAATCGTCTTCAACGAGGATCTGAAGTCCGGTGGTACGGATATGGACTCTGCGACGATCAAGGTCGATGGGAATATGCGACGCTTGACTGAGCAAAATTTCGTCTCCCACAGCGTAATATACGTGTGTTTCTAGAAGACAATCTGTTGCAGCTGCGAACAGCTGCCACCTTCAAGCCCGACACCTTTGCGATATGTGCTGAACCGGCTTAGCTGAAGCTGTCAGGCCAAAATGCTTCGCTGCGATTTCAAAATTTCGGGCGGATTATCGAATCTCCATAGCCGGCTTGGCATCTAGCCATATATGGACTAGCGTCTACGGGTTTCCTCTTCGGATGGCTCTTCAAGCCGAAGCGCCGTTTCTAGTATGGCATGAAGATAGCACAAAATCCGCAGTTGCTATCAAGGCTCTGATCGGTTCTACTATTGGGCCATAACTGAATTCATAGTGGTCTTCATTGCCAGTTGATGTCTGCATTTCAAATTCCGATAGGGCTTACTCAAACATGTCTAAACGACAATGGAAAAATCTGGGATCAGCCTGAGGAACCGTTTATAATAAGAAATGGAACTGGATTCTAAGTAGTGTTTTAGTTGGAAAGTCTGTACAGTACAATCAAGATCCCTCCAGCAGCAAGAGAGTCGGCCTGATCGATAGTCGGTCATACGAATGTTCGGCATTGGTATCTGTGAGATCTGTTAGTTTTATATAAAAAGCGCATCATCCATGTAACGACTATAGTGCTCACCTGGAGGGATATGATTGCTCTTCGCTCTTCGGATACTTGGCAGCGCGGTTGAGGTTGGCGGGGAGTGGTGGTAGCCCATTGGGACCTAATACGCGTGCCCCGTTTCCTTTCTCCGCGTAAAATGCCGCGAGGCCGCGCGATTCGCCCTCCTGCTTAATCTGCACTAATTGTTGCTTGCCAGCATCTCCAGACAGAAGGGCCTGCTCGTTCGGCTCGGCTTTGCTTCCCACTGTAAGGAGCCCGACAACGTCGGCTTGGCTTAACACACTTGGCTGTGGATAATTTCTTCTAACATCTCGCTTCCAGTATGGGTTATCGGCAATGTCGCCGGCGGGGATAGTCACTGGATCCGTATATGATTGTGGTGGGAGGGCTCCGGGGGTCGGATTTCGGAACTGGGCGTTGATGGGAACACCGGTGGAGCGGTTTGGATCAACGGAAAGCATTCTTCGAATCCTCTCCCAGATTCCGTACGATTGAAGGGTGTATTTCTAAAAAGGGACAAATTAGCATTGCCTCTTCGTATCGCCTACCGATCCTGAACTGGGTGTGCGATTCGTTACGTATATACCTCAGTGACGGGAACAACGTTCCCTGCGGCCTTTGCCGCACTCAGCACTCTTGTAGGTCTCATGCTGCTTGACCGGCTACAAATTGATCGCTATCATTCAGTCAGCAGATGCCATGCAAACTAAAATCAGAGCATGAGCGCTCGTATGTACGTACTTGGTATGCTGGTCGTTTACATCTGCTCAAAACCTAAACGTCGAGATGCAGTCCCAAGTAAGTGGATCATTGCGATCCGGCACATCACGTGATATGTTCGCTTGGGCAACTTCCTTCCTTACACGGGATCGTTCGACACGCCTCAGGTGAAGACAAGCGAGGATCGAGTTCGCAGGTAATTGCGTTCAGCAACCAAAGTACAACGCTGCAGAGTACTGTTGCATCCGTGTCCATAAAAAATTCGTTATGACAATTCTTAGGGGCCTTTTGCCCAGACCATGATTGCGAAGGAGATGATCAGAGGCACCAAACACGAACCAGTTTATTTTGCGGCGATAGTTACGGAGCGGAGTAAAGAACAGTTAAATTAAATCACTTTATCGTATCTATTCAATAAATGACTGCAAAAGATAAACCTTCACGGATTGGCGGATAAATAGGGGTATACGTGAGGCGCCCGCGTCCCGCGCGTTGTTGCTGGTCCAAAACAACCTCGACACAACTCTAGCAGATTTCTGGCCCTACATCCTCCATTCCATACAGTGGGCCGGAGACCAATTGCAGCTATCCCAAACATTATTGTTCTTTACGGACTCGAGTTTTACTTCCCCTTCCAAAATGCCAATGGAACTCAGAAAGCGAAAGGCTCCCGCGGAGCCCAAAGACGCGCGTGCCACCAAGAAGAAGGCTGATACCAAAGCCTCAGCGCCCAAGGCGAGAGAATCAAAGGCCAAAGCGAAAGAAACGGAAAAGAGCGAGCCATCACCAAGCCGTGAGCCTCCAACTGTGGGGGCTATTCTCGATCTAGAGCAATATCAAGACGAAGTCCAGCTTCAAGATGCTACCCCCTCTTCTCTGAAGGCGCTCCTAGAGTCAAGCAAAAATGGCGTGGTGCTCTTTACGTATCCTAAAGCCTCTACTCCTGGATGTAAGTCAATTTCAATCATCCAATGCATTGAGTGACGTGCGAGCCACGCTCAACAAGCCTTCGGCGTGCTCGAATCTCCCAATGATACTCGCTGGCGTCCCAGAACGCCGCTCAAAGGGAAGCGGTGTGCTATTATATTCAGCGCCCATAGCAAGCTTTTCTCGGCAATGAATTTCCCCTCTTATCCATGGGTGAATTGCTGACCGTTTCCATTTGAAAGGCACGAGACAAGCGTGCATGTTCCGCGATGGTTACGACCGCCTTTCCTCAACTGGCTTGTCGATCTACGGCTTATCCTCCGACAGCCCGAGCGCCAACACCAAATTCAAGGAGAAACAGAAGCTCCCTTATCCATTGATCTGTGATCCGTCAGCGAAGCTGATTGGTGCCATCGGCCTGAAGAAGCAGCCCAAGGGAACAATTCGTGGAGTGTTTGCTATCGACAAGGCCGGGAAAGTGCTCCTCAACAAAGCCGGAGGCCCTGAAGCTACCGTCACTCTCGTTGAAAACTTAGTGGCTGGGAACTTGGATTCTAATTGAGCCTGAGGTCTCGTGTATGATGGATTACTCCTTTGTAAGGGTGAGTCTGGGTCTTCAGTGTTGTCTGCAGAGGTACATAACTCGACGTCCAGTTGTGAATCGGATTTAATGTATTGACAGCCCGTGTTTGATATTGCGTTTCAAACTGTATTTTGATAGGAATTGATTGAGCCGCGTACAATCTCGCCAAAGTTTTATTCCATCCTAAGAGGTTTGCCCGCCGAATCGATGGCTGAGTATGAGATGCGAATGCCGCCTAAAGCCCTGGGCTTTTAGTGCCCACTTCTCGATTGCCCTTCAAGCTGAGAGGTTCCGTGGATGGCGCCTGGAATGAATACGTAACCTACCATCCTTTACAATATGTAGATGCCTGTTGGCAATTTGTGTCAAACAAATTAATTATCTCTTGTGAAACTCAACCGTATAAATATTTAAACTGAGAGGGTTTTCCATTAATTAATCACTCCGCACGAAGATTTCGTCCTGCCTTCTCCCTCCTGATATCAACTGCGCACAGAAAAGCCGTCTTAGCTGGATGCCTGCATGTGCGTACGTCATTGAGAACTTCCAACCAACGGAAGCTCCAAGTTGCGATTCTCCCGCCAGACAAGCCAACCTAACAATCGAATTTACCCCTCGACACAACACCCCACCGCATATCAATCTTTGTAGCACGTTCCCAACAGGAGATTGCGCTCGATTGCAACAATGAATATTTTCAAATTACAAAAGTGAGTCTCTGTGTTTGTCCAAAGCTTCCCTGAAGGACAAAGGTGGTTTAGGCGGGGCTAACAGGCAGCACCAGGAAGTACCCCCAGTTTCAACAGAATGAAATCTTCGCCCTCCAAGACGCATTCCAGCGATTAGACGTCGATGACAAAGGTTATCTTGATGAGGCGACTGTGATTAAGGCGACTCAACAGTCGGAAAGGCAACCTTACGATGTCGTGCGATCCGCGTTGAAAGAGGTGGAGCTCGATAGTTCACGCCGTGTTGAACTGGAGGATTACGTTGATGTTCGTCCCTCCCTTAACCTGAACACGCGAAATGGATGTCTCACTAAGAATAACTGGTGTGAGCTATAGCTTATATCAAAAGTCCGCAATGCCAGCGCTACTGCACCCCCCGGATCTGGCTCGCCGGCCCGTGGGCATGCCTCTAAAGGCAGTATCGGCGGCAAGATTCACGTTCAGGGTTCATCGGCGAATGTTACGCATACAATCAACGAAGATGAGAGAACAGAGTTCACGAGACACATCAATGCTGTGCTTGCCGGAGATCCGGATATCGGCCACCTCCTACCATTTCCGACGGATACTTTCGAAATGTTCGATGAATGCAAGGATGGATTAGTACTTGCCAAACTTATCAATGACAGCGTTCCGGATACCATCGATGAGCGTGTTTTGAACAGGCCGGGGAAGAAAAACAAGCAACTTAACGCGTTCCACATGACTGAAAACAATAATATCGTTATCAACTCCGCAAAGGGTATTGGCTGTTCGGTTGTTAACATCGGAAGCGGCGACATTATTGAAGTCCGAGAACATCTCATTCTCGGCCTAATTTGGCAAGTTATTCGTAGGGGTCTTTTGGGGAAAATCGATATTAAATTGCACCCCGAGCTTTACAGACTTCTTGAAGAAGACGAGACCTTAGAGCAATTTCTTCGACTTCCACCCGAACAAATTTTGCTTCGCTGGTTCAACTATCACTTGAAGAATGCAAATTGGGATAGAAGGTAGGATCTTATGGAAAGGGGTTGTTAGGTGTGGTCACTGATGTGTTCTCGACATTTCTAGAGTTGCAAACTTTTCTAGCGATGTGAAGGACGGCGCCAATTACACAGTCCTTCTTAATCAATTAGCCCCGGATCTTTGCTCACGCAAACCTCTCCAGACTCCGGACTTACTCCAGCGCGCCGAACAGGTCCTCCAGAACGCGGAATTACTCCAGTGTCGCAAGTTCCTAACGCCAACTTCACTCGTTGCAGGAAATCCAAAGCTCAACCTAGCCTTCGTGGCGAACTTGTTTAATAACCATCCTGGTCTCGACCCGATCACCGAGGAAGATAAGTTTGAAGTGGAAGATTTTGATGCTGAAGGCGAACGTGAAGCTCGCGTCTTTACCCTTTGGCTCAACTCTTTGGATGTTCAGCCCGCCGTTAACTCCCTCTTCGATGATCTTAGGGATGGAACCATTCTTCTTCAAGCCTACGACAAAGTTATTCCAGGCAGTGTAAACTGGAGACACGTTAATAAGCCACCGGCACATGGTGGTGAGATGATGAAATTTAAAGCTGTGGAGAACACAAACTATGCCATTGAACTTGGGAAACAAAATCGCTTTTCACTCGTTGGTATTCAGGGAGCAGACATCACTGATGGACAGCGAACCCTGACACTCGGTCTAGTGTGGCAACTTATGAGGAAGGATATCACCAATACCTTGTCCTCCCTTGCCAAGCGCATGGGCAAGCGTGAAATCACAGACGGAGAGATGATCCAATGGGCTAATGAGATGTCCCGGAAAGGAGGCAAAAGCTCATCCATTCGAAGCTTCAAGGACCAGGTAATTGGTAGCGGTGTATTCCTTCTTGACGTTTTGAACGGCATGAAGAGTAGCTATGTGGACTATGATCTCGTTACCGCTGGACGAACCGATGATGAATCTTATGCAAATGCAAAACTCGCCATTAGTATTGCGAGGAAAATGGGCGCTACAATCTGGCTGGTTCCTGAAGATATTTGTCAGGTTAGACCACGCTTGATCACGACTTTCATTGGTATGTTTCAATACGATCTTCCTCTGTTGCCGTATAACCGGACTAATGGGCTGTTTAGGTTCGTTGATGGCTACCTTTGAAAAGATGTAAGATATCTCTATTTCTGCCGGCGTTCTCATCGTCAAGCCGTGGGAGGAAAGCGAGGTGCCGTGCGATCGAGGACTGGATGCATACTTCTCTTTTAACAGCGTCGAACTGCTCCTCTTACAAGATCATTGCCTAAAAACAATCAAAATTGTATGAAGCCCTGAGCTTTGGGATACCTTGTCACATTTTTGCTTTACATTCACCTGGTTTTTGGGGCAGGCCACCCGGGAGACTTTCCTTCTGACGATAGTATATCCTAGGTAAGTTTCATAGCTGCAGTTCATTCGACCTCAGGCCGGGAATTCCGCGAGTCGGCACTTGGAGGATGCTGAATCCCTGTCCGGTGTAACTTGTCAGCTATGACGTAGTGGGTTGCTGATCGGAGTTACATTCATCGGGAAACTGGTCCGCACTCATTTGGCGATGGGTGCTCCCGGACGCATCTTTTATGCTCAAATGTTACTTCGAGGAGTATATATAATAAATAGTCTTCCTGCCATTTAGTTAGTCGGACGTCCCTGATAAATCTCTATATATTCATACATAAGACCGGAGAATAAGCCGCAGCCGTGATGGCTCCTTCAGATCCCGTAGCGGAGTACGGCTTCACTGCCGTTGAAGCATCGGCGTTGAAGCTTCTTGCTTCACTTCCTTGTCCCTCCTCTCCAGCGCCATTTGTCGCCATTTCCGAGACGCCTATTCCGGACACCCCCGTAGCGAAACGTGTACAGGTGTACGCCAAACGCAATCTGCCAGAACCGACATTCAACCACTCCCTGAGAGTGTATCACTACGGCCTGGCGATAAAGAAATATCGATTTCCAGAATGGAAGTTCACGGATGAAACGTACTTCCTAGCCTGCGTTCTACATGACATCGGCACCACGGAGGAGAATCTGCAGAAGACAAGGATGAGCTTTGAGTTTTACGGAGGCCTACTGGCGTTGGACGTTTTGCAGACGAGTGAAGGGGAAGATGGGGCTGTGGCGCCAAGGGAGCAAGCAGAGAGTGTGGCGGAAGCGATCATTAGGCACCAGGATTTATGTGAGGTTGGTAAGATAACTGCCGTGGGACAGTTGATTCAATTGGCGACGATCTTTGGTTGGTCTCATCGATTGCGGGATGTATTATGGCAAGCTGCTAATGGAGTAATTTAGATAACACTGGTACATATTCTGACCTCGTGAGTCCGTCCACCATCGAGGATGTAACGCGGCATTTCCCGCGTCTTGGGTGGAGCAACTGCTTTGCTGCGACGATTCGCCGGGAAAACAGTTTGAAGCCGTGGGCGCATACCACGGCTTTAGGTGTGGATGAATTCCCTTCCAAGGTGCTGGGAAATAAGCTCATGGCGCCTTTTGAGTAACTTGAACTCATATTATCATCCATAATGTATACAACAGAGTCATAATGGTTAGAGTAGGGTCTCGAGAGCATTTAGTTTCAAACTAATTTTCAATCATCGTGCCCCATTTCATCATTTCAGCTTCAATGTTGTTCATCGTCTCATGGATGACCTTCTTCGATCCTGCTTCTGGGCCTTGAAATGCTTTTCTACACTGGGCTTTCCAAAACTCATATTCTGGCCGTAATATATCTGACCCGGCCGCATAAACGTCATAGTTGCAAAGTTCCCAAAGACGAAGTTGCTGTTCAAAGCCCGGATTTGGTGCTATGAGCGGTCGGTGCTTCCGGGCCACCGAGAGTGCATCCGAATAGGAAAGAGAGTGGTATCTCATCACTGACGAGACGCAATCATAATTAAGGTTATTCTTTTTGACGGCTCGATTCTTTTGAGGATTTATCTCTCACTTACAGTATGCCACAACGATTGCACCGGACCGTGAAATTCCCTGAACGCAATGGACCAGCACCCCGACTGGCTTCTGGGGATCCGTCCCGTCCGGCTTTTCTTCGAGAGCGGCATGAATCCAGTCGCATGCTTGCTTAAGATAGCAGAGAATGTCCTGCATGGGATGATCATCGATGTCAAGGTGCATTGTCGAGATCTTTGTCAGAGTAGTTTCGTCCCAACGTGGTACGTCTTGCTCACAAGTCGCGGAAAGTACGTATTTTATATTGTGAGACCTGAGGAGAAACTGTGAACGTGCTCCAAAGCGGCTTCTCGCTGTGGATTAGCAATTATTCAGGCGTAAATTGAGAGTGGCAGCCTCACTCCGAAATATAGAGACCTGGGATCACCGCAATCGCACATAGATCCGCGTCTTTCAGGGTATCCATTACTCTAGGCGGGTATAAGTGTTGGATTGTCTAGATCTTTAGTGAAAGTATCTTTAGGATGCCGTCGTTAGCAGAACATTTGAGACAGAAAATACCATGTATATATATCTGCACAAAATGCAGATGCCTAATTCGCTTGATTAGCAGCGGAAAAGGAGTTACCGTGAAGACAAAGGTTTCCATCTGAGCGAATAAATTTGAAAAGACACTAGAAACCGTGCTTAACAGAAACGACAGAATTTGAAGCAGTTATCCATGAGAACAATATACATAGCACAAAGTAAGGACCTAATCGTTGCGTTTAATCGGGGTTTTGGGACGTGATGCCAGACCATTTGGGGTGCTCCATGGGTCCAAAGTATCTGTCTCGGTTAGCGATGTGCGGTTTTCCCCCATCTGATCTTCGGATGTGTGGTATCCAGATTCAGAGCATGCTGGCTGGAGGGTAGTGCTGGATTAGCAGAGGTCACAAAGTAAAACGCGTAGTTGGGAAGGATTGGATGCGAGAAGCATCAGGCTTGGCCATTCGACCCAGGTTGGCTGCTTGGTGTGGAATGAGACTTGCTCATTCAATATTCAAGGGAACCAATCATGGATTTCCTATTGCTGCCTGTAGCAATGAGATGGTAGGCATTTGCAATTATGCAATGAACTGGAAGAGCTTGGGTGGTTGAGGAGAATTGGCCTCGGATTATAAAGTCGGTTCGCTCACCAGTTAACCCCGTGACCTGCGAGAGACGCGTCGAGGAGCGGGACGGAGAATCAACGCTTGGGCTCATCGGTCAGCGCAAGCACGATTACATTTTTTGGTGCTCCGTACCGCATACCATCAAGACAAAACCGGATGTTCCTTTCACTTATCATACATCAGCTCTAGCTTCTCGCTATAGTCGCCGACACCATGGCCACTACAAAACGCCGGTCCGCCCAGAACGAAATCTCACCTGGCGATAGCAATAGCGACGAGGGTCACCAGAGGAAGAAAGTAAAACCTGCTACTGCACGGCCGCCGACCACCACACAGGAACCCAATACAGATTCAAATGGCGACCCGTACTGGGAGATTTCACGTCAACGACGCGTCACTGTTTCGACTTTCAAAGGTAGAACAATGATCAATGTGCGGGAATACTATGAGAAGGATGGGCAGGATTTACCCGGTAAAAAGGTGGGTTTTTCTTTTATATGTTGGTGTCACTTGATACGAGGTTGCGTTGATGGAATTTGGAAGCTGATTGCCAACTGAAGGGAATTTCTATGACCTTGGAACAGTTCAATGCCCTCGTCAGTTTGCTGCCCGGCATTGAGGATGTTGTTAGACAGAAAGGCGGTGTCATTGAAAGACCGAAATACGGCGACAGCGGGGAAGAAACCGACGAGGACATGCAGGTGGAGAAGGCAGAGACGGCTAAAAAGATCAAGATCTCACCCGAGAAAAACATTGAAGCAACAAGTGAGGAGAGTGAGGGAGAAAACTGAATGGTCTCCTTGATCAAAGTCATGTTTGCGGCGTCATGGAATCTTTGCACTTTGGATTCACGTTATCAATCTCACGGTGTTCACAGGGAATTGGCCAGGTTACTTCTAAAGTTGGTATATCAAATACACACTTTTCATTCACCTCCAGCGCTCCGTTATCGTCTATTCTGGTGCTACCCAATGTGCCATGCAACCCTCTCACATGCTGGTTTCCTGTGTTTCAGTACGGCTTGCCCATGATCCTCCCTTCCATGCATGTCGAGGATCTTGTTCCCTCCGGATCGTTTTTTGAGATCCAGGCGTTCCCCACCCACCACCTCCAGGCGTGTTGACAATGATTCTTTCGCCTGGTTTCATTTGTGCAGTGTTCTTCGCGCCCAAATTTACACGTCTTTCTTCCCAAGTTTCAGGACTATCCTTCCTGGGAACTTTACGAACCCAGATATTTTGCCCACATTGAGCGTCCTCACCTCCGTTGAGGCCATAAGGATGATAAACCCTACGCTCCGAAAGGATGGACACCTGAACCGGGATTCTGAACTCGATGTCTCGGATTACTCCATCACCGCCGCGGTGCTGGCCTTCCCCCCCGGACCCCGGTCTTATGCTAAATTCCCGGAGCAGGACGGGGTATCGGCGCTCGAAGACCTCGGCATCCGTGATGCGAGTGTTCGTCATGTGGGTGTGCACGCCCGATGTGCCTTCCCAGTCCGGACCGGCGCCGCTGCCGCCGGCAATCGTTTCATAATAACCGAATCCCTTGGTGGCTGTTCCGCCGTTGAGATTGCCTCCGAAGCCGAACGTCAGGTTGTTTGTGTCTCCCTGTGATGCGGCGCAGGCCTGGAAACATTTCAGAATAACGTCCGTCACTCGCTGGCTCTGTTCAGGAAAAAAAATATGTTAGCTAAGGCTACAATGAGCGCCTGGGGGTTAGTATTAGTTTAGTAGCACGGTCTTACCGTTAATACGTTGCCTCCAACAACTGCGGCCTTTTCGGAAGGTGAAAGGAACGAATTCTTCGGTATCTTGACCTCGATCGGTTTCAAGCAGCCTTGGTTGAGAGGAATATCCTCCGAGATAAGACATCTCAGACAGTATATAATAGCAGAGTAGGTGACCGCTTCAGGAGCATTGATGTTCCCTTCCGTCTGATTAGCATTGTCGGCATCGTTTACTATCGGGTGTCCGTGACTTACCATAGACTTCTGGACCGGTGCCCTCAAAATCAAAAGTTGCTCGACCGTTTTCGGCATCAATAGAGATCTTGAGCTGAATGGGACTTCCATCGTCCATGTAGTCGACGGCCGTCAGGTCAGCTCCTTCAAATCTCTTGCTGACCGTTTTCAGCAAGTTACGAACGCTGAGCTCGGCATTCTTTTGAATGCTTCTCATATAAAACTGAACCACCTCCTCCCCATAATCCTTAATCAATGCCGAAATCAGACCGATGCCCTTCTGATTTGCAGCAACTTGAGCCTTTAGGTCATTCAGATTGTCTGCAAGGCACCTTGTGCCGCTGCAGCCCGGGTATTGTGCTGGTTCATGATATAGAAGTTCTGTGATGCGCTCTTCGTTGAATTTCCCTTCAGACACCAATTTCTCGGATTTGATTGCTGCACCCTCTTGGTATAACTCCCGGGAATGTGGCGGCATTGAGCCTGGAAGGATACCTCCAATATCCGCTGTGCTTTTTGATTAGAAGATTGATATAAATGGAAGAGAGAAAGGTGAAAACATACCGTGATGGGCCCTTGAGGCAACATAAAAAATGATATCATCCCCATTGAAGGCAGGTGTGATTACTGTAATATCAGGAAGATGGGTCCCTCCGAATTCAGGGTGATTGGAGACAATCACATCGCCGGGCTTCAGTTTTCCCTTCCAGATATTCGCTTGTGTCCGAACACAAGTGGACATACTTCCAAGATGCACAGGCAAATGCGGCGCATTCGCAACAAGCCCTCCATCAGAATCAAACAAAGCACAAGAATAGTCTAACCTTTCTTTAACATTTGTGCTGACGCTTGTTTTTTGCAGTGCTCTACCCATCTGCTCTGCAATTGCCATAAATCGGTGAGAGAAGACGCTCAGGAGGATCGGATCCACGCCTTTCACACTTGGTTTGGAGTCCGATTCCTCGGAGGAACCAATGTTAATGACAACATGGGTCCTGAGAATCAAAGCAGTGGCTCCGGGGGTGATCACCAAAGTTTGTGTCCCATCTGCAAGGATAGCAGGTCCGTGAACGCGATCATTCACTTCCAGGGTTTCAAGCTTGAAAATGGGGGTATCACGGCGTCCGCCTTCGAAATACACCTGTCTGGTGCCGTATCTCTTAGAGGAATCTACGTCGTTCGGACTGAACTCCTTCAACTGTTCGTCCACACTCTTTCCAAGGTCATCAAAACTTCTACCAATAGCTCTAACACGGACATCGTCTACAATGATATCACGATCTGGAAGGGTAAATCCGAATTCTTGTTCATGTTGTTGAACGAATGCCCTTCCATAGGCCCAATCATCATTTCCTTCTGCATCCTGTGAGCTTGGATTGATGATCATCAAGGCGGACTCCGTTCCTCTGTATCGCATATTTAGGTATTCTTCAAACACGATCGACTCGTCTTTGAAGCCTTGATCCTTTAGTCTCTCGACTGCCTTCTTTTTCAGTTTGTCCATCTTCTCTTTGAGCTCTTTTCGCACAGTCTCATCGTTGGACCATACTTTTGACTCTGGAACTTGACTCTCATCCACCACATCGGCCAAAGCCATGCCGTACGCCGAAAGGACGGAAGAATAACGGTGCACCAGGACCTGCTTTATACCAAGACTAGTTGCAATGGCAACGGCATGTTGGCCACCCGCACCTCCAAACGTCGCAAGGCGATGCTTGGAAGCATCGTGGCCCTTCGCCTCCGTGAGCGAGCGAATTGGTCGGGCCATCGTCTCATTCGCAACTTTAATGAAGCCGTAAGCAACCTCATCGGGGGTCATTTTCCTATCTCCAGGGAGTTCTGCGTTGATTTCAGCAGTGATTTCCTCAAATAGGCGTGAGCTCACGTCTTCGTCAAGGCTTTCATTTTCACTCTTGCCAAATATTTTAGGAAAAAAATCTGGTAACAATCTTCCTAGAAACAGATTTGCATCGGTGACCGTTAGAGGCCCTCCTTTCCTGTAGCAAGCAGGGCCCGGATGCGCGCCTGCTGACTCTGGGCCAACCATAAATAGTCCATTGCGATAAAATAGACGTGAGCCTCCTCCGGCAGCTACGGTGTTGATGTCCAACTGGGGGGACTGTATCGTCACGCCGGCAGTGGTGGTTTCGAAGACATGTTCATATCTCCCAGACCCATACCTGCTGACGTCGGTACTTGTGCCGCCCATGTCGAACCCGATCACGGGGATATTGGTTTTTGGGTCATAGCTAGTCAGAGCGTATCCCACTACTCCGCCGGCCGGGCCTGATAGGATGGCACGTAGCCCGGAGAATTCGCTAACGTCCACCAGTCCACCATCCGATTGCATAAACTCACAGCGGGCTGCATCGCCCGCGGAGGAGTTCTTGACACTCTTGACACCCAGGCCACCCTGGAAGCCCGCCTGGAAACTTGAGATATACTTCTTAATCGTTGGCGTTAAATAAGCATCAGCACAAGCAGACGTGGCTCGAGGAATTAATTTGATCATTGGCATCAATTCGTGGCTCAAACTGATATGACTGAAACCAATATCCCTGGCAACTCTCCCAACAAGGGCCTCGTGATCTGGGAATGTGTATCCGTGCATCAAACATACAGCAATGCTTCGAAAGCCCTCGTCGTAAAGGCCTTGCAGCTGATCTCTCACTGCGTCTTCCGAGGGCGTTTGTAGAATTCTAACAGCCTCTGAGGACAATCCCCGCACGATCTTGGCCCCGGCGGGAGTCTGATCCCGCGGAGAGGTCGAGGTGACGTATCGTGTGGGATCCTCTGCGTAGTCTTCTAGGGTAACTCTTTCATCGATCTCGACCACCTTCTCATAGAGAACATCCGGTCGACGGATGGCGAGGTCGAAGATCTTGGGCCGCGACTGATTGCCGATTCGAAGACAGTCCTTGAAACCCTTTGTCACGACAAGGGCCATGCGCTCACCTTTTCTCTCCAGAAGGGCATTCGTGGCCACGGTGGTGCCCATTCGGATGCTCTCGATACCGGATGTATCGATAGGCTCCCCACGGGGTATTTCCCGGCCCTCGAACTTCGAGAGCAGGCGGCGAATGCCTTCGAGTGGTGCATCGGAATAGTTGGAAGGATCCTCGGATAGAAGCTTAATGATGATATCGTCCTCCATCCTCCCCGTGCCGGGGTTGCCCACGCAGTCGGTGAAGGTACCACCTCGCTAGACATCGCCGTTAGTAACCCACGGGAATTATGCTTTTTTACCGGAACGTTGAAACGGTATAGGGAGATATGGGCGACTAACGTCGATTGCGATGCGGATTCCATTCCCTTGCCTTGCAGCCATGATGGAGCGTAGAGGGTCAGAGTTTTATTTTAAGAAAAGAAAATAAAATAAAAGAAAAGAAAACGAAACCGAGAAAGGACAGGACAGCCAAGGCCGGGTTCAATATGATTTCGTGAGGCCGAGCCGTTGGTTTACAGGCGAGCAGGATGCGGTTGACGGCGATGAGGGGCGGCTTTGGTCTTCCCCCCACCGAACAACCAGCGACGAGCCAGTGAGTTAAGTAACTACCTGTTAGTTAACCAGCTATTTCCGGCGCGACGAACGTCCGCTTCATTCAGCAAAACCCCAGCATAACGCAAGTCGATGATCGCAGCGTTCTTCGAGAGATGGCAAGCTTCGTCCAGCCCTGCTGTGCATCATGCATGCGCGGTGCTCTTCCTGGCGCTCGCTCGCCCGCTCTCGGCACGGCACCCGGGCTTCAGGCGGACTGCGGCCGGTTGGGTTTAACCTCCCTGTCGCTGGCCGAGTGCAGGTCTGCTTGGCGGCTCGTCCGCCTCTCCCCACTGGCGATGCACTAAACTAACTAACTAACGGGTTGGCTAGCGAGGTTGGTGAATGCCAGCTAGTCGACTCTCTCTCTTTCTTCCCCCCCCAGCACCGCTCGCGGAATCAGACTGGCGAATTTCGACTTTGTCTCTGCAGGTCCCGTCGTACTCCAACCCACACACGGCATCCTGTCACATCCCGCCGCCTTCCCGTCCTCTCTCGCCTGCCTTCGTGTGTCACCCCGTTTCAGCGATCGACGCCTGGATTGGCCTAAACGAAACCCCCCTTCTGCCGTCTTCAAGGGCTTCGTCACCCGATCGGGGTTCCAGCGCCTCCCATCGCCAGTCCCCGACCACCGTAGGCCCCAGGAGGCTGCCGTTTGACAACGGCTGTTGCGCAGTATTAGGTACGCTCTTGCGGCACTCTGGAATGACGGAAGCTGGCTCTGGGCGACTGAATTGTTGATCGATTCGACCCATCCTCGCTGGTGGTGGTCATTACTTGCCCCTGGATCCGACACTTGGCATTCTGTCGTCATCTCATCCGGCCAGGGACGATTTTTTTATCGATGTCAATGCCGTGAGAAACTGGGCGCCTTCGTTGGTCCATGTGTGATTCCCTTAAACCTCGCCAGTGTTACTGCTATGAACGATCGAGCACGAGGCCCATCGCCGTCGCCTTGAACAGTCGATGACCATGCCCGTCGAACCGTCCCGGCCCAGTCCACGCTCAGATCTTCTCGTCCTCCAGTCACCACTCTCACGTCAGCACCACATGCCCTTGCTATGCCCAGAATTCCGTATTGACGAATAGCGCTTCTGTTACTTTTCGACTTGTCAATTTCTACAATCCTGGATCCGCTACAGCGTTCACTGTGTTAGCCTGTGTGGAGCTCTTGTCATTTCGAAATGGACGCCGCTCAGGAACGAGAACGTAGTCGACGAGGCTCATCGCAAAAGTCCATGCTATCGAAGGCTCTCCAAAAAGCTAATACGGCCGTGCTCCTGGATAACGCCGCAAACTATGAAGGCGCCATCGATGCATACTCGGATGCCTGCGATCTTCTTATGCAGGTAATGCGCCGCACTGACGGCGGCGATGAAAAGCAGAAACTTGAAGAAATCGTAAGGATTCCAACATGCATGCAGTTAACTTGAGCACCTTTTCCTTTTGAGACTGACTCCAGCGGTGACCTTCAGCGTACTACCTATACTACCCGAATTACTGAACTTCGGCGACTTGGTCTTTCGTCCAGATCGGGTGGGAAAGCGTTGCCCGAAAGGCCTTTGAGCGATGAATCCTTGTCCCCTAGTGCATTTTCTTTCCGATCCGATGTCCATGATGAGTTGGACGAGGATGACCCATATGTTATCGAGACGGCAACTGCTACTCGAATACTCAATAATCCTTCTTATATGACCGACCCTTCTGAACCACGCACCTTACCTCCCTCACAGATTCCTCCGCGTCGGCAGTCTTTATTACCTTCAGCATTTGACGACGAAGTTCGTTTTTCTAGACCCAAAAAGCCCAGCTTGCTCCGTGCAGGTTCATCCTCAAACCTACCGACGCTGGCCGAACAATTGGATGAAAGCTCTCTTTCCGGTGATAGAAACTCGGAGGGTAACGCGTTTCACCATCAGAGTCCCTCACGAGATCCACCTCTACCTCCCCGTACGGTTAGCCAGCAATCAGAATACCGAAATCAATTGTCCTCTCACTTACAACCGGACTTCAACAACGAATCTACCTCCTGGTTGGATAATGGTGATTCCGGGGGATCTTCGGCTTCCTCCCTTCGCTCGAGGTCATCCTCTCTCTATCTACGAAAGAGAGATCGCATGGCTAGCGGAGGAACAGAGGCTGCATTCGATGCTGCACTGGATGCGGCCGTAGAGGCAGCATATGATGAGGGGTTGGAACCGGCCGACGATTCAGACGATATGTCAGCAGATGATGATATAGTTTTGAATGTGAGAAGAAACGTGGAACGAGCTAAGCAAAAAGTTCGTGAGGCTGAAATGGAAGCCGAAGCTATCTCTGCTAAGGAGAGAGAAACGAGGCGGATTCAAGAGGAAGCTTTTCATGGTAACTACGGCGCGTTAAACGCGAGCTACGAAGATGGAGAAGCGGAAGAGGAGGAACTAATATTGGAAGAAATGATGGATGTCTTCGACTTTGACTTGCAATCCAAGTCGGCCCTACCACGGCAGTCTGGCTCCAGTGGGTTTTCAGGCCGAACTTGGGGAAGTTCGATAGCGTCCAACGCTGCAACTACCGGAACATCACTATCTACCCTTGCAGAAGAAGAAATTCCACCCACGGATATTAAATTAGCTGAATCATCACAGAATCCTCCACCGTCACAACCGTCCTCCACCGCTCCGGCTCCTTCTACACCATTGCCACCTCCACCAGCACCCCCACCACCACCTCCTCCACCTCCTCCGCCTCCTCCTTCTGCAGCACTGCCATTTAGTCTCCCATCCTCCCTACCACCTCTTCCAACACCCACCCAACCCACAATCACACCTAATAGTCCGGTGGCTCCCAGTGTAAGGGCAAGGCGACTGTCTGGCTGGAACGCAAAGGAATTATCCATCGAAACAAATGGACGATTGCCGCTAGGTGCCGAGGCTCCTCTTACGGTCCCTGGGTCAAGAACGGGGCACATGTCACCGTCCCTACTACCCAAAGATGTGTCCACAACTGGGTTTACAGCTCCATGGCAAAATACAGAACCCAAATCCGCTTTCCCAATACAGCGTCTGAAATACAACCATGCTGCTGCAGGCTCAGCTGAATCCCTTCCAATACAGTCCCCGGTGGCCCCTTTCCCAGATTTGCAAGCAGACGAGGATGAAGATGACAGTATGGATCATCGGTCCAGTGGCCATACAGTTAGCAAAGTAGCTTCCGCACCGGACACGTTAAGAAAGGATACTATATTTTCACAATCCAAGTCGGCGCGAGGGAAACAGTTATCCATCTCTACTGAAGATACCGGCAGGGTCCCGGAGAGCCCGTTGGTATCTGCATTTCCTGCTTCCATGCGAAAAGGCCCCCATATGTCTGTCTCAACTGCAGGAAGCCCGTCTGTTGGGGCCCCTCACCATATTTTTGATGGGACGTTTCATTCCGCAATGGCACCTGGTTGCCCCGACTCATCTACCCCAAACCCCCCTGCGGCTCTGGAACCCTGTCCCCAGTCATTTTTGCTCCGTCCATTCTGGCTAATGAGATGCATTTATCAAAGTATCACTCATCCGCGGGGGGCTTATCTAACAACGAAACTTTTTGTTCCACGGGATGTTTGGCGGGTGAAGAACGTCAAGCTCAAGGCGGTTGAGGAAAAGATCTCAAATTGCGATCTTCTCACGGCTGCATTATTGAAAGTAGCGCAAGTTGACACCAACGATGCTGACGCAGTTCTCGAAGAAATGCAATCCCTGGATACCATTCTCGATCAGGTTCAATTGGCATTGTCAAAAAAGCTAGGTAACGAAGTCGGCGTCAATGGTGCGATGCACCTCTTCAAATCAGCATCATCAGAGGATTCTTCGACATTTAGCGAGCAGTCTTCACGATCATCGAGTGGGGGAAGTAGATCTTACCTCACTCCGTTTAGAAAATTGCGGTCAAAGAGCTCGGGGCCTAACGCCGGACCGTCTACCTCTGCGACTAAGGAGGCTAGCAAGGATAACCTAACCATGCACTCGTTGCCGATGAATACGACGTTAAATTTACGTGCCCCAAAACGAAATTTGCCGGAATTGAAATGCACAGGACCGAATGCTAACTACATGAATGCATTGGCAAGATTGTGCGATGCTGCGCAGGTACTTGGTAAGTTTATATCTTACGGCTTTTACCTTTCCCTTTGATGTATGCCATATACTGACCGCGGTCACATCAGATCAAATTGCCCGGCAAGTCGAGGACCCTGGGTTAAAGCACACATCCGAGACACAAGTGGGTCTAGAACTATGCGCACGCCATGCTGCGGAGTTTTTTGGCTTTTATGTTTGTCGATTTGCTCTGAATGACATAGGATTGATGATAGATAAATTCATTAAACGTGGGAGCGAATGGGTCTTGGTTTAAGGTGTGAGCTCTTTTTTTGGCTTTTCCTTGTTCCCGGGCTTTTTTTTTCTATTGGGGTATCCTTTTTGGTTGGTATTTTTGGTTGCTTTATATTTGATTATTGAAAGATAATATAGTAATATATATACACTAGATAGGGGGGTGTATGATGTATGACTTTGAATATGAAGTGATGTTCGAGGTTTTAGGCGTTATTATTGTCTGTTTGCTGGTATCATTTTCCAATTTATCAAAGCGATAAGTGATAATGGAGTCTTCACTTGTAATATATTTGTAAATGCAAATGCCAGAAACACAATGTTGCTACTTATGCCATGATAGAGTTCACAACAGTTAAAGCTAATGCGATATTTCGCGAGGACAAGGGGAAGAGGGACAGGGAGATAATGACTTCGGGCCGGATTCTGGTTGGTGCCGGGCAGCTAAGGCGCAGCCGAGAAGCTCACGGTTCGGGCCGAGTTTCGGCCCCGTGGACCCGTTCAACAATACCAGCAGCGACCGACGAAAGACCCACAACTCCTTCAATTCAATTCCGGGAGCGATCATTTCTCGCACGCAGTACGGAGTACTCCGTAGTCATTCTGAATTGTATTGGTTGGAGGGGACATTGCCTGATGGCTGGTCTGGCGAAGGTCCTACGAGTTAGATCAATAAAAGTACAGGAAAGCGAATAGTGAGAACCACCACATTTCCTATATTAAAAAAGCAAAGGCTCCTCTAAGCCGCTTCGATCGCAAGGTGAATTTCGTGTCCTAGTTTTAGGTATACTTCGCATCCATGGTGATTATTTATGATGTAAGACGGCGTGGCAGAGGATACCGGCGCCCTGGCTATCCCAAACTTTGGGCGCGTAGCATCATGATAAATAATTTTTTTGGAGAGGGAGGGTGGGTGTTCAGCCAGCGGAAACTCTTCAGAGTCAGGATAATCATTCACTACCCTAGCAGACTCGAATGATGCAGTCCTCCTATCAAAACATATTTTCAGGAGATTAGGTTGCTTGTGATATTGCCTACAAAAGACATACTACTCAGTTGTAGTGACATATATGTAAAGGAGAATATTAGAATATATATCTAGGTTAGGATGTGAGGGACAAAGAAACATAAGAATACCCGACTCAAAGCTTATAGTTGAATCGTCTCTCAACATTATTAACCAGCTATAGCACAGAGAGCCGATACGCTCTTCCCAGTTTGCATCATTAACATTTTTGCTTTGGAGGTCACCAAATATAGAAGCAAACTCCCGAAATGTCCCAGACGTGAATGGTGGAGAATTCCGATAACTCCCTAAAGGGAGATATCTGACGAGTGGCAAGTAATTGAGTGTCCGATAACATGCTCGAAATGATGTGTTTCATCTAGCCAATTGACACGAAGAACCTCCAGATGAGTTTGGGACCAAGATTTTGGGTGACAGAGAAGTATAACTGCAGTGGTTCGCTTCAAAATGTAATCCGGGTCCTGTGCGGAGCATGTGATGTTGCCAGGGTTCCCTTGTTTTGTTCCTAAAACGTCCCGTAAGGTCAAGATGAGCGCATGCTGAATCGATGAACGGCGTATTTCTCGCTCTTCGCATCATATGCCAATCGCCCACAGGCAACATCCACGATCTTGCTGATTTTGGGGAGGCCTTCTCGTGCATGAACTCTGACATTAGTCGCTTGCATGGTCACTTGCTTCCTACATTTGCTGGGAATTGCGAAAGAATCTATCGACCACCTCAAGAGAGGGGATGGGTCCTCTGATGATTTCTTTGGTTGACTTGTTTCGTAGTTGTGTATCGTGACAAACCCTTATATTGCAGAATGCCAAACGAGGATCACTATCACATTGAAAGTTTTCTGAAATCATCTGGAATGATAAATACCAGAGTTGCGGCTGCGTTCTTTCACAAGTTTTTCTCACTTAGTTACTCCATCGATCCAACATTCTCCAGGAGTAAAGGAGCACTGAAACGCACATAATACTCCTGGTTGGCCCCAGATCCGCGAAGGGTATTTCCAGTTTTTATGTCGAAATGTACGTTGACTCCGTCAAGTCCCCTTACTATGATGTTTTCGCCTTTCTGTCTTCTGTTTGAGCTGTTCATATACATCTTGGATGACTTCTTTAGTAAAAAATGGTATGCCATCATTATACATTGATTTCAGCTTAGAACGGACTTCCAATTCCATCGTCTCAAATTCGACTTCTGTCACATTTTCCGCAGCCGTACCGTGGCTCGCCCTGCGTGCATTTCCGCAATATGTATACGAATAGTCGACCATGGCTAGGTGCGGGATCGGGAGTTTTCAAGAAGACGAATAGAGTTGATATTTAGCGGGAGACAACTCTCTTTTTCTTAACAGCCTTTTGGAGGTGAGGGGTAATGAGCCAAGAAGATCGATGCAAGGAACAGCGCAGCTTTGGCGATCGGTAGGAGTTTCACGCGCTTAGTTAGTCATGGACGTTCATTTTCCCTTTCGGCCATTCACACATATTGCGCGAGTCGATTTAGATCTTGCAAATGCTCGAGTAGAGCTCAACAGAGGTTATGGTTATTTTGATGCTATCGCCTCTTGAAACGGCATGACCCTTCACCCCCATCGTTCCATGAAATTCTCCCGAGCGAGATCCGATTGGTGCAAGATATCCGTGTTCAAGCTCTCGATGCCCTTCTGAACGGCCCCAATCTGCACTTCCAAATTCGCAATTCTCTGCTGTTGATCCCTGTCCACCAAGGAAGGCTGAAAATCAGAATCGCAATGCATGGCGGAAGAAAGGAGCTGCGCAGCCTTGTCGGCAGAACCCAGATTTGGAATGAGAGGCGAGGCTGCTGTTGCATAGATATTTTCGAGCATTTCCAACATGTGTGAGGCTTTTTCATTGAGAATATCGTTTACTGCTTCAGTCGATTTCGCATTCCGTAACGAAGAGAATGAGATACCATAACGTCTGAGCATGGTCTCCAGAGAGCGTGTCAGTTCGTTTTCGGCGGAACCGGCCTTCATTTCCATAGATTCTCGCGGGCTCGCGTAGGCTTGCGACAATCTTGAGCTATATTTTGATAATCGCTTGTTCTCTGGCTTTGCTTTTTGGAGCTTGTGGCGACTAACCTCGTCTTGATAAGTTGAAGCAAGCGAGTTAAGCGCAGACTGATGAGCCTGTCGGGTTTTAAGCTTTTCCGTAATACTGTCGGTCGATTCAGTCAACTGGATAATGGTTTCAAGGACCTACAGGGGGTATTAGTGATTAAATTTGATCCATGCAGGGGTAAAGCGTACATGCTGCAGCTGTTCCTCGACGCCCAGCTGCGATCTCTCCTGCCACTCCTCGAGCACTCGTAGTATCGGAGAATGAAATTGCTGCCGAGCTGCCATATCGGATAGAATGCTTATCTCGGGATAGAGTGAGTTTATCTCCGCGTCCACGCTCTCAAGCTTTTCCAAGACATGAGGATCATCATCTTCCGAATCCTTCGCACTTTCAACTGTCTCCAGGAACACTCGATCTAAGCGGCAACTAATCTCTTCGGCAATGTACCTTGCAAGAAGAGCACACAGATCGCTGACTCGCTTCTTCAACAGGCTGCTCTCTTCAACGGATTGTGAATTCGCCGCCACCTTTTCCATATTACGAAGTACCACATCATGCTCTCTCAGTAAACTAGACGTGGTTGAAATCAGGTTATTTTGATCTGTAGACAGTGTTTTTTGCGCGGCTTGTAACTTTTCTTCAAAGTCATGTATTAAATCTTCAATCTAGGAAAGTGTCAATAATTAAACCATCAGAAGGCGATTTTGGCTGACATTACCGCTAAGTCAGTTTGTTGCCTCTCCGCTGTATGTCCAGTTGACAGTCTTGAGGCCGATTTTGAGCATTGCTGCTCAACTTGCTCGGCTTCACGAATCTGCGACTTGAGTTCCCTACACTGCAGCCTCAAGGCCTCGGTTTGGCTCTCAGTCGCTGAGGTTGACGCTTTGAGCGACTCGGTTGCTGTCTTGATCTCATCGTCGAGAACTGGTCTTGTGCCGGAAAACTCGCTCCCTTGAACGATAGCATCGAGGCCCGCAGAAGCCTCTATCTTAGAATATCTGTTGCAATAGCAATGGAAACGATCAGATATCGGTGGCAAAGAAAGGCGTGAGGTAAATATGCCTACAGAGTCAATTCTTCCCTGGAAAGCAAGGTGTCATCGCCGAGATGTTTCCGGACCCAATCCCTGGTCCCCGGATCCTCGAGAGCAGTTCGGATATCTTCATATTTGAACGGGATATCTCGACTTTTAAGAATAGCAACAACTTCTTCCTCCATTTTATTGTACTGCCCTTCCTCGTATGGATCTGGAGGAGACGTCGGGAACACGGGAATGAATGCCAGTTGCAAACAACAAGCTTCATGCCAAGCCTGCTGGTTCCTAACCGCAAACAATCCAAGTGGGGTTTTTGACATCGGGCATTGTGCATAATACAAGTAGCTACTCCGTAGACAAGTAGTTAATGATATAGAATAGTGTCTTGCGGCCGGTAAAGGCGTTGCATTGCATTATCTACATGGATAATGGGTTTCTTCTAGCGAGAGACAGCTCTTTGTCGACTTGATTCACGCTATCAACGAACAAAGTCTAGAGAACTATTTACACTTAAGACCTATGAGCGTATAGTTCCAATATGATGGAAATGACTACGATATCAAAGGATGGAGAATGTGTGGAGCCGGGAAAACTTCCATGTCAGGTCTCCCCGGAACCGTTCAAACCCGGAATGTCGAAGATATATTAAAATCCCCCACACCCTAAAACTTCTAGGTTTTGGTAATATGCGGTGCGTTGTCCCTCCGGGAAACATATGTACAAGCTCCTAATAAATCTCATTACTCGCGAGGTGAATGCCGATAATATCCTCTAATGTTCGCCTGCGCTATCATGAGGCAGCTGCAGATTGGTTGCGCCGTCGTGTGGGTTTGGGTAGTACCAGGTCGTAACTGAAATAATCATGTATACAAGAACAAGAAGACCTCCCTCCAAGTAATTGGATTTGCGGTCACGGAGGAAATTACCGACAACGATAATCGAAAGCACCAAGAGTACAATCATGAAAATCTCGAAATTGAGGTCCATCTGCTTGCCCAATCCCCAGCCGACCACAACGACAAGTGGTGCATTGAAAAGGGCGGTTTGGATGGATGGGGCGAGGCAATGGTATAAGGCAAAGTTGATTTGGTTGTCCCTAAAAGGAAAGATAAGTAGAGCTCTACAACAAAACAGAAATATGATTGGTTATGGCTTACCAGGCTTCGTCAATGGCGGTTAAATGCTCGGCCGCTTTCTCAACCAGCGGCACGAGGATGAGGCCCATGAAATTATCCGAAACTCCACGCTCAACTATTGGTGGGATTTCCTGAACGAGGAAGACAGCATGGAGGGAGACGCATGTGAGAGAAACCAGGATGGCGAAGACGCACTCAGTGAAAGTGAGCTTAGCCCGTCGCTGCTCTTCCACTCTGTCTTCATCTTGGGCTTCGTCAAACTCAAGTACTTCGTCATAGATGCCGTGATGACTCTGTAAGTTAAACCAGAGAAATCTAGACTGGTTAGTCGCACAAGGTCCTCTGCAAAGACGAGGTACACTTACAAGAAAAATGCAACTAAAAGAATGACGGAGGTGGCACGACTGATGGTCCGAGTATTGCGAAGTAACACGTCTGCCGTAAAAGCGCCCTCAGACGACGTGCTACCAGCCAGGGCAGAATAAAACGCGCTGGGGATCATCAGGCCGAAACCAGCAACCAACATAAGGCCAGAACCAGTCTCGCTAATCACTTCGTGGAAGGTTTGTTCATCGCGGCGCAATCCCCCCATGAAAAAGCAGAACCCCAAGCAAAGAAGAAGATTCGCCAGGATAGATCCTAGAATCGCAGCTTGTATAACCGGGATAAGATTGTTATTGTGGTCATTGGAAATTAAGACCATGAAGAGGACTATCTCAACCGTGCCGCTCAAAAGAGTTTCTGCCAATACGCCCAAGACCTTAGGCATTTTCCTAGCCAATTCTCCACCAGCAAATCCGAGAATATTCGCTGACGGGACCATCGCGATGTAATTCAAAATAAAAATCCATAGATGTAGATCCGGTCGGGCAAAATGCAGCACTATCGCGGGAGGAACAAATGGCCAGAGCACATTGACGTACATCGAGACTGGCGTTGTGCTTTTCCAACACACCTTTAGAAATAAAAGGGGGTCGAAACCGGTTCTCCCGCTCTCTCCAGCTGTCTCGACACGAAAAAGTGCCCGTCCTTTAGCATGATGCAGCGGAAGAATCGAATGCTGATTTTTTTCCGACATTTTCGAGGATCGCGGCGAGGTAGTATCAGACGGACCCGGAGGATCAGGTTCTAATTGAAGTGTGCTCATCTTGGAATCACAAGGAGAGTTTATCAGTATTTTTTCAACTGTAGTGTTCTTCCTCAAAATTGGGCATAAGTGAAAAAAGGCAAGTAATATTAGCAAGTTTTAACAAGCTTCCTTGAGCGACGAACGAGCTTCAGTGCACATTGCTACCACAGTCAAGTTCAAGAGAAGAGATAGGCAAAGAAAATTTCACTAGGGACCAGGTGCTGGTTAATAATTGATGAATTGAATGATAAAAAGAAGAAAATGGAATGAAAAGGGGTGTGATGAAGAGAATTCGGGGGAGGGGGGAAGTGAAAGAGTGGCCAATTGTCAAAGAACCGAGAAGAGAGAGAGAAGCTGCGCAAGGGTCAGCGACGAGTTGTCGGCCTCATGGTGAGCTGATTGCTCTCGATCCACTTTAGCTCCTGAAGCATTTGGTTATTTAACAGCTTGAACACCACCCCCGGTGGGTGTTTGATTGCCGGATGCTTTTGTGATGGCGCTGAAACAGGAGCCCGCAAGGGTCAGCATATTCACTTCCACTCTGATCTTCAGAAAAAATCATGGGTATTAATAAATCCATTGTTGCCATTGGCATTTGGACATCCTCAACCAAATCACTCCAGAGATTTTCCTGAGACGGGATGACTATGGCGACGGAGCCTGTCGAGTTATATATAGTTAGTTTTGCCTGTTGTAGTTCGCGCACTAAAAAATGCCCAGACTTTGCTAGTTGTTATCGAATCGAACACAGATGAGATGGTGTGCAGTTAAAAGGCCGAAGGGCGGCACAGTATACTTCAGAAAAGCCATGCTTATCCCTCCCGACTTCTGTCAAGATCAATTGATTCGAAGTTGCGGACCTCATTGTCATGACAGCACCGAGTACTGGTGAAAAGCAATGAAGGTTCGCGTCGCGAGCCAAGTCGATTCGGCTACAAGCGGCCCACTGGTTCGCAAAAGCTTACTTGGTTGTCTGGATAGACTGATGCGATACCCCGCGATCAGAGATAATTCCTCTCTCAGGGACAAGGAGACTATATCTTCACAAACTAGCCAGGGTGCAATAGATACCCTGTTAGTTTATTCCTTTTTTTCGTTTACTTTTCGCGATAATAGTACTGGAGGTGTTCTACTTTGCAACTTGACAAAATGGCGCAGAGCTCAACCAGAAGCCCTCCAACGGTCATGGAGTCTGTCACCGAGCAAATAGGCAATACCCCTCTTGTGAGGCTGCACAAGATCCCCAGGAGCCTCGGAATCGAAGCCACTGTGTATGCGAAGCTGGAATTCTTCAATGCCGGAGGGAGCGTCAAGGACAGAATTGCTTTGCGGATGATAGAGGAGGCCGAACGCAAGGGAAGAATAAAGCCCGGGGATACGTTGATTGAGCCTACCAGTGGAAACACGTAGGTTGAGAAAACTTCGCTACGGAGGTATCATCATTAAGTGTGAATCGTATACGCTGACGTGCGCTGGATATAGTGGCATTGGATTGGCTCTCGTTGCAGCCGTCAAGGGATACAAGACCATCATTACGTTACCAGAGAAGATGTCGGCGGAAAAGGTTGCTGTCCTCCGTGCTTTGAATGCTACAATTATCCGTACACCAACCGAAGCGGCCTATGATTCCCCGGAATCGCACATCGGAGTAGCCAAGAGGCTAGAGAAGGAGTTGCCAAATGCACACATCCTGGATCAGTATGGGAATGAAGACAATCCATTGGCCCACGAGTTCGGTACCGCGGAGGAAGTTTGGACCCAAACGGATGGGAAGATAACGGCTATCGTTGCAGGCGCAGGGACGGGGGGAACAATTACCGGCCTGTCTCGTGGTCTGAGGAAACATAATCCTAAAGTCACAGTGATCGCTGCCGACCCTCAGGGATCAATCCTTGCCTTGCCAGAGTCGCTAAATGAAGAGCACAAAAACGAGCCCTACAAAGTTGAAGGGATTGGATATGACTTCATTCCGGATGTTCTTGACCGACAAGCTATCGACAAGTGGTACAAAACCGGCGACAAGGAGTCCTTCAAATATGCTAGACAACTGATTGCCGAAGAAGGCCTCTTGGTTGGTGGAAGCAGTGGCAGCGCCATTGCTGCACTGGCGCAAGCTTCAAAGGACTTCAAATTCCAGAAGGATGATGTCGTCGTCGTTATTCTTCCTGACAGCATCCGAAGCTACCTCACAAAAGTAAGATCCTCTTCTCTTGTCTCCCAGCTCTCTTTATCTTTAAAGCATGGCTGACTATTACCTAGTTCGCTGACGATGACTGGCTTGCTGCCAATGACCTCCTTCCAGCCGCCCCAGTATCCGTTCCCCCGTCCCCCGAAATCCAACCTAAGGGCTCCCGGGATCAATTCGCTGGCGTCAAGGTCAAAGCTTTGAGACTCAAGCCCGTATCTACGGTACCCTCCGACTCTGCTTGCGAGGCTGCCATCGAAATTATGCGCGAGAAGGGCTTCGACCAACTCCCCGTACTCGCTCCCACCGGCCGCCGCCTAGTTGGCCTCATTACACTTGGGAACATTCTAAGTTGGATCGCCCGTGGACGCGCAACCGGCAAAACGCCCGTCTCCGAAGTCATGTTTGACTTTTCAAAGCTATCCGAGGTGATTACAGACTCTCGTGACTTAACCAAGCTTGAACAGAACGCCGTCCATAGGAGAGGAAAAGAGGACCGCAAGTTCATCGAAATCACCCTCGACACACCCCTTAGCACATTGAACCGCTTCTTCGAGTGGAACAGCGCTGCGGTGGTTACCGAAAGAGACGAACAGGGAAATATGAAGCCTGTGGCTGTCGCTACTAAGGTTGATCTGTTGACGTGGCTCTTAAACCAAACAAAAGTCAACGCTTGATTTCAATTTTCAGTGACGGCCTTTCCTTGTGCGAGCAGCCAGCTGCAATGTACGTGATGATGATAGACTTGCTTACGTTTGCACTTATTATAGGTGCTGTTTCGAAGCGCATGCACTCTTCTGTATGATACATCTGAACATTCTATTAGGGTGGCATTTTGTGCGCAATTTGCAAAGAGAGCAGTTTTCAACAAGCGACCTTGGGTTTTGGTGAATGATCTAGCAAATATTCCTTTAACAGCACATAGTGATAATGACCAAACCATACATGTACTCTGTAGTAGCTTGGGTATTTTCTAATGTTTCACTTAGGTCTCTCAGCTTAAAACACCTATCGTGTCTAAACAAGTGTAAGTGACATTTCTCATACAAAGTATGAGCTATATGGGCTCTTTGCATTCCACCCCGCAATCCTCCAGTTCAACAGAGGGTACAGGAATGCAATTTTTGCAGCTCTTAGGCTTGCGAATGACAAGGATCGAAAACTGACCATTCGCTATTAACCCTAGCTGACTAGGCGGCCATTTGTCATGGGATTCCGTTATTACTGGGGACTTCATGTGCTTCAACCATGGGCATTGGAGATGGTACGGGTTGACCCCCTCTCCACCATGGTATAAGGGGATGCTACCAGTAAGCAAATGGTTAGGTGGAAAGCCAAGGGTTAAATCTCCCTCGAGATTTAGCCCCGAAAATGTACACACAGGGTGATGCGGTGCACCCGTCGCTCGTGGATGTATGTTGATAAACATTGAATATTTTCTATCACAAACAAGAACCGATCCATTCCTCCCATTGTCGGACGCCGGCTCCTGCATCTGCTTCGTCATTTGGTCTCACCGCACCCCCAACAACGGTGACCTTTACGCCCGCGTCTTCTTCCAATAGTTTAAAGGTGAATTTTTGCCGTCCTTCGTCGCCGCCCAGAACATCCTGTTCGTCATCACCTACACTGACGTCCGCGTCAAGCACACCTTTGCGTTTTGATTGGCGGATCTTCTCAATTTCCGCCTCTAATCTTTCCTTCACGGAGTTGGCCGGTAGAGCGGTAAATAGATCTTGCTTATTTGCAGCAACGAGGACCGGAATGTCTTGTAATTTCCTGAAGACACTGGTCTTACTCTTTGCGAGTCTTTTTTGTAGGATCAAGAGCACATCGTGTAGGTATCCCGCCGCATCTCTCAGTTCAGTCTCGTTCATGATCGTACCGGCATCCACCATGAAAATAACTCCACGGGCGACACCTTTTTTGGACTTGGGGTCGGCCATGGACGTTAATTGTAACATGCCTTGGGAGTCTCGTAATTTTCCATGCCCAGGTGTGTCTCGAACTCGGTATTTAACTTGTGATTTCTTGCGTTCGGCAAGAGTTGGATCATTCACCGATCGGAAGGCGTTTGAGCCTATCGGGATAGATGGGGGCAGTGTCGCGGCAACGAAGGACGGGGTTTGGGACGTATGTGTTCGCGCATTCGATTTGGGAGCTCTGGTGGACTTTCGCTCAAGCTGGCGCAAAAAGAGATTAGGTTGCATGACCTCAAGTATTCTTCGACGTCGAGTCATTCTTACAAGTGTGCAAAATGCTGTCTTCCCCGAGCCACTCGGGCCAAGAAGTAAGAAGTCATGGTGGCCTTCCGCGGAAGCTGCACGGTAGAGTACTAGATGGATTAAGATCGGGAGCGAGAATGCCACAAGGCAAGTCACCAAGATGGCCAGACCATTTCCGGAGAGAAGAAATGTAAGGACGGCGCTCACAGAGGCCCATTCCATTGCGGTATGTGGTGAAGATGCTCCTGGAGCGGTGAAAACACTGGGGATAAAATTTGTCTGTGGAGCAGGCTCTCGGCCTTTTATAGACGGGGATACCTTCGGTAGCTCCGTACTATGAGGCCATTAACATTCAAAAGTTTCCGAGAAGCGAGCTAGCGCACCCGTTCCGCATCGGCAAAAGAAATATGAAGCCGCTACAACCCGTCAACATTCAACTTTCCAAGGCAGAGCCCAGGGGGAGAATTATTTTTTCTGGACTCCGGATACTCTGTAAAGCTTATACCTTTACTCTGTATGCTGACCCAGATGTAACATTACCTCAGGGAGTGGATGATGTTGTCCACTGTCAAATAACAATGGAAGGATTACGTAGTTCCTCCTGTCACAAATGATGGGAGCGGAACACATCATCCCCAACCCTCTCACGCCACGCGCACAACATCGACTAGCTGAACAAACATTCTGACTGGCGAGAGGGCGTTTCTAAGCTTGCTGTTGCTTGCTGTTGCTTGCTAAACCCCTTGCATCATGAAACTGAATCTGTTCTATAACCCCCTCCTGTTTCTGGCGAGCCCTTTGAGGGCTGTTGCATCGCCGGTCCAGTTCGCTCGGCCTACAGCTGGAGCAGTTACCTATGGAGGCAAGCCACTTCATGTCGAATGGAAGTACTCTGAAGGGCCAGAAACCCAGCTTGAGTCAAAGCAGTATAGCCTTTATCTCTGTGCTGGTGGTAATGATATCAACACCTATGTGAGTTGGTCTGGGCCTGTCTCCTGTTACACGCACGTCATATGTTGATAGATGTCTTCTTGGGACCAAAGACTAATGAATCCACAAACACGGAAATAGGAGCCATTAATGCCTTTAGTTGAACAAGGTCTCCTTCAGGAGATGAACTCATTTTCCGCCGTCATCGATCCCAAGTTAGGCGGCGAGAGCCCCAATGCATAGTGCGCACCCTGCATACATTGCCTAACTGTCACCGCACACAATCTGACCTCATGATAGTTTTCTCCAATTCTCTGTTGAGGCTTCCAACGGCACCATTTTCTTCTACTCTCATCGTTTCACAATTTCCGGCATGACTGGCGCATTCCCTCCACATATCGCCGCAGCACTTAAAGCAATCTCTGGCACAACCACAGGTCCACGTACTTTTAACAACCTCCACAAACGACAAGTCGGTGCAGTTCCTCCTGGCGCTCAGGCAGATCTACCATATAACGAGCAAACTGGGCCGACAAGGTATGCGCCCGTTCCAACGCCACCACCAACCAAAATTACTCTCAAGTCTGCGGCGCCATTGTTCCCTACAAGCGAGTATAAGATCGCGACGACAAAACTGCCTGTGGCAAAAGTTATGACTACTATATCCCGTCCGCCAGTTGAAACTGTCAAGCAAATCGAGAATACTGTGAGTTTTCAGAGCCAGAACTTGAACCCAGCCAGAGTTGTCCTGGTTCGGATGCTAATTCATTCTTTCTATGAAACCTAGGCTGCTGCTGCTGCTGATCATGAAGATGATGAGATGCAAAGATTTTTGAAAAGATGGCAAGATTAATACATAGCCTTTTGTTCCATTTCTTTTATAGGGTCCAGGTCAATATACAGGAAGGTTACAGTTAATGAATGGGGCGTTCTGGGATAGGGTAATCAGCGCACAGAGTTTTATCTGGGCAGCTTTGGCTTGAGTTGCAAATCACAGCGCCTGGATTTGTAAGGGGCCATGTATTATTCTACCTCTAGGAACCTAATTAGGAACACATTGTAAACTACCGAGTTCATCCTTTGTCAATGGTTATGAATAGTTTCCTTTCTTGCATTAGACAGAGCTATGATATCATCATTATGCTGTTAAGCAATCGGCGACAAGGCGCCTCTATATGTGGAAGTCATCAAATTCTAAACATGGGTCATGAGATATAAGATATAAACAGTGAATCTAAAGAACCAGAGCAGAATCTAGAGAACCCGAGCGGCTCATTGGCTTAGCCTCCTCCAAGACTAATGAAGTGAATATAAACAAAATAGAAAAAAGCGCGGGTAGTGGGCCATTTTCTAGGCTGCCACTACCTTATCGATCACAGGAGACTGCGCGCCGCTTCGAACCATGAACTCATCCAAACCGGGCGTACCGGGCCGACTAGGTCGATCTGACATGTGGAAAAAGGAAATATTCTCGCGCAACGCAATGTACTCGCTATCTGCGTAGCCCAAAACTGTCCGTATTTGTGTACTTCTTAACCCCTTTATACGGGCGATCTCCGCACTGCCGTAATTTACGAGCGCTCGTCCGGCTTCCTTTGGCTCCTCGCCGTTCAGAGGGAAATCCCCATTGAGAGCCGATGGGGAGCGCCGCTCGACGACTACGACCCGCACCGCTTCCTGTTGGGAGAAGTGCCCCTCGACTGCCACGACGCCGGCCGGAAGAAGGCTTGCGTTGTTTAAAATAGCGCAGTAAGCACCATGGTCGATATATATTGTGCCATGAGGTGTGATTCCATGGAGAATCCAGAACGATCTGGATTGCATCGGAGTGGTCGAAGGGAGGAAACGGGTGTGTAACGGAGGGGTATATAGGGGAGGCTGAGCCATCGGCTCTCCTTCGATAAGGGCCAGCGAGCGCTTGGAGCTTTCGAGGTAATCTATAATCTCCGAAATGTTTCCAGGCCGAGAACTGCGTGTAATGACGGTTGTGACACCTGCACTTGTAGCTAGTCGGGCTGCCACAATTTTGGTGCTCATTCCCCCCGTGCCTAAGGAGGATCCGGCTGTCGAAACGTCAGCTTCAAGAGACGAGATATCATCAACCACTTCGATAACCTCGGCATCGGGGTTGGTTCGCGGGTTAGAAGTGTATAGGCCATCGACATCAGTCAAAAGGAATAAGTAATCCGCTTGGACCATCGCAGCTGTAATCGCAGAAAGGGTATCGTTATCTCCAAATTTTATTTCCTAAAAGTGAATTGTTGGTTAATTTAAATGCCCTTTAGCAACACTTTTTGGAGATGTCGAACCGAAACAGCAAGGGTATCATTCTCGTTCACAATAGGAATCACGCCCATTTTTAGCAATTCATCAAAGGTATTTTGAGCATTAATATATTGGGTCCTCTGTTCAGCCGTTAGTGTACAAGGATCGTCGAATTCGAGCGGTCAAGCTTACATCCGCAATATCGTTTCTTGTCAACAATATTTGGGCAATGGGCTGGCGAAGATGAGCGAAAAGACTATCCCATATACCCATCAACTGGCACTGTCCAACAGCAGCCAAAGCCTAGAAAAGTTAGCTCCGGAGCTCGCTCCTGCTCACGGCGTCGCATCAACATGCCTGAATACAGGGCAAGTGTTTTGGTCTCTGCTCAATGTCCATTTTGCGTAGCCCAACGCCGACCGCTCCAGACGAGACGATAATGACTCGATGGCCATCTTTATGAAGTTTGGTCGCCATCTCCACGATCAGAGTAAGGATCGAAAGAATCGGCTCACGGGTATGCTCATCCACAATTGAACTCGTCCCTGGAAAAGGCGATTAGCCTACGCTTCATGACATGACATATGATCGAGGCCCGCGGTAAACCCCTCACTCACCGAGCTTTATCACAATGGTCAATGCCTTCGAGGTTCCCTTCATCTTGGACCAAGTTTAACCTATGACCCGCACTGGCTCTCATATCAACCACGCAGGCGTTTTTCATGAATCTCTTCTCCAGGAAATAATCCAAGTGCAATAAAAGAGGAACAGGCTGCTAAAAACGACACCCGCAATCATCGGGCGGTAACGGCTCAAACCTGCAGATCTCCACTGGGAATTTTCGGATTGACAGATGTGGTTGCCGCAGGCTTTGTTAGCCAAAGCTAGTTATCCAATTATTCTGCCGCCCGACACCGCTGAATGTTTCAGCGTTTATTCCGCAATCAACATAGCGGCGTGCTCAACGGCCGAAGCAGTTCACTCGCGAGCAATACCAAATCAGAATCTTTCTAATACGTGATATTCCTTTATTTACGGAGTGGACCGGATTAATATACTGCTAATATTCAATGGCAGAGGCTGCTTCGTCCGGTTCCAACTCAACCAGTCCCCCAAAGGACAACGGATATATTCCCGGCGACGATGCCTGGACAATTTGTCGCAACCTTTGGCGAGGCCTTACAGGGAAGATGACACAAGAAGGAATGGAGCAATTCCGGGTTGCGAGAGATGTTAGGAATGAAAAGGAAGACTGCAAACGCTGTGAAGACCAAAGAGATTACCTCCTTCAATACAGTACGGCCTTCCGAAGCCTGCTCCCTCCCACTCTCAGATGTTGCTGACATCTTTACTACTCTAATTTTAGGTCCATTAATTCGATTTCTTCAGGATAATATCCAACAACTCGGTGGAAATATTTCAAAACACAACATTTTCTGTCGGCGGTGTAAGAACCGACAGGCTGGCGGCTTCGATCCCGACTATGGAATTCAGATTTGTGCCAATGAAATGAGAAATCAAGGGCACCTGGAGGATACTCTAGCGCATGAAATGATTCATGCATACGATCATATGAGATTTAAGGTGGACTGGGACGACAACCTGAGACATGCTGCCTGCGCTGAGGTACATCCCCCCAAATGCATGATTTGTTAAATCCGTTGAGAAGGAGGGCATATCTGACCGTCGCCTATCGTATTAGATTCGCGCAAGTAATTTGAGCGGGGAGTGTAGGTGGATGAGGGAATTCTTTTCCCGAGGACAATGGAAATTCGCTCAGCATCACCAAGAATGTGTGAGACGGAGAGCCATACTATCCGTCCAAGCGAGGCCAGCTTGCAAGGATGAGCAGCACGCCACTCAGGTTGTAAATGAAGTTTGGGACAGTTGTTTTCGAGATACCAGGCCGTTTGATGAGATTTACCGGTGATGAAATCCAAACTCGATAATCACATGCTTTCGACAGAACTATGGCGTCAGGTGTGGATTTTTGTGAATATACTATTATAGATTCCATGTAACATTAGATCCTCTGAATAATGAAATTAACGGGGCTCAGTGCCCTGTTTTTAACCTGCAACTCCGCACGCTAATTGCACTGGCATAGCCGAAAGCGCCCCATGCTCCCAAAATGCCAAAATGCCAAAGAAAAAAAAGAAAAAGAATAGATGGGAAAGAAATAACAAATGCTCGCTCATAAAACATCAATTATCTCCTTTTGCTTCCTTTCTGGAACTTCTTTGTGATGCTCTTTCGCCTTTGATGCAATGTTTGATAATCCATGGGTGCTTTTGAACCTCATCCAGAGGAATACGCTTGGAGGGGTCAAGGACTAGCAACTAGTGAGGAGTTAGCTTTCAGCCCAAGATGGATAATCAAAACTGGACCCACTCTTTTGATCAGGTCCCTTGCCTCTGAGCTCACAAAGGAAGGAATCGTCATATCACCTCGCGCAATGCGCCTCCGAGTTAGAAAAGGAGTGTCTTCGAAAGGAGCTTCGCCAACGAGGAATTCGTAGGTGAGAACACCCAAGCTCCACAAGTCCACTTTTTCATCATAGTAGTTGTCTTGGCTTCCAGGGATGAGCATCTCCGGTGGCAGGTAGTCAAGGGTACCGCACATCGTTTTTCGCCGATTGTTAGGGGCATGGACACTCCAGCCAAAGTCGCTGATTTTAATTTCTCCATGAATCCCGACAAGGATGTTTTCGGGCTTGATATCCCGGTGCATGACATGTTTTTTGTGTAGATATTTCAACGCAGCCGCCATTTGTGCAATGTACTGTGCGGCTTTCCACTCTGGAAATCGATTCTCCTTTCGTAAATGTCTATACAATTCTCCGTTCCCGGCGAATTCAAGAATCAGGAACACTCTCTTCGAGTCGTGGAAGTGACCAAACAGACGTAGAATGTTGGGATGTCTGAGGTTGCTCTGAATTTCGATCTCTCGCCGCAACTGTTTCTCGACGCCTCCTTTCACCAACTCATGCTTATGAAGAACTTTCAGGGCGCAAACAAAGCCCGAACTCCGCTCTCTGGCGAGATAAACCCGTCCAAACTTCCCTTTACCAAGGGGTTTTCCAATCTCAAACATTCCAAGATGCCAGTTTTTCGCGACCGCTGGCTGGCCGTAAAGGTTGCTTGCAGCACTGCTCTCCTCGGGGGGACGGGAAGACCCGTTCTCCTTTTTATATGGAGGTGAAGCAGTATTCAGATGCAGCCTTCCTTCATTGTTCTGTAGCGCAAATTTTAATAGGTTCGCGCGGCCGGCGTTTAGTGAGGCCTGGCTGGCAGTGGACAAGCCTGATATTGGGAGAGCCTTTGGTAAACCGGGCTACAGCCTTGTCAGCGTCATTTCGCGAAACAATATCGGATTCTACCGAAGATACCTTGGGCTTTTCTGAGCCAGTGTGGCCACTTGGTGGAGTATTCTCGTCATTAACTGACAGCTGTTCAAATCGAGCTTCTAGTGTCTTTGCCATCTCTAAGAGCGCAACGTATCCGTAGGGTATTGCGAATGGAATTAAAGGAAAGCAGTAGCCAAAAAAAAATTAACAGGGAGGTAATGCTGTATTCTGGTCGAGAGTCGAAAGGCAAGATCCAGGAATTCGAGAAGAAGAAATAGTTCTCAGCTTCATGTTTACCCGCTGGTCCCAGTTCGGTCGCCATAGCAACAAGCCACTCCGGTCTCCTCGTTGCGACTTTGGCCTTGGCGTCTGGCGGGGTGGAGAACCACCAGACGTAAGATATCGGGAACACGGCTACACTCCTGTCAACCAACCGGAATTCCTTCGATTTACAAGCGCGCTGGTCTTTTCCCCAGGTTTATTTCCTACGCCGAATCCCAGATCCCAACCCAGATCGCACTCCAAGGAAGCATGGCAGAACACCGGGTGTTTCCACCGCGCCCCATCCCGGATCGCCCGCTCGATACTCAATTTCCATCTCCCGAGACTCCAAACTTCAATTCGATTAAGAAGAACGGCTTTAAGATAACCACTCGCAAATTACCGATCCTCAAGGCTGGCCCGATTGATGCGATGACAAACAAGCTTGGAATTGCCCCACCAGAGATGATATTTGGCGACAATTTAGTATCGATTGAGCACCCGCAGTCCGGATGGGGGATTAAGTTTAACGCCTTCGATGCCCTGGACCGAGTCGACAAGACGGGGCAATGTGCATTGAAGGTGGCGTATTCAAGAGAATGGCAGAAGAGCCGGTGCGTGGTATCTGCTTGCACATTCCATTTCCTGATATCTATGTTACTGACTGCACTACATAGAGAGAAGACACATGAGGGAATAAAGGAAGTTGTGAAACCTTTTGATTGGTCTTACACGACAGATTATAAGGGAACTGTGACTTCGAATGGGAACGAATTTGAACCTTCGACGACGCCGTTGCCACTTGACCGCTTAAAACGGCCAGACCCGATACTCTTCTTTGATGATGTAATGCTTTATGAAGACGAGCTGGCCGATAACGGGATTTCAATGCTATCCTGCAAAATCAGGGTAATGCCATCGTGCCTGTTATTGCTCTGCAGGTTCTTCATGCGGCTAGACAACGTTCTCTTCCGCCTCAGGGATACCAGGATCTTCATAGATTTGGATACGCGGGAAGTCATTAGAGAATACACCTCCAAGGAGGAAAGCTATGATGCTGTTCGCCAGGTATGCATGATCCCTCTGTGCCTCGCGGAAAAAGCCGTAAATCTAACTCAGCGGCAGACTCTCGCCGCGACACGCGAGGATGTACCAGCCATGATGAGAGACCCCAACAAATTGACCGAGATAATCCCATTAGTAGCCAGTAGCTTGGAGAAGGTTGTGCTGCCTGAGTGAGGTGGGATACTATCAACAATATGCTATAGGAATGCTTTCGCATTATCGCTTTTCGATCCTCTGGAGAGATCAAAAGATCCTTCATCACACATTGTCCTGCAGCAAGAAAAGACTGCATTTTGAATGGCGTTTCACCTGTATGATACCATGTCGACAGGCTTCGATTAGAGCTAATGACTATACTCGGGACGCCGCTGAGATAGATATAGCATTGGCGAAACCACCTTACTTTCCGAGTCTCGGGAGGAGCCGTTGGATTAAGAACGGCGGAAACGACTTAATGGTCCAATCTAGTTTGTCAAACACTGCAAACATTATTAGTTACCAAACAACCAAATTATTTCACATCGGCGCGGAATTTGTTATTTTCACAAGAGTTTCAACCAAAGTCGTCATTCCCTGGCGACCGTAATATTGTATTCAATTTGATTTGTCGTCATTTTGCTCCCAATAAATGGCTGTGAGGCCGCTTGCGCAATGCTCAAGGTCGCTGACACAGCTGCCACGAGCCCTTCAGGTATCATATTGAAGCCAAATGATTCCACGACCCATCGGGTAAAATGTTGCTAATTCTTTTCTGGATTTGAAGGATGCGAAATTTATTCCATTTGAACCTCACTTTGAGGCTCTACATAAGCCGATTGTACAGCGCCCTTGGTTTCCCAGCCGAATAGCGAGATCTTCGTCCCGCCGCTACGCATCCACGTCTTCGAAATCTCCCAAGCCATCGCCCCTGAAAGATCCAATACCTTTGCCTAAATCGCCTTTAGCAAGTCGCCATAGAAGTTCAGGCTTGCGTTCCACAGAGACATATATTGCTTATGGTATTACAAAGAAACTTTTCGAGGCCTGTTCCGCGCAGGCGGACTACAAGATCCCACAGATCTCGCAAAAGGGTGCCGAAATCCCCAAAACTGCCAATGGAGAAGATTTGGGAGTAGGAGAAGGCTGGTGGTACGAAGGTTAGTGTCTTCTAGCGTAAAATTTCACACACCTGATGCGCGCCCCGAAAGGTTTACAAGGGTGACGAGTGACTTTTGGACTTACGAGGTCAACGCAACAGAACTCGGTCTCCTCCCGACTTTCTCATCATGGTCGCAAGTCACATTTTTACACATGTACCTCGTAACTGTCCGCCTCCGTGCCCTCCCATCCCCTGAATCGTTCCAGACTTTCGCCCGCCACCTGTTCGACCATTTTTCCAACCACGCTGAGGACCGCATGGATGTCATGCACGGCATTGTATCCCGTCCGATCCGCGTCAAATATCTCAAAGATCTGTTCATTCAGTGGCGTGGTGTCTTAGCGGCATATGACGAAGGGCTGGTGAAGGGAGATGCTGTCCTCGCAGCTGCTGTATGGCGAAACTTGTATAAAGGATCTTATACGGATGCGCAGGGTAGGGGAGAGGATGTTGACTGGAATAACATCTCCCAGATTGTTCTGTATATGCGAAAGGTGCTCACAGAGTTGGCGCCTTTAGAGGAGGTTTCAATGGCACACCATGTAGGCGGGGAAAAAGGTATCTTCAGGTCAAACCAGAGGGTCGAGAAGCTCGTTGAGCTTGATGCCAGGGGTATTGAAGAGCCTTTTCTGCAGGAACCCGTTGAAAAAGAAGCCCCGGAGAGAACGTGAGATACGCATTTATGGATAAAAGAATGTTTGAATATGCCTGTACATTACAATAACTCACCAATACCGCAAAGGAATCAGCAAATAATGAGACGCATGGTCCCTGGTACCGCTGAAGCCTGGGTCAATTCTCCTGGGATCCGAGTTCAAATAATGATGCATACTCTGTACTCCGTACCTATGGGATTGATGAACCGGCGAGCAGATCAGCAACCAAGGCTCCTGTTCAACTTTATTAAGTTTACTCTTTACGGAGTACTCCGTGACTGCCGTCGCGAATCGCCCGCTACTCCGTACGAGATGCTAGTGGCTAGAATCTCAACATCTTTCCTAGGAGGCTCCAGCGCAGAACAGGCAATTCTCGGCCTCAAATGGCCCTGAAAGTCCGGGTCTCAAGCGCTTAGTCCAGACCCCCGGCGCCCGGGACGAATGCTGAGTCATCGGGCTAAGTGTGGCAGGGCAGGGCAGGGACAGGGGCTGCGCGCCCAGCGAACCTAACTTAGTTAGCAAAGCGGTGGAGCGCGGCATTTCTCAGCACCTTTTGGTCCGTGATGGAGAGAGCACCAAGTGGCTTTTTGACGGCACACTTCTCCCCTAGTAACACCCTTCTGAGTTCTCTTGCAGCGCACATATCCCTTCGGTTCTCTAAGGTTTGTCTTAGTCAATTGGACTGTGAAATTGCCACATCCAAGTAAACCGCTGTCCTGCGCACTTCATCATATCCGTTGCCTTTCCAAAACTTTGAATAACTTTCACCGGCCAAAGACGAGTTACCGTTCCAAGCAGTGGCTATGGCTGAACCCCGAGTTGAAATTGGTATTGGAGTCAGCAAAGATGTGGAAATGAGCAGTGCAAGCGAAACACCGGCTGCCCAGCCCCAGCCTGCCGAAGGTGTAGAGTCCATAACCGACCTGATTCCTGCAGAGGAGAACAACGAGATGATAGTAGCGCCTTCAGAGCCGACCCAGGAGAACAGATTCTTAGAGTAAGGATATTCTACTTTAATGCCATGCGCTATTTGATAAGCTGCTGGTCCATCATTGAGCGAATTGACCGTACCCCTAAATCACAAACTATCTGGTGGCAAGGTCACAATTGAAGCGTGATGAACAGCTTCTAATTGAGCATTACATAGCTATCTCAAATCTCCAATTGTGGAACTAGTTGTAGGAAAAGGCGATGACCAGACTATCCTGGCAGCACATCAAGGAATTCTCACTTCGAGCCCTTATTTTGCAGAGCTTGTGTCTCAGTTTCCGGAGGATGGCCCGGTAAGTCAATTTCGTCACAGCGCGCAGCACTGTATTGATCAACGCGCTGCCCCCCACTGCGCGCTTCTTTGAAATGCCTCTAACGTTTCCCATCTTCTGAATCCAGCGTCGTATTGTCCTCGAAGAGGAATCAATAGACGCCGTTGCGTGCTTTCTCCAGTATCAATACACAGCCGAATACTTTCCCAAACGGCTGGGATCGCTCACAGAGGGCCTTGAATCGGATCCATCAATTCCAGATATTGATGAGACTGGCGACCAACTCCTTAAACACGCACGGGTATACACCCTGGCCGGCAAACTTGGTATCGACAATCTTAAATCTCTTGCGCAAGGAAAGATCCACAGGATCAATAGTACCGCGAAGGGCGAAATCGAATATGCAAAATATGTCTATACCCATACCAACCCCGGAGATTCCATCCGAAAACCGGTGGCCGCATTCTGGGCTACAAGAAGCCATGTTTTACGACACGAAGCAGAAGAAGACTTCAGATCCCTTTGTCTGCAATATCCACAGTTTGGCTTCGACGTGCTTAACCTCGTATTAGACCAGAAAGAAAAGCGTGCTAACCGCGAGATTGAGAGCCCTGGGGTAAAGGGAAGCGCGAGGAAGAGGGCCAGAATGGGTTGAGTGGAAAGGTTCAACACAGCTTTGAGACCTGCTGTGTATCAAATCTCTCTCCATTTACTCTTATGTGTTACTATGTATACTCCTATTGCGCGTTATAATTGATGTGGATACCTTTCGAGCGGATTATGCCCAGCTCAGTTGTCGCATTCGTCCTCCAGCCTTATAGGCCTCGCTGCCACTTTTACCTTCTCTTCTGGAAATCCCAAAAGCCTCCCTATTTAACTATTTCTGTTCTTCTTTACCAGCTTATGCCCACAAATCATTACTAATCCTATCTGTACTAGCTTCTTAGCGCTTGTGATTCGATGGCACAAATTGCAATTTCCGGATACGCGAGATCGGTCCCATTTACATGTTAATATCTACATGTGTACTCCGTACGGAGTAGAGGCTTACATACATTCAAACGAGAGATCAACAGCTCAGGAGCATGGTGGCACGGGGACTGCGTACGGAGCATATTATCCCTGTTGCACAATCCTTTCGACCTCTTCCGGGTCCTTTGGCACGGTTGTAAGATTCAGATAACCATCTTGGGTGATGACCAAGTTATCTTCAATACGAACGCCTCCCACCTTCCAATACTTATCAAGCACGGCGGAGTCGATGTATTTACCCAATTCCGGTGAGGAGAGGTATGGTTCGATAATGAATCGGCAGAAGTACACCTGTGCAGCATTAGTATTTAACAACGGACAATATAGGGATAGAAATGAAGATGGGGTCCATTCGTCACATACGCCGGGCTCAACAGTGACCACCTCCGATGGTGAGAGGGTCCCCCTCAAACGCAAATATCTAAACATGGGGTTGGGGTCGGCATGGTTTGGATTGCCGCCAACGTCGTGTGTGTCCATTCCCATGTAGTGGCCCAAGCCATGGGGGAAGAATGCAACGCTAATGCGCTTTTCAAATAATTCTTCCTCAGAGCCGCGTAAGATGCCGAGACGCAATAGACCACTGATGGCGACTTTGTGAGCGCGAGCATGGATGTCGTCCCATGCCACGCCAGGCTTTATCATGTCCATACACTGCGTTTGCATGTCGAGAACAATATCGTAAATCTGGCGCGCTTCAACGGAGAATTTTCCAGAAAGCGGGTATGCACGGGTAATATCAGAGCAGTATAGTCGGTATTCTCCACCCGCATCAACGAGAAGGCTGGGTCGCTCTCCAGTTACCGGATCCTCCAGATCCATGTCATTTGTCTGGTAGTGCAGCGTCGCTCCATTAACACCAGCGGCAACAATGGGGCCATAGGATTGTCCCCGGCTGCCATGAGACAGGCATGTGCTGCGGAAAACGGCCTCGAGTTCCCTCTCGTTCTTAGCTAATTTGGCCGCTTTCATCACTGCAAGGTGGGCCAGAGCGGAGATCTCGTTTGAACGCTTAAGAAGAGCAATCTCGTAGTCATCCTTGACCTTCCTGCATTGGTCGAGGGCGTTGCTCAACGCGTCCCAGTTGGTGTCATCAAAAGGGAGAAAGGTGGTTTCAGCGCAAACCCGGTCGGGGATAGCGTAGACGCGCTTCGGGGCGGTTTCTTTGTTGGTACAGTAATGAGCTAGGTGGGCATTGATCTCACTCGAGGCCAGAACCTTGTCGACATCGTATTTCTTAAGGGCTTCCTCGGGGCTCAATGGCAAACCCGTCCACATCACCTCGTCCGGGTCAGCTGCGGGGATGTAGAGAACGAGCTCATCTTGGTCGATGTTATAGGTGACATATGAATCCGCCAATTCACATCCAGAGAGATAGTAGAAGTTGCGGCGTTGGCTGTATTCGTTCAATCAGTGGTTTGGTGCTCGCTTTTTTGACGGGGGCCAATGCGGGGTCGCCAAACATAGAAGATGCTGTCGCAAAAGGTGCTCACCGGAACGGCACGGCCTCATCGCTGTCCTCGGCCATGCGAGTCTTTGTGCCTTCGAGGTAGATGACTCCTGATCCGTCGTGTCCGGAAGCCTTGAGAGCCTCCGCTACGCGCCGGGCATGCTGTTTGGCGGGGTACTTGCCAGCGAGAACCGCGGTGACAGCCGAATCCATTGTGGCTGGTTGGTTAAGTCTTCTGGTGGGTTTGTGCTAGAAAACGGGAGGGAGAAACAGACTTATTAAAAAAAAAAAAAAAAAGATGAGAAGAGTCCCTGCGGTCGACAGCGTTGGGTTTGTTCCGCTGCCCCTCACCTTGAACGATGGTGTCGTGGATATCCATGGCTAATGTCGGCGTGGGGGGTAAGAGTTCGGTGGGGAAAAGATACCACCCAAGCGCCGGGATGCCGGGGGATCCAGCACAAGCTACGAGCGAATGCATCGGCGGGCATTTAGGGGGCCCGCCACCAACCATCTCTACTAATGCGTGACAGGCAATCAAATTCAGGGTGCAAACATTTAGTTCGTCCTTTACAGGGTAATGATATCAAAACTCGCCAAAAAGCCCATCTGTGGACAGCTTTCCAACTAAACCATTTGTATTGGCTCCATTCCGTGCATATACTGTCAGCGGCCGGTAGGATTTTCAGGGCGTAGCCGCAGGCTCATCTATATGGACTGCTTTCAGCTTCAACATCTTCGAAATCAATAGACCACTGGTCCACTTCGGTGAACTTTGCGGCCTGCTTCAGCAGCTCTTCACTAACAAAATTTCCGCCATCTTTAAGATCCCTCGTATCTTCCAGGGATATTGTACTATTCTCTTCATCTCCCGCTCGCCGACGAGAATATGTGGCCCGCTCCTTACCCCTGGAAGGTCGCGATAAACGGGCCTCAACGGGTTTCCTACGTTTCTCCTTTGAACCAGATGACTCTCCACGCCTGGGCAGTCTGTTCAATGCGGCTCTATTCTCTTTCAATTTCTTACTGGTACCCCTTCGCCTTGACTGGACCGGTAAGTAGCTCAGTTCATCTTCATCTGGTCTAAGTTCAGGGGACGAACTTCGTTCGAGAGTACCGTCGTCATCATCGAACACATCAAATTCACTGTTGCCGGCCAACCGCCGCCGTCGTCGACGCCTTTGTGGCATAAGGCTGGCTTGTAGAGTAGCCGTGGAAATATGGGGTTGAGCTTCAGAATCCGTCTTAATCTTTTTCTTTGGTGCTTTGGTGGACGATTTTCGTCGAGCGGGCGATTTTATGGGAGATCGAGCGGGACTGCTGCTCATCGGTGGTGCTAGGGTTTGGCTCCAGGCCTCCGGTGATTGTTCTGGCGGAGCCTGCCTCATTGGAGGAAGCAGATCGTCGTCATCTTCCGATGGACTGTGTTGGGTTTCTTCAACAATTTCCACGTCATCAATGTTCTCAATATCAGGAACAGGCTCTTCTGTGTCCCGGTGATACTCGTATTGGCTCAGCTCTTCCGGCGCAAGTACTGGGACCACGACCATTATCTTCCTTTTCTTCGGATTCGTGGGCGACGAGAACGCCGTTCTGAAACTGGACAATCTCCACAGTGGAGATTCAGGGATACGCTCCTCGTCAATGTCATCTTGAATATCACAACAACCATCAGATGAAGCCAATTCCTCTCTCGTCAACGTCTTTCTCTTCCCCAAATTCAACGGCGTAGACTCATCCTCCGGCTCAAGACTGCCCAAAAAATTTTCCTCATCTCCCAGATCCGACGACTCGTCATCCGCCATCAACTGTAAAATACTTTTTTGTCTCGGCCGCGGCCTGAACGCACTCAGCATCGAACTCTCAAACGCCGGTGTTCCCATCCCAATCTTCTGCATGAACGAATTCGCATCTCCTTGTTTCGGACCGACCGAAAACCGTCCTCGAGCACCATGTCCTCTTCCTCCTTCTGCTGCGAAAACAGATGTTGCCGAACCGGGATGAACAATCTGTCTCTGGCCTATGACAGGCGTCTGAGCTCTTCGTCTTCCTCTGGTGGAGCTCCGTCTCTCGAGAACGGGTTGATTCGGGCGTGCGGGAGTTTCTTGTGGGACCTTGCTGGCCCTTGACACCTCCTCTTCCTTATCTTGCCATTTCCTTCCTTTCACAGCCTTGACGGTGTGCTCGTTCGCGTTCCTTGCGGCCGGTCGTGATGCTGCGGAGGACGCGTTTTGACGCGGCGCGCGGCCCCTTTTGGCCGGCGGTCGGGGCATCGCTTCGTGTTTCGCCTCCCAGAGATAGAAAGTAAAAGAAGACTTCTACTATAAAAGGGGAATAAATTGTTCTACACAAGGTAATTATCAAGTGCAATTCAATGCATGGGGTGAGATCAATCTGGACGGTGTTGCCTAAGCTCCGATTGTTGTTGTCGAACCAAAACTGGTTTAGTTAGAGCTGTGAGGAGATGCTTGGCGCCAAGCCGTCATTTTGTGAAGCTCAAAGTAGTTGAACAGTCGTGCCAAACTGCATCTCGGTTGAAAAATAGTCTTTTCAAAGACAAAATGACTTAACTGACATACGAGTGAATTTGGTATGTGCAATTTAGAATCCAACTATCAAAGGAATCTATACATCGTGATAAGGCACAGCTCCACCTCTCGCAAACCTCCTCATGTGCTGTATGCCGCTTCTACTAGGTCAATAATATGGGACCACCGAGGGCTGGGCTAGCTCCTGGCGGCCATCTTGTCACAATTGATTGCATTCTGTAATCACGATCGCCACGGGAGACCTTGCCATCCGTAGGTAAGATGCTGCGGGACCGATTCGTTATTGCAGTGGCCGCTCTCGATATCTAGATTTGCCAGGTCGTCCTACAACAAGCAATTAGCGAGCCTAGTTGCCATGGATGATAAATGAACCTACCGGGTAACGAAATATCATGTAACTATCTCTGTTTAGCGGTTGGAAGAATTTCGTAGTGTATGGCCATCGGAAAGTTCGATCAGTGGCTGATACGTTCCGTATAAATATGCACTGGATTTGGCCTGGGTATTTGAGTGATAGAAGCGGGTAGTTCTTCATTATGTCATGGTTGCTATTGTCTCCGATGAGAATGAATTTGCGTTCTGGATAAGTCTGGAGTACTCTCTCAAGCAGTCCACTTCGAACTGACCAGCTAGACCGAAAGCGCCTGAAATTCACTGCCCGCATGTCAAAGCTTCCATGTGGATATACATTGAAAATAAAATCCATGTATCTTTGGGCCATTTGGTCTGGCGCAGTCGTTAGATAATGGAAATGTGTGTCAGGTAAAGAGTGCGACCAGTTCGCGAATATGTCGGGCATGTTCATCCAGGGGTAAAATGGTCGCGTTAGTAAATTCCTGAATCCTTCGGTGGGGTGGTAGATGGTAGAGACACGGAGCACGTCATCGATATCGCTGACGATAGTATAACCTGAAGGGGGAACTAGAAAGGATAATGGGATTCCAGCATTCGTTGTGGCGTTACTACGGAACGAGATGGGCTGAATCTCATCTGATGAGCCTCCCGGTTGGATGTCGTCCTCCAGCAATCCGCCGATATCGGCAAAAAAGTCGTAATCGCCCACAAAATCTGTTAGATTTGGTGCAATGACTACATTGGCAAGTGGCGGCCAAATCCGACTACTTTCGCCTCCTGTGCGCTGTGGATCATCGCCAGGTATGAGACGCCAAGACAGCTGTATCCCAGGTTGTAACAAAACGAACATTCCACGAGCCATCTGCATCGCATGCAGGTATTGATCCTCTTTTAAAGTCCATGCTGGAAACCCTAGAACTCGGCTTGTGAATCTTTCGATCGTCTTGTTAGAAACAACAGGCTGAGTGAAGATATAACCGCGAAATCTCAGAAACCATGACTGGCCGGTCCAGTTTGCGTATTGGCTGATGAATATATCAGGGACGGAGGTCAAATAAATAAATAAAAAAAGAAAGAAAGAAAGATGGCTCGCTGTGTAGTTTTCTCACGGTATATTCATAGCTTGTAGCGATGCTCCCCCTGCGGTACCAATTTCTGAAGACTCTACAGCCTCTCGAGTCTCCTCTTGGCTAGGGAGTAAGGAGAATATATCTGGGCGCCCATACAAATGGTCGTCTATTTCGTCGATTTGCATGTTATCTGACATTGAATCGAGATACGCATGGGGCAGTCTGAGAGTATGTTTCCATTCGTAGTCCGACGGCAGACCAGGCTCTGGTTGCTGGCTCGAATGCAGGGGTGTAGTGTCCAGCTCATTCTCGGAAGCAAATGCCTTGTTCAACGTGGGCCCAGAGAAGGTCCCTGGAGAGAGGAAGAAGAAGAAGAACACAAGACAGATTGAAATCCACTCTTGTATGCCCATTTTGCCTCTTACCAGCATGACATCCCAGGCAAATAACAAAAGAACGGAGTAGGATGATATTCGGCCGTGGTGCAGTGGTTCAGGGCATGACACACGGATATGCCTCCGTAGCGCCAGGTGAGCAGTGGCAAGGAGGTGCAGGGCATGTTCACCAAGCAGCAGGAAAGAACATAGCGTGCTGTCCGACGCAACTCTATTGAATTCAAGCTGTTCATTCCCCGTGTTCGAGCCGCGACTGCTTGGAAACACTATGCACCACAAGGTGAGGCCGCCCCGGAGGGGAGGAAGCAAGGGAAAGAAGCACAGAAGAGATGCTCATTTTCCAGGCGAGGATGATGTATCCAGGCACAAGAGACACACAGGCACATAAAGTGTGTGTGTGAGTGAGTGTGTATGATGCAAATATTAGTTTGCAGGTGACAGAGAACTTAAGACACTACTTGTTGTGGTTCCAGATATTTAAGCAGACCTGTGGGTGCTTTGTTGGGGGTTTGAACTCTCGGGCTGGCGTGCGCGCTAAAAATTGGCCTTTATCAGAAGATTTACAACAGCGGGGGGCCAGAACATCAGGGTCAAGCCAAAAAGGAGCTGCTCTACGACGAGGACTGCTTTCCACCTCTGTGTTTCTCGAATTTGCTTTCTAACGATGACCTTTCGCATTGCGTCTAGCGTTTTAATACTTATCCACCCAACCACCTGGCCCCCTAGGTTTCCCTGAGGCTGACTCTTTAACGAACACATCTAAGTGGTGGGCATCGCTTCCGGACGCCCTACCCTCCAACCTTCATTCTTGATATCCAAATATCTGTTATACCTTTTCAGATTGGGCCAGTACTGCATTGAATGGTGGAACGGTCTTTTAAACTCATTGTTGGACGCGACATCTGGTAGACCTCACATTCGCCTGAATTCCGTGTCATGTGTCTGAAGGCCAAACGCGTCCCCCCTGCCCCGTCTCCCACATTCCGTTATGGCAGAAACAGGCAAGGGTCCTGGGCCATGCTTCGAACTGGCCCCTGGAGTGCCTCTGGAAGGCGACATTTCGTCTCTTGCGCCGATCGAGGCGTTAAGTGTACTGTATTTACACATGAACTCGATTATTGGCATCAGCGGAGATGTGTCTTATTCCGAATTTCTACAGCGGCAGTCACTCGAAACTTCGGATCAAGAAAGGCCCAACGCGAGACGAGACGCGGCATTGGTTCGGAACTTTTTTTCAAGACAGATTCCAGGGATCTCGCTCAAGGATTATCTTCTCAGACTCCATCGTTACTGCCCAATGTCCACGGGGGTATATCTCGCTACCAGCTGGTTCATCACTCGAATGGCCCTGGTTGAGAAAATAGTGCCAGTTACCGCGTATAATGCACATCGGCTAGTCCTTGGCGGTCTGCGGGTAGCTACGAAGTTGCTCGAGGACCTGCATCACTCTCACGAACGGTTCTCCAAGGTTGGAGGCGTGGCGGAGGCACAACTAACGCGATTTGAGATCGACTTCTGTTATTTGATGGACTTTGACCTTAAAGTTAACTATGAAATCCTCTCTCAGGAGATTACAATGTTTCAAGAACGTCTTGACGATGCTTTATCAAGCCGTCAGATGGTAGTGCAAGCGCCATAATGGCTTCGATCACGAATCACTGTCGAACGCCTCGAATCGAAACACGATGGTGAAACATTCCACTGATGCCGATACTCTCCTGCCTGAGTAACGTCGTGATGACTTCGAGTATTTATAAGCTACGACTCGAGAGAGAATTATTGCTGAGGAGCATATTTTCAATTGCGCAAGGAAATGGGGAATGTGATATTACCTGTAGTAGCTAAAGACACTGAAGTCTCTTCTCTATGAATGCAAGGAATAACGGTAACTTAACGCTTCTCGCAGCTATCCTCCATGATATTGTTTGTAAACTGTTTTGTCCAATGTTGGGTTTGCATCCTCCGTACTCCATACGTATATATTCTGTGCATCCGGGATGAATTTCAGCCTCAGCGGCTGCACGCCAAGCTCGGCTTAGCGCCACGCGGAGTGACGAGTTGAGCGCCAAATCCGAGTCCGCCGCATGAAAACACGAAACGGCGCTGTCTCAGCCAATGAACGGATAACTAAATTCCTGCTCTGCTTGACGACAATTTGCGGCTGTGTCGTCCTCAAGCAACTCGGTCACCATTCCTCAATTCAGGGATATTAACTCTGCCATCGGAGCTCTCATCACTTTCGTTTATACCCCAGTGCGACGGCCCCTGCCACGGCGACATGAGTTTATCTGACTAGTCAAGCTCTGAATCCAAAACGCAGCCTCACCCTTTTCTCTGTCATCACAGCGGTTTCGTCCTCGACGACCCTTGGTCGGGCCGCCCACGAGCGATGTCCGAAGTACATTCAGCCCGAGAAGCGCAGAATACAGCTGAGCGAAGCTCTGCTTCTTCGTCAACCGTACTCCCTCGGAAGGGTTCGGACGCGTCTCCCGAACATCGAACGCAGAATGGCGACGTTGAACTTAAAGATATCAATTCCCGCAACGAAGGCGAAAGAGCCTTGCCGATTGAAGAGGATATAATGCAACTTGCACGGCTGGGGGAAATAGGTGCTATTCAGAAGCTCTTCGAAAGCGGGAAATATGATGCAAAGTATCGAGATGAAGAGGACATTACGCCTTTACATGTTTGTGGAGCACGCTCGCTACGCAATTTGACGATGACGACTAACTGATCCCTTTTTCGCTTAGTGGGCTGCGATTAACAATCGATATGAGCTCTGCAAGTTTTTACTCGATTCAGGTGCAGATGTGAACGCAAAGGGCGGTGAATCCGTCGCTACACCGGCCATGTGGGCAGCTCAACGGTGCCACTATTATATCGTCGAGCTCCTCCTTCGATACGGAGCGGATCCTCTTTTAACGGACGTTCAAGGCTATAATATATTACATCTGGCAACGATCGATGGAAATGCCTTCCTCCTCGTACTGCTTCTGCACCAGGAGATCCCTGTGGATGTGACGGATCCCCAGGGACATACCGGTTTGATGTGGGCAGCATACAAAGGGTTTCCGGCGTGTGTCGATCTATTTCTTCGATGGGGTGCAAATGTGAATGCCGCAGATGAAGGCGGGCTTACGCCGCTCCACTGGGCTTTGGTTAAAGGCTCGACACCTTGTATACAGAAAATTATTGAATATGGTGCCGACCGCTATGCAAAAACGAGAGACGGCAAGACTCCCGCTATAGTGGCTGAAGAGATGAAGACAACGCATTTTTGGCGTCGCGCGCTGAGTGAATGTGGGTATGACCCGAACGGGGATGTAATACAGATGCCTCTCGGCCTCGCTACGATCTTACGAACGAGACGATATATTTCTAAGTTTTTCTTCCTTTGGCCTTTTGCTATGATCTTTGGTGCTGTGTGGATACTCAGCGAGTTTACGGTTTATGTATCTGTACCATTAACGCTTGCTTTCATTTTTGGCATGCAATGGATGGCGCAATGGGTAGCGAACCGGAGCCATGCGGAGTTTCGGGTGCTTCAAAGAACGGTAAGTCCTCTGGCAACGACTTTTTGTTGTTCCGCGCCCCATAATTGCGAATATCTAACGATATCTCTAGTCTTTCCTGGCAGGCGTGTTTGCAGCCTCGCTTTTCTGGATCGGTGTTCGATGGCTTTTGACAGTACTCCCAGGTACGGCATCACAGTTTCGTCAACCAGTTGTTGACCGTCGTTAACTCTTCCTAGATACCTACTCCACCTATCCTTTCCTCAATTTCTTCTTTGCCGTATTCTTTTTTCTTACGTCCTACTTTTATTTCCTATCCATGATCGAGGATCCAGGCTACGTGCCCAAACTCAGCAGCAGAAATCAGCAACGAACATGCATAATGGAACTATTTAAGTCATGGCAGTTTGACGAAGACAACTTTTGTGTTTTCTGCATGATAAGGAAACCTTTGAGGAGCAAGCACTGTCGGCGCTGCAGACGTTGCGTTTCAAAGCATGATCAGTGAGTATCTTCGCCAATCCATTCTTGCGGGCCCTTGCTTACCCGATATAGCCATTGCCCGTGGATTGATAATTGCGTCGGCACGAATAATCTTCGTCATTTCGTTTTGTATATTTTTAGTATGGAAGTCGGTATCATTCTTTTCATCCAGCTGGTGATAAACTGTAAGTCCACCTATGCTGTTATTCGATATCCATGATACCCAGGGCTAATTTCGCTCTGCAGACCTAGGAGCCTTGCCTCCGCCTACCGATTCAGAATGTAATATTCTCTCCTCATCTCTATGCAGCATGGTAAAACGTGATACGTTTACCATAATCCTCACGTTTTGGATAGCCCTCCAGCTGGTCTGGGTTACCATGTTATGTGTTGTTCAGCTCGTTCAAATCTCACGAAACCAAACTACATATGAGAACATGAAAGGACATGCATTCGATTATGCTAATCCTGCCTCGCGAGCAATCACATCTGCTCTTACCACCGGAACCACCTCAGCAGAGCTGGGTGGCCTAAACTCAACAGGGCAAGGTCCCAACCCATCAATCCCGCCGCCAGGCCATAGGCGGCATCACCGTCATGCCCATGGAGGCTGTCTTTCGCAATGGAAGAAACTGCTGGGGTTGGATACTTTCATGGCTACGGCTCAAGAAGGCCTTGGAGATCGTCGGGCGGCTCGTGCGCAAAACCCGTTCTCTCGCGGGATCGTCACCAACTGTCGAGACTTCTGGTGTGATCCTGCTCCTTATTTTGGCAGAAGAGCACCTGGTTCCGCCATGTTGAACGGAGAAGTTGTAAACTACAATGACATGTATGAGGTACCATTGAGGTTAAGGACTGGTGTGTCGGGGATGGTTTATCGAAGTGTTGCAACAGAGGACGTGTGACGCCGACATGATTTGTTTGTCATGCATTCCGGTCTGTTCCCGCGAATTGAAGGTCATGCAATGTTCGGCCTTCATGATGGCTCCTAGCCTCGGTGATAAGAGATAACTGCATCAAGTTGGAGCTAGCTTCGGCCTTGTCGCCTGGTTTCCGCGGCTTGGTTCCACAAGCTGGTGGTGATTGTAATTCCCGACAAAGCATCAGCTTTTGAAGCCTAAGTACTCCGTACGGCGCCACTAAATGACCAGAGAGCCTCGGACGGCAGACTGCTGTCAGATAAACACGCTAGCACTCAACATCTTCGTGTAAATTCTTTGTCAAGTGTGGATAGATTCCAAATAGTAATTACAGATGCTTTGAGTACGTACAGTACATACATACGAAGTAATCCGTGCTCCCGTCCTTATTCCCGTCTTTCCTCCCACGAAAAACCTCCCGGAGCTTTCCTCTCCTTAGTCTGGAAGGATCAACCGGGGTCAAAATTTTTTTTTTTTTTTTTTTTGCTTTTTCTTTGGTCTCATCTGCTTGGAAACGTGCCATCGATGGCGGCCCACATGCGCAAGTAAATTTCACCACACCTCGTATTCCGTTTTCCGAGTGGGAGAAAAGCTGACAACCACGAAAACGGGAGAAGAACAGAGAATCTGAAGGCGGTGGGGACCTTCGTGGATCCCGCTGCCCACCAAGGGTTCTTCTTCTCTCGGCATCCCGCCGCCACCATTCCCCGGAAACGAGTATGATTGGCGTGCTCCGGGAAGAAATGGGCCTGACCGCGGATCAGATAAAACCGGCCGCCTTTTTTTGGCTTTTGGTTTATCTGATGAGATTATCGGAATCTGATAAAAACCTTGTGGTTTTTTTATGGTTTTACGATGATCAGCGTCGTTCGGGCGGAAAAAATTTCCCCTGGTTGTTCTGGGTGAAAGAGAGGTTAATTTCCGAATTTGTGGAAATTTTCTCCCTTCGGTGGAGAAGGATAGGCGTTCGTGGAGCGATGGATTTTCGAAAACCCAAGGGAGAGATTAATTGCTTGACTGGCGGCATGTGTAATCCTTGTTCTGTAGTTACTCCGTACTCCGTAGTTTTTAGAAGAATATCAAGCCAAACCACCAGGATATCCTGGAGTGGAAAAGTTTCACTACTACTACCTTTCGTGGTGCTTAGAAATGGAAGGGAATTCTGCGAGATTTAGCCTAACATATTCATTAGCTGTTTAAACCCGAAGGGCGACATGTTTAAACTACCTGCGAAAATAAAAATGGAAAAAGAAAAGAAAAGGTCAAGAGGCATTGTAATCCCGAAAATCGAGCAAAGCCATAGGATGAGAAACACCGTTTTCACTGTCACTTTTTGTTCGCAATGGTATGTTCAAGGTTCTTGCCGAATATCGCATCCACCATATCACCTCCACGGGCCGCAAGCACCGAGAGCAAGGTATCGCTTATCCCGTGAGTTAATTCATTGCACCCTTGAAGCCAGATTCCCGCATGATGATCCACTTTGCTCTCGTCCAATATAACTCTATAATCCCTTTGGACCTTCCAGTTCTCATGACCGCCCGGCCGAAGGAACTCTATCGGCTGCATCATGTCTTCATGTGCATCGCGAACGTAGCCAGTTGCCACGATGAGGGCATCGACAGTAAGGTTATCGTTGACCTTACTTTCATTCTCCATGCCGGCAGAGTCAAGGAACAGTTTTAATTTCCCTCCGTTCTCGATGGTTTCTACCATCTTCACGCCACGGGACGAAAGTATGCGATGGTTCCACTTTGATTCTTCTGGACATTTGATTTTTTGGAGGTACATGTCGTAGTATATCTTCTCGATTAGTTCGAGACGGACGACCCCGTAATTGGTGTGGCGATAATCCGATAGGAGCCGCCGTCGTTTAGGCTCAGGCTCAGAATAGAACGTATCGATGCGCTCCGGGTTGAATATCTCGTTGACGCTATACACGTTTAGTCTTATTTCCTGTGATATCAGAGCTAAAACACTTACAACGGAGAGTCGTCGCTAGGCTTCAAGGCAGTGTCTCTCATGATGAGAGTCGTTTTGGAGTTTGGATAACGGCTCTGGAGGTCATGGAAGATCTCGGCGGCACTCTGTCCACCTCCTAAAACGGCGATGTGATAGTCCCTTAGCTTGTCGGGCAGAAGTCCTGGCAACGAAGTGCAATAGGCTGATGAATGCATTACCCGCTTGTCTTTTGGAAACTCCGGGGGCATCTTTGGCTTTCCACCGACTGCAATAACCACATTTCGAGCCCTTTGAGTTACCGTGTCTCCCGCCTTGAGGTCCCTGGATCGTACCGTAAAGTAACCGACGGATTCCGTGTCGATGTTACCGTCCCTTGCCACAACATCCAAGACCTCGCGGTTGTACTCGACCACATCTGAGAACCTATCTGCACACCATCGCATGTAGTCTTCAAACTCGAGGCGTGCCGGAAGAAAAGTTCCGAGGCCTGCAAACTGGAGAAGGCGATCTTTGCTCCGCAGATAGTTCAGGAAGGTGAATTCACTGCGAGGATCTCGAAGAGTTGCAAGGTCCTTGATGAACGATATCTGCATCTTCGAGCCGGGCACCAGCATCCCCGAGTGCCACGCAAAACGAGGCTGGCGCTCCAGAAATGTAACTTTGGGTGCCACAGAGGTTGATTCCTGGCCTAGCTCCTGGATCTTGTCATGGAGAGCAACCGCTATGGCGAGAGAAGCAGGGCCGAATCCGACGCATATAAGGTCATGCAATTCTTCTGCCGAAGTTCTGCCGAGATTGGAACTTAGTCCCGCGGAGTCGAGCGATGAGGCATTGCGTGGGTTGTGCGCCTCTAGGGAGCGACCGATTCCATTGGAACCATAAGCATGACCGTCAGGACTCTGGATTCTTGCAGGATGGTCTGGGCAGGTCGCCTGGTCCTCCAGCTCCTCCAGGGCTTCTGATCTTTCGAGCAAAGGAGACATGCGGGGAAGCAGTTCAATCAAGGAGTGCGGGGTCAAGAGTGATCAAGGGAACAAGATATTTCAACGACTTTGGATCCGTTCAATCTTGACTGCAGCTATCGCCTGGAGCATTTCACCCTGGACCTCGAGCCAAATATATGGATATCGATCGCTGTTGGGAAAAGAGATATTCCAGATCTGTCGTCATTATGGGTCAACCAGGGGGAACCGGCCGTGGTCGCGCTGTGAAGGAAAAAACCGCGGCTGGTCCCACCACACATCCTTGCTCGTCTCGAGAGAGAGATGAAAATCCTGCGTTTCAAGGATGTGCATGGGTTTCGATCTCCTGTTCGCAACCTGATCTGCCTTCAACGCGGCCCAGTGATCCCGTCCCGATGCGAAGATTGGCCATTGATATCCATTACTTCCTTAGCGGCATCCGGGGTGAGTTGGTAGGTTAGCAATCCAGCTTGGTGATCACTGAGCGATTTAGCAGACCGGCACTTGGAATACAATGGCTGGGCTCCAGACCAGATCCTGGGCCCCCAAGGCGCTGCCAAAGCGGTGCACGGGCGACGGGGGTTTAGGGTGATTGTAGCAGCAGATCGCCGGGCGAGGGTGAGCGGAAGCGCCCAGAGATAAGATTAGATCTGTCGACGGGACGGGCGAATCGCGTTGACGGATTCGCCCCGTCGCACGGCACGACGATTCCACACCCCGACGATGACGACGAAGAAGGACGACCACACACTGACGGCTGAAGCAGCAAGGCAGAAAACGCATGCTTTCTCCCATTGTTCTACTCCATACTGCTGGACATCCCGCGAAGGGCCGATTCGCTCTGGAATGGCGAAGAAACGCAATGTGGCGGCGCCTCGGGTTCGCCTTTGGCCACGGTTTCGACCGACCACCCTGCCCTGTTGCACACCTCTAGACCCACTTCGGTTCTTGTCGGGTGCCCAGAGACTCAAGATGAGGCCATGCTCCATGTCCAGGGCAGGATTGGGATCATCGTGTGTTCTCCACGCTTCCCACTCTTGAGGGTGCAGTGACAAAGCAATGTCTGCTGCACCGTGTACGGAGTATGCCTGCTAAATCTATTCTCGCATAGCTGCTTATCGCCGTCAGCGCTCGGAACACTGACCTCATTTTCACTCCTTGGGCGGGCTGCGAGTCAAGGCCGAGCGGGGAGTTGGAAAAGGTGACATCCTGTCACCCGCTATTCCCTTTTTTTTCTTTCTTTTTTCTTCGTTTTCTTCCTTCAGAGAGCTTTTATGGACGGCGATTATACAACAAAATTAGTCTTTTCTGAAGACTAGCAACAAATAATAATATCATTTCAATTGAAATCAGCATTAACCCCAAATCTCCCGTTTCTCTCTCCCTTTTATTTTATTTTTTTTTTTTTTTTTCCCTTTCTTTCTTATTTTCTTTCCTTTCTGTCTCCCTTAATTCGACCTCCATTGGATCGGATGTATCAAGTTTGATCCGGAACACATCCCAAAAATTTCTGAGAGGCCAATGGACTCTTGCCTGTTGCAACCATGGATACCACGTACATATCGTTCCCAAAACTCGACTATGTGGAAGAATCGGTTGATGGATCAGTCAGAATCGACTGGAACTGCGGCATTTCGAAGCTCAGCCTGGACCTCGTGGCCTGCTCTTGGGCTGCAGTTCTTGCAGCCCTGACTGGAGAAGAGATCCCTGCCTTCAGCCTTAATGGAGACCCAGTAAAAGTTGATCTGGAAAAGAATATCGTCCTGAAAGCAGAGGTGGACGATTTTCGCAAACATGGTCATACCGGAGTATTCACGCTTGATGCGAGTACTCGTCCCCTATGAATTTGTTGCTCACTGCTGACTGGTACCGTAGTCTCCTGAACCCGCGGACGGGTGCCTTGTTGAGGTGAGATGTTCTTTGGAGCAGGGGACTGGGCATATCATTGCCTCAAACTGCACTACTCGTGCCTATCTTTCGCAGATCGGAACGCAGTTTGAGAACCACATTCGTGCAGCCCTCCAGGTGCCCACCAACACGGAGGGCTTGCGATTGTCTATCCTTAATGAACATCCTCAATTGATATCGGGTCCATTGTTTTTGCATGATCTGGTCCGGAATGCCGGTCGGGGTTTGGATCTGGCCTTGGAGTTTCTCGACAAGGATAGGAAACGGCATTTCCTTACTTACGACCAACTACACCTTCGCTCGAAGCACTTGGCTTTGCGTCTCTCTGAAGCATTGCGATCCAGGCCCGCTTCAGCTCTGATTGTCCCAGTCTTGATTCCTCAATCGCCAGACCTATACGTTTCTTGGCTTGGTATCCTCAGATCTGGGGCGGCTGTTTGCCCTCTCAACATTGACGCCCCTTCAGAACGTGTTAATTTCATCGTTAACGACGTTGCTGCGGATGTCGTCGTTACCGTGAAAAGCTTGGCGGGCAGGTTCGACCAGGTTGATAGACCTCTGATCATCATTTTGGCCGACGATGATGCGAACGATATCATCCTCCCAGCGACGCTAGAAAATATCAAAATATACCCCGAAAGCCTTGCATACGTAATGTATACGTCAGGTTCTACTGGATTACCAAAGGGAGTTGGCCTCTCACACCTTGCTGCAACACAAGCCATACTTGCCCACGATGACCATATACCACATTTCAGGAGGTTCCTACAGTTTGCGGCCCCAACCTTTGATGTTTCCGTGTTTGAGATCTTCTTCCCGTTATTTAGAGGCTCAACTTTGGTCGCCTGTGAGCGAAGCCTCATGTTAAATGACCTAGTCGGTGTAATGAACCACTTAGAAGTCGATGGTGCCGAGCTTACTCCTACGGTTGCTGGAGAATTACTTCGCCAAAAGAGTGCTGTGCCTTCTCTTAAAGTTTTGCTTACTATCGGTGAAATGTTGACAAGGCGGGTTGTCGATGAATTCGGCTTTTCAGGTCCCAATGATGGCGTCCTTTACGCCATGTATGGACCCACAGAAGCCACAATTCACTGTACGATTGCTCCCAAACTTCCCGTCGGCTCCCGCGTAGGAAATATTGGAATCCCGTTCACTTCGGTTTCTGCCTTTATCATCCCGATCCAAGCCTCTGTGGATGGAGAACCAGATGTTCTCCCTGTGGGCTGTATTGGAGAACTTGCCGTCGGAGGGCCCCAACTTGCGAACGGGTATCTTAACCGCCCGGAGGAAAACCGCAAAGCATTTATCGATAGCCAGGTTTACGGGCGCCTTTATCGAACCGGTGATAAAGCTCGTCTTCACCCCAATGGCGAACTGGAATGCCTTGGCAGGATTTCTTCCGGGCAAGTGAAGCTCAGGGGTCAGCGTATGGAACTGGGCGAGGTTGAGAGTACAATATATAAGGCACCTGGCGTTCGAAGTGCTGCCGCGTGTGTTGCCGATGGGATCCTTGTTGCCTTCGTGTCCCGAGACACGAGCCTAGATCCCGCGGCCGTACGACAAGTGTGCGAGAAGTGGCTTCCCAAGTTCATGGTTCCAGCCGAGATTATTTGCATGGATGAATTGCCACGGCTCCCATCCGGGAAGATTGACAGGAAAGCCCTCGAAAGCAACTACACCAGCTCAAAGGAGTCTGATGTCCCCGCTGCCTCTTCTTTCGCCTCTGAGGTTGAAGAGAACATTGGTACCTGTGTTGAACATATTCTACATGCTCCAATCGGTCGTTCTGGAAGCTTGGCGGCCCTAGGGCTCGATTCCCTTAAGGCCATTAGATTGGCCTCGGAGTTGCGGGCCATAAGCGTAAATCTTGATGTCACGAGCATCCTAGAGGCTGACTCAGTCCAAGGAATAACATTGGCAATGGAAAGAAGCCTCGTTAAAGGAGCCTCTGACTTTACGCCGAATCTTACTTCAAGTTCATGGGACCCTGTGGTCGATATCACCCACAAGACACTCTCGTCGCTGGGACACTCTTTGACGCCCCAAGATGTGCTCCCATGTAGTCCGATGCAAGTATCCATGATCGCGGAATCTATGCAAAGTAAGAGGGCTTATTCAAACTGGATTGAAGTGGAATTCGGGAATGGCATATCACCAATCGAAATACGCAGTGCCTTCCGTCTGGTTGCTGACCGAAACGAGATTTTGCGATCAGGCTTTGTTGAAGTGAACATGCCCGGACACCCATATGCACAGGTTGTCTGGGAAAGCCTTGATGACTCTGTCTTCGTTGAATGCGACACATTCCATTATGACATAGTGTTCCAAACTCCACAGCATATGCTCCACCCTTTTCAAATTCAACTCAAGAGTCTTTCTGGCGAGGTTAGAGCTCTTGTTCATATCCATCATGCACTTTACGATGGATGGTCATGGGAACATGTTATGAACGACCTCGGGACGTCACTAGAAAAGAAGTTATGCAAGCAGCGCCCACAATATCGGACTTTTGTCGATCATATCTCTAGCTTTCTCAGCTCCCGAAATAGATTAGATTCTATCGATTACTGGCGTGATCTGCTTCAGGGAATCTCCCCTTCACCGTGGCCGAACTTTCAAGATCACAACGACATCCCTCACGGACTAGGTGTGACACAGCGCACATTTAGCATCGACATCAACGATCTTGACGCTGCTACTAGGAACCTTCGCATCAGTCGTCAAACTTTTTTTCAAGGGGCATTAGGCTATCTCCTTGGAGAGTACAATGGAACCTCAGATGTTATTTTTGGTTCTGTGTCTTCGGGTCGGACGATTCCTGTACAAGGTATCGAGGATGTGATTGGACCGTGCATCAACACTCTTCCGGTCCGCTTCAACTTTGACAACCTGCGAAACGTGCAGGATTTACTTGCGACTATTCACAACCTTAACAGAAAATCTCTTACCCACGGATTGCTACCTCTCCGTGATATCAAGGCCGTGTCGGGAGTTGAACCGAGCCTGTCGCTCTTTGACACTCTGTTTGTGTGGCAAGACACACTCAACGGACATCAAGAATCTTCCACAATTGTCAAACAAGTAGCGTCGGCAGACTTCCTAGAGTTTTGTCTCACCTTGGAAGTTGAAATAAAGAACGATGTACTCTGCGCAAAAGCCACTTTCCAAGAGTCCACGCTGTCAACTGCGCAGGTTGATATATTCCTCCGCCAACTTGAGGAATTAGCTTCAATTTTCATACATAAACCGGATCTGAGCCTTAAACATGTTAACGATGAACTGCCGATTTCAGTTCTATCGGCAGAAAATGTTCGATTCACATCTTGCCCTGGCTCTCAAGGCCTTTCAGATGGGGTAAAAGAAGTGGCGGCTCTGGATCCTGAAAGAACCGCAGTTGAGTTCTTGGAGACGTTCGACCCGGATCTTGGTGCCGTGAGCATCCAGAAATTGACCTATGCCGAATTGAATACTCGCTCTGGTCGGCTCGCAAAACAACTTCGCTCCTTTGGGATAGGGTCCGGATCACTAGTTTCAATTGTTTTAGAAAAGTCACTTGGGCTATATGTCTCTATCCTAGCTGTTGTCGATGCAGGTGCTGGTTACGTACCCATCACCCCTCAAACTCCCACTCAGAGGGCTCTTTCTATCATTTCTGAAGCCAGTTGTCGCGTATGTATTACGAGTCCTAATCTTCTAGCTTCATTGGAATTACCGCACGACATTATGGTACTTGATTCGGATGGCAACTTGTTACGGAAATGTGAGAACAGTGGAATCTCTCAGAAAGAACAGGGAATGCCTGTGGCATATGCCATCTTTACTTCAGGGAGCACGGGTGTACCTAAAGGAGTGCTGGTTTCACACGAGAATATGCGAGAAAATATCGCTGTTTTATCCGAGATCTATCCGACACCGCCTGGATCGAAAATGCTTCAGGCCTGCTCCCCAGCTTTTGATGGTCAGTGCATCATCCTCTCCACGAGACTTTCACTTACCGATGCTAGTTTCCGTGTTTGAAATTTTTTTCACCTGGGCTATGGGAATGACACTTTGTTCTGCAACCAACGATATTATTTTCAGAGATATTGAGGGGGCTATCCGCACCCTTGAAGTAACGCACCTCAGTCTTACGCCGTCCGTCGCAGCGCTTGTGCGCTCCCGGAATGTGCCCAAGGTACAATTTCTGGTTACCGCGGGCGAGGCACTGACACCTGAAGTGGCGAAAGAATGGGCTGATGTTGGAGTTTATCAAGGTATTCCCAAACCTTTCACATAAATTACCCGCTACTCATAGATTTTCACTAGGCTACGGTCCCTGCGAAACGACAAATATATGCACTGTGAAACCACGTGTGCGCACCACTGATGTCCTAAGTAACATAGGGAAGCCGTTTAAAAACACCTCTGCCTTTGTCCTTTCCCAGGGGAACACCTTCTCTCCAGTCCCACGAGGCGCAGTTGGCGAGCTGTGTTTCGGTGGAAAGCAAGTTGTAAGTATATTTACTAATTAGGAGCCGCGATGCGTAAGCTAACTATATAGACAGGCTTTGGGTTATTTGAATATGCCAGATGTCACCCAGGAAAAGTTTGTTGAACATCCAGAGTATGGAAAAGTATACCGTTCCGGAGATTACGGCCGCATGCTTCCTGACGGTTCGCTTGCATTTGTAGGCCGTCGAGATGATTTGGTTAAGCTCAGAGGTCAGCGAATTGAACTCGGAGAAGTTAACAGTGCGATCCTTCAGAGCCGAGTCGTGAAGAGCTGCACAACTCTGATATGCGGAGACAAATCCAGCGGCAGTCAGTTACTGGTTTCGTTCTGGGTACCTGTGGCAGATTCTTCCCCCTATATAAAGGTAGACCCAAAGCGTTCCTCGATCTTAACGAAAGAATTATACGATACGATCTCCAAAATCCTTCCGATGTATATGATTCCGTCTTTCATTTTACCTATCGAGACAATACCCGTGACGGTGAATGGAAAAGTTGATAAGAGCCTGCTCGCTGACATGTATTCTAACGCTGCCCCCGACTATTTGGATCTCTTCTCCAATAACGCTGAGATCTCCGACAATTCTGAAGAGCTTTCGGAGACGGAGTCAAGAATTGTGCAACTTGTCGCTGCTGTTACCAAAACCCCAGCGACTGACATTGGCCGTCATTCTTCATTCTATCGCCTAGGCATGGATTCTATCCTAGCAGTATCATTATCGAGACAACTAAAACTATCAGGATTCGGGCAGGTGGATGTTTCAGTCATTATGAAGAACGACACGGTTTCCCGACTTGCTGCTGCCGTAGATCGTGTTTCTGACACCGCTACCACGAAACAGGAAATTTTACCGAATTTCGAAGTGCTGTTCTCTCCTGGATTTATTGAGAAGGCTAGACACGACGTGGAAATGGCTCAAAAGAAAATACGAAAGATATTGCCATGCACGCCTTTGCAAGAAGCTATGTTATCGCAGATGGTTTCTAGCGATCAAAAATCTTATTTCAATCATCTCATCTTTGAAGTGCGGAAGGATATGTCTAGATTGAAGTTTGCATGGGAAGCAATGGTTGCAAGACACGATATTTTGCGAACCTGGTTTCAGTCTACAAATGATGCGCAGCATGCTTTTGCACAAATTGTGTTGGATACCGTAGACCTCCCTTGGAGTTTTATGGAGTGTTCCAGTGCGAATGTGGAGTCCATTATTGAACGTCGAAAGGTTTCCATTCTATCTGCCAGCGGAGTGGCAGTACCATATGCTTTTATAGAGCTTCACAACATTACCACTGGGAAATCCCAGCTGCACCTGTTAATTCACCATGCGCTATATGATGGAGAGGCAATGGGCCAGGTGCTTCAAGAGGTTGAGCAAGTTGTTCTCGATATGGCCTTGCCACCTGTTGTGCCTTTCGACCATTACATCGAGCATATGATCAAGACAGATGTTGAAGCCGCGACTCAGTTTTGGAACAGCCACCTGACTGGGTTCTCTCCGACGTACCTTGTTTCTCCGGTTCCCAATGCATCCGCCACGAAACATAAAGAGTTCCATAGTGTTAGCATTGATTTGGATATACCACTTACCCAAGTGGCCGAGTCGTGCAAGAATGCCTCTGTTACCCTCCTCAGTCTTTTACAGGCTGCCTGGGCGAAGCTGTTATTTTTCTACTCCGAGACCTCGGATATTTGCTTCGGCGACGTTGCCAGTTGCAGAACCCTACCGGTAAATGGCGCAGAGCGTATTGTTGGCCCGTGCTTTAACACCCTTCCCCTAAGGGTCAAGTTGGACAGCAATACAGTCAATAGTGATCTTATGCTACAGTTGCGAAAATTTAAAGCGGACGTGCTTCCGTACCAACTTACGTCGTTACGTCGATTACAATCTCAATTCAGTCCAAGCGGCTCACGGCTATTCGACACTTTACTCCTCCTTCAGAAGGAACCCCAGCGGTTAAACGAAGAAATATGGACCTTGGTTGATGAGCACGGAGATATGGACTTTCCATTCATTTGTGAAATCGTGCCGAACTCTGAGAAGGATGTTCTTCGGGTGTGTCTGTATTGTGACGGATCGAAGACCTCGTTAGACTCTGTTCGTCAAATGCTTGGTGGATATGTTGAGTCGATCCATCACACCCTCCAATACCCATCTGCGAGGGCCACCGATACTAGCGTTGTGAAAAGTGGTATTCCTCCCTTTATCAATATTTCAAGACCTATTGTCGAGAAAGAAACTATGAATGATGATTTGAGGGAATGGTCAAACAAAGCATTGGAGGTTAGGGAGCTAGTATCAGAATTGGCAAAAGTTGAACGGAAGCATATAAAATTGAACACGACAATTTATAAATTGGGTCTTGATAGTATTAATGCAATTCAAATTGCGGCCAACCTACGGGCCAAGGGCTATGAAATTTCGGCTGGTGATATCCTAGAGGTAAGTACTCCTTTGATCAGCCCATATTAAAAATACTAACCGTCACCAGGCTCCTACAATTTCTCAGATTGCCTCTCGGCTAGAAAAGTTAACAGTAAACGGCGAATCCAGTATCATGGAAGCATTTGATTTTAACCCATTCCAAGCTCGCCACTGGGTTTCTGTTTGTACAGAAATCGGTCAACTTGAGGCGAAACTTCAATCGGTGCGTCCATGCACAACAGTCCAAACGGGTATGTTGGCGTTATTCGTTAATTCAGGAGGCAATCTTTATTTCAACCACATGTGTCTTCAATCAACACGTCCGCTAGATATTGACGCCCTAAAAAGGGCATGGGAAGCCGCAGTCGATAGGAACGAGATGCTTCGGACCGGATTTTGTCAAGTCAAGGATGAAGTATCCCCATTTGCAATGATAACATATAAACCTGGTACTTTAGACCTCCCATGGCACGACTATGTGTCTGAGAATGGACAGCTGTTGCACCACGAAGAACCCACTGGCATCGAAATATTGAATCGGCTTCATTACCCAGCCTGGTTCTTGACAGTAGAGTCACTTCCGACCCATACAACTATTCGGTTCTCTGCGCTTCATGCCCTTTATGATGCTCATTCTTTGAATCTCATTTTATCAGAAGTTGCTCGCCAGTATAACGGTGGAATTCTCTTCGACCCGGTCCCCATATCCCCAGTTCTAGGATCAATCTTAACCAAGGGTGCTGAGAAAGATGAAATCACGGAGAAAATATGGGAAGAACTCTGCAAAGGTTGGCCTGTTACAAAATTCCCTGACCTGAATCCTATCCGGACGGATAGACGAGAAATGTGCACCGTCTCTAAGACTTCTTCGGAGTCATTATCAACCATATACACTGGTTGCACCAAGGCTGAAGTCACTTTGCAAGCCGCCGGGCAAGCAGCATGGGCTCGTTTATTAGCTTCCTATGTCGGCGAAATTGACATAGGTTACGGCGTTGTTCTTTCGGGCCGAGACATGTCCGCCGCGGCTCAAGATGTTGTTTTTCCCTGTCTAACTACCGTCCCATCCCGCTACAGGGTGGAGGGAAGTAACAGGGAGCTTGTCCAGGCAGTGATGAAGTTAAATGCACATCTTATCAAAGGGCAACATGTTCCTTTATCCAAGCTTCAACGCATGACCGGTTCAGACACTGCATTGTTTGACACCCTCTTCGTGCACCAGAAATTTATGTCATCCACAAATGATGAGCAATTTTGGACTGTCACCAAAGAGATAGCTACAACAGATGTATGTCCACTAGCTGTCATAATTTATATTCACGCTAACTGAATAAATAGTATCCAGTCTCGATTGAACTCATACCCAAAGGGGATAAACTCGAATTTTGTGTTACATTCAGAAATGATATATTACCAGTTGATCAAGCGCATATATTGATCGATCAGCTTGAATGGCTTCTCTTCGACACTATATTTTCTCCGGAATCCAATTGCGCGCACTTTATGGGGGCTGATCGAAGAATAACCTGCGTCGTGCCCAGAAAGGATGCCTATATCGAGGCTCCAGTTGATCTTTTGCATCAGTTTGTTGAGGTCAACGCTAGTGAATGCCCCTCGAAAATAGCTCTTGAATTTGCCTCTAGGTCTTCCGAAGTGGAGGATAAACTGATAGTCAGGAGTTGGACATACAAAGAATTCAACGACCAAGGAAACAAATATGCCAATCTCCTTTTGCAGCTAGGGGCGTCCAAATCAAAATTAATCGGAATTTGTTTTGACAAGTGCCCTGAAGCATATTTTGCAATCCTCGCTATTTTGAAGGTAGGATCTGCTTATGTGGCATTGGATCCTGGGGCCCCTATTGCGCGGAAAAAGTTTATCATGGAAGATTCGGGCTCTAATTTCCTCCTATGCACATCTGATAAGAAGGAAGAATTAATGGGAATAGATGGCGTCAAAGTTCTAGCACTAGATGAAGCAGGGCTTTTGAATGGTCTCTCAAGCAGCTCTCCGATTCTTGAACACCCAATCAGTGGCGACGATACTTGCTATTGTTTGTATACTTCAGGGAGCACGGGGACACCAAAGGGTTGCGAGATAACACACAGCAACGCAATACAAGCAATGCTCTCGTTCCAAAGATTATTTGCAGGACACTGGGATGATTCGTCCCGCTGGCTCCAATTTGCATCGTTCCACTTCGATGTCAGTGTCTTAGAGCAATATTGGAGCTGGAGCGTCGGTATCTGTGTCACTTCTTGTCCCAGGGATATCCTATTTGAGGACTTAGCTGGGGTTATTAGACAGCTGGAGATAACGCATATCGATCTAACGCCGAGCTTGGCCCGTTTACTCCAGCCTGACGAAGTGCCGTCGCTTTGCCGTGGCGTCTTTATCACCGGCGGTGAGGCACTAAAGCAAGAGATCTTAGATACGTGGGGAGAAAAGCAAGTGATATATAACGGGTACGGGCCCACGGAGGTTACTATCGGGTGTACCATGCTTCCAAGAGTAACGCAATGGGACAAACCGTCCAACATTGGACCTCAATTTGATAATGTGGGCTCTTTCGTCTTCAAACCGGGTACTAATATTCCGGTGCTAAGAGGGGGCATTGGTGAGCTGTGTGTGTCTGGCCCTCTCGTAGGTCGAGGCTATTTAAATAGGCCTGAATTGACTGAGGAGAGATTCAAATATCTTGACGAGTGGGGTGAAAGGGTATACCGTACCGGCGACCTTGTACGGATGCTTCATGACGAAAGTTTCTGCTTCCTTGGTCGTATGGATGACCAAGTCAAACTGCGTGGTCAACGGCTTGAGATCGACGAAATCAACCACGTTATCAAGTCAGCTTCAGCGGAAATAGGAGAGGTGGTGACAATGGTGTTAAAGCATCTCTCTGCGGGTAAAGAGCAGCTTGTTTCTTTCATCACTCGAGGAGAACTTTCTGAAAAGGAGGCAATTCTTGGTTTTGACACGGGAGACCATGTCCACGAGACCCTGAATGACATCCGAAGATGCTGTAGCCTCCAACTTCCAGGATATATGGTCCCAACGCATGTTATTCCACTTACCCGATTCCCTTTGTCTCCAAATAATAAGATTGAAAATAAAAAGTTGAAGGAAATTTACGCGAACTTGACTCTGGAGCAAATGCAGAAGCTTTCACCACAAAATGAGGAAAATACCACGAATGCATCAAGAGAGACGAAAAAGATTATATCGATTGTCTCCCGGTTGGCCGGCTGTGACGAAACGATTATCTCACCGTGGTCCAATATATTCCAGCTCGGGCTGGATTCTATCTCTGTCATATCTTTGGCTCGGTCCCTCAAAGAAGCAGGTTTCTGCACTGCTCAGTCGGCTCTCATTATGAAAAGTAAGGCGACATGTTTTACCCTCCCTGAGTATTCCCAGAATTTTTGCTAAAACATCCTTTTAGACCCCGTAATCTCCGCTCTTTCAGAAATATTGCGCTCGTCCAACCGTAGTGAAAGTTCCGATGGCCGGCTATACCAGAATGCTAGACAAGCAATTGCCGCTTTTGCACACAAGCATCTTGCATCACTTGCTACTGAGCTCTGTGTCTCTATCAATGCTATTGAAGCTGTATGCCCTTGCTCACCATTGCAAGATGGGATGATATACAAGTGTCTTGAGAGCGCAAGCCGTGCATACGTCTCAAATTTTACCTTTGAGTTGTTACCAGATGTGGATATTTTCCAGCTGATGGCCGCTTGGCGAAAGGTTCAGGAGACTGTCCAAATTCTACGCACAAAATTCCCTGTCACAGCAGATGGTTATGCACAAGTGGTGTTAAGAGAAGATAAATTTCCCTGGTTCGAATTTGAAACCACGAACTCTTCCGAGGTTTCTAATATTTCGCGGGATAGGTACATGAAGTGGAGATCCACTCTTCATCATTTTAATGACAGGCTCTGGGAAATTGGGGTTGTATCTGGGCCATCCAGTAGAGTAATGTGCTTGAACATCTTCCACGGCCTATACGACGGGAACAGCCTTCCACTTCTTCTTGAAAGGGTTGCAGAAGCATACTTCAATGCCGCGCACACAGAAACGCTGTCTTATATTGATGTGTTGCCGCTCGGTCCATTTTGCAGGCAACCCGATGCGCAATCCTTCTGGACCCGACATTTGCGAGACGCTCCAGCACGAACGATACCTTCCAACCCAAATAGTTCTGAAAGCGAAGTACATAGCCTGGCTATTGAGATACCCGCAATGAAGCGACTCGAAGAGATAAGACGAAGGTTGAATGTTACGGAACAAGCAGTAGTCCATGGTTGCTGGCTGTACGTCTTTGAAAAGCACTTTGGCTTCGTTCCGACTCTTGGAATTGTGAGTTCAGGGAGAGCCTTGGATTTTGATGGTGCAGATAAAGTTATCGGGCCTTTATTCAACACGATTCCATGCCATGTCCCTTTCTTCGGCCTGGATTCATTATCGGAACTTGTTCAGGCTTGTCATGATTTCCATGTTTCTGCTATCTCATTCCAGCACACTCCATTACGGGATATTATGAAATGGACAGGACGAAGTGCCGACAATCCTCTCTTCGACAGCCTCTTCGTTTTTCAGAAAGATCTTGCGCATGCCAGTAGGCTTGGAAGTTCACTCTGGAGCCCCACGGAAACTCAAGCTGAGGCTGACTATCCTTTAGCATTTGAAGCTAGAGACGATGGAGGCGAATCCCTGACCACTAGTATTGTTGGAAAAGAACAGATCCTGACTTCAAAAGCAATCGGAAAACTGTTGAGTCAATTCAAGGACACATTATTGGGATTCCTGGACGACCAATCAATTAAGCTCCAGCCTTCGGATGATATATCAATCCTCAATCATACAGCACCTAGCAATGGTGTTAAGGAAAAGCACGATTCAGCCCAAGGGCCTTTGACAAATGGTACCTCCAAGTTCGAATGGAGTGCGAAAGCCAAGAAACTTCGCCAGGAGATCTCCAGGCTGGCCAATACCGACGATGAGGCGGTTAGTGAGAATACTTCGATCTTGGAACTTGGCTTGGATAGCATTGATGCAATCAAACTTTCCTCAAGGATGAAGAATTTGGGCATATCCCTCCCTGTCAGCAGAATCATGCATTGTCGAACGATTAAATCTATGATGAAAGAAGTTGTTGCCGATATACAAAGAGATGACGACTCGTTCAAGACTCTGATTAGTCTAGAAAAAGCACTTCGCTCATGTTTAGAAGCAGACAATGTGGACCTTGAAGGTATCGATCATGTTCTTCCTGCAACGCCACTGCAAGAAGGGATGCTTGCGGAAATGATTGGATCCGATTACTCCCATTATTTCAACCATGATGTTCTAGAAATCGAGCCACATGTGGACGTTGATAAACTAAGGAACGCATTTGTGAAGGCAGTTGAAGAAAGTCCCATTCTGAGGACGACTTTCACGCAAGTCTCAGATCCGAGTTTGCCCTTCGCATTTGCGCAGCTAGTCTATTCGGCAAACTTCAAACTAAATTGGAAAGAAATAGACATGGCTGGAAGGTCGATCGATGATATATTTGAGCAAGAGAAATTAGAGGCAATCAAGAGCGGCTTACGATCTCCTCCGTATAGACTACGCTTTCTGCGAAGTGGAGCCAAAAGATTATTGCTTATTTCCATTGCCCATGCGCTATACGACGGTTGGTCACTCGACTTATTTCACCACACTATAGCAACGCTCTACCTCGGCAACAGCTACCAACGGCCATCGTATCATAGTACTCTAGAACATATTATCAATTCAGCCAGCAATGAGAAAGCCCTGCAGTTCTGGAAAGGGTATTTGGAAGGAGTTCGGCCGGTATCTTTCCCAGAAAAGCCTGGATCAAACACGGACGAAATCCATCGGGATGAAATTGCCGTTAAAATTTCCAGTTCGAATGTTATAGACTTCTGCAAAAGCCAGGGAATTACACCTCAGACCCTAGGGTTGACCTGCTGGTTGATGGTACTTGCGGGTTATTTGCGCCAACTTGATGTTGTGTGTGGTACCGTGATGCTAGGCAGAGACACTGTTGATGGTGAGCAAGTAATGTTCCCCACAATGAATTCTGTCGCTATACGTGGAATCCTTCACGGCTCCCGGCGTGAGATGCTCCAGTATGTGCAAGAAATGTTGGGCCTGATCCTTAATAACCAGCACTTTCCACTCAGAAAAGTGAAAGCCTTGTCCAAAATTGGAGCAAAATCTCTCTTTGATACACTGTTTATATACCAGAAAAGACCAGGAGGAGAGGAGAAGGTCTTATATAAGTCTGTTCAGAGTTCTTCTGATGTTGAGTACCCTGTATGCACTGAGATGGAGCTGTCCAATAACTCTGTTATCTGGCGGGTTGCGTGCAAGAGCTCAGTGTTAAGCAGCTCCGACACGGCAAGCCTCCTTGATCGGATTGAAAATTGTTTGTTGGAGCTCGTTCACAACCCCAACGAGCCTACTGTGGATTTCCGAGATGAATCAGCGACAATCTGCGGCTTGACATTTTCAACCGCCTCGTTGAATGGGGTTAAGGACTCTTACCTATTGGATAAAGAGAATTCACTAGCAGAGTCATGGACGCCTTTGGAAGAGGCTATCAGATCGATACTATCATCAGTGGCAAACATTTCAGAAGCGGAAGTTACAAAGGATACAACCCTTTTCCATATTGGTCTCGACAGCATTAGCGCAATTAAAGTGTCATCCTTGCTACGGAACAGATCAATCACTCTTGCAGTTAGTGACATGTTGCGCGCTGGTACCGTTCGAAAAATGGCGGAGGTTGCGAAAATTGCCAAAGCAAAAACGGAAGTACGTGACTCTAAATCCATATGCCTCGGGGCGTTGAAGGATGTCGATATCACCACTCTGCTACGCTCTCATAACATACAGCCAGGGGACATCGAAGGCGTGTACCCAGCAACTTCTGGTCAGGTATACATGTTAAAGATGTGGGAACGCTCAAATGGGGCAGTGTTCTTCCCTGATTTCTTTTATCGTGTGGAAGGAGATATAGCAGCAGAGGAGCTTGAAAGGAGGTGGGATAAGGTCATTTGCCAGGTCCCAATTCTTCGCACGGAGTTTTTCGCAATAGGAAACCGCGATATCCCGTTTGTGCAGGTAGTTTTCAGAGCTACCAACAATCCAATAGCCTGGCGAGACAAGTTGAGAGACCTTTTGGACAGGCAGCAAGAAGGTGCTTCAAAGTTCGTGACTCTATATGCCTCACGACAAGGTTCGGAAACAATTGTAAGATTGCATATACATCACGCACTTTACGACGCTGTGAGCTTGGAACACATTGTCAGTCTGCTTTCGATTGGTTGTCCCGATGGAGATATATCGTCGAGATTGAAAACGGATATATCAGAATTCGTCGCCTTCAATACTATCAGCTCACCATTAGAAGCCCGGAAAGCATTCTGGACGACGTACTTGACAAAAGCGAGCTTGGAACGCAAGTTTCTACAGGAGACCTTGATCGACTGGCCCGGCATGACACAAAACTATCGCCCTTCTCTTATCGCAGAAGTTGGAACGCTAGATAGCATTAGTCGAAAACTCGGCGTCTCCATTCAAGCGCTATTTTTGGCTGTGTATGCTAAGATGCACATAAGGTTCCTTTCCAGCCCGTCGCACTCTGCTCTAGAGAATTTGGTCATTGGTCTCTATCTTGCCAACAGGTCTCACGCAATGGACGGACTTCCGGAGCTTGTCGCCCCCACCCTGAATATTGTTCCACTTTGCATTGGAAACCCTACAAACCACAGCGTGACTCAGCTGGCGCGAGCTATTCAAAGCGACTTGCATGAGATCAGCAATGCGCAGAACTCCTGTGTTTCCTTGCATGAAATTGCAGATTGGACTGGAGTCACGTTGGACACGGTGGTGAATTTCCTGAGATACCCAGACCCCACCGGAGATGGCGATGGCGCGTTGCACCGGTTGACGCCTCTCGAAGAATCGGAAATACCAGAGGCTCTAGCAAATGGAAGTATCCCAAATGCGACACCAAACTCAAGAAGGACAACTGAGATACCTCTAGAGTCGGTGGCCGCGCTCAACAACGAACAGCCCGGATCAGAAAATCGCATACCAAGCCTCGAAGCGGCGTATAAGGTAAGCTTGAAAAGAGACATGTCTTTCGATTACATCCCCACATGGAGTGCCTTCGCTAACACAGAGAACGATGTAGCCCTCAGTTGATATTGAAGTCGCCATCCGGAACAATGCGTTGGACGTTGGTATTTTTGGCCCCAAAAGCCGACTCGATTCCGGCCTCTCTGATACAATACTTGGCGAGCTGAAGCAGGAGTTACTTGCGGTATCACGAAGTGAGGAATGAGAGAATAGGCTGGCAACTAAGGTAGATGGTGCACATATAGCAGGATATATTCCGTAGTAAATACAAAAGATGGTAGCGCGCCCCTCGCGGCTCTCGGTCCACCCGGTTCATTTTTGTTGGTGTTTTGGTCCACAATCTCCGCCCACCGACGCCAAAGTGGGAGCGGGCAGCGGGAGTTTGACGTCACTGGCTTAGTCCGGCGGAGTGGGGTGCTTAGATAATCGCAGTAAACAGAGCAAACAGCCCGTTATCAACGCGCCAAGACGCACTAGCCTAATCAGGCGGGTCACAACAAACGCGTGATTCGCGCGTCCAGCCCACTTCCTTCCCAAGCGGGCAACAACAATAATAAGAAGCGGCTTCCCTCTCGCCCCCCGTCCCCGTGATCCAGACTTCGCCATGTCGGGCAGCATCGTCCGCTTCACCTCGTCCACTCTGTGCTCCTCGCCGTCCCACCGCACGCCCGCACTCATTCCCCCATCCAAGCTCACTACTCTTCGGCACCCAATATCGCCCGTGGTTTCGTGACGCGCCACGCTGGTCCTGAGTCCGCGTTGGTCCAAATTATCACGGCGGTAAATTCCAGGCTTGCGACACGAAGCGTTGCAACCCTTCGAGCCCTATTGCCCTTTCGTTCAGATCGCCACCTCAACACGCGCGCTTGTTTGAGCCACGATCCTCCACACCAGGCTCCTTTGCGTCAGAGTCCTCGAAAATTGAGACGGCTATTGGGCTTGAGGCTGTCCTGCAACGTGGATCGAGCCCGGTGGCACGTTTGAGAGTTTGCGCGGATGGAGGAAACACCCGGACTCGATTCCTCCAATACATTGTGACGCGTTTGCTGGCCTTAATTCACTCGTTTGACCCGTTTGTTTTGCGTGATCCATTGTTGACAATCTCAGATGCTCCCAGACAATCTGAAGGATTTATAACTCTGTCAGAAGATTAGTGTGGATATTGCTTTAACTGTGACATTTCTTCCTTCACACCCTTTTCCTCTGCACACCTCTGAACGCTTCCTCAAGTCCTGGTCTGTATGGGATCCTGAGTGTTTCTTTGAACGCGACTACAATATCAGTGTTGCTTTCCACTCATTGCTCAGACTTCAGTGGGGTGGCCAAAGCCAACAATGGTTGCTTCGTTCTCACCGCACCGTGACGCGGGCGGCACTCTACACTTCCCTTCACCATCTGGTCTTCACCATTCACACACCAGCTCTGCGCTGAACCAGCTCCGTCGCTCGCTTTCCAGATCGCCCTCCAAAGGAGCTGACTTTAGACTCCTCTCGCCGTCAAGGCTGCATACTTCACCTGTGAAGCACGCGCAATTTATTTCTTCCCTCTCTCCGTCAAAACGAGCGTCCTCTCAAGGAAACCTATTATTCGTTTCTACAGGAACCTCACCGCCTGTTGCCATCCCCTTCTCACCGAGCGCGAGGCTTCATCGTCCCGGAATTCGACGACACGGTAGTCTATCCTCAACGAGATTGAGAATGTTGCCGTCAAGCCCCGCAAAACGTATCCTCGCCGAATCTCGCGACCACGGAAATGCGGTATCTTCCCAAGGCATCGCAAAGGAAAATTTGGAGAATAAATCGGTTCTTCCTGCAATGACGACGGAACCTCTCACCTCCCAGGAAAATTCTACCAGCTGCGTGTCTCCAACAGAGCCGCTCGAGGGCGTTTCAGTACCAAAACTAGCACCGACGAGAATAGAGAAACGGCGAAGTGGAAATTTCGGTTCAGTTAGCCCTCTAAAACGCGGGGATGGACCCATGAACCTGGATCAACAGAATTTCGGAAGTCCTGTGGCCAAACGAAGAAGTGTTCAGGTTGCAAATTTTAGCACCGAATTTGATCTCTTTGAAAATAACGTCGAGGCTTCGAACGATCAGTCGAAGAACGACACTGAAGAGCCCGAATATCATACCCCTCTCTTTCCCCAATCCCCATCCCTATTCTCCAATATTCCCAAACGATCATCTTCCTTGCGAAGATCTACTCTTCAACAGCGTCAAAACGATCGCCTCCTTTTTTCCCACAGTAAGACTACTCCTGACCAAAGTCCTGAGATCCCACCAACGACCCCAATGGTTCTGCGCAGTCGCCAGCGCATGTCTCTCGAAAGCAACATATTTTCTCCCGCGAAACGTGACGCTTTTACCCCATCAAACGGAATTTTTGCAAGCACCTCTACTCCAGCTCCTTCGCAGTTTACGGGGTTCGGACAGCCCATACCCAGTGCACACCCTCTATCAAGAACTATCACACAGTCTTCTTCAAGCTCCAGTCTAGCAGATGACTCTCCCACCCATGCACCGGTTCCTGCTAGGCCTGGAAGCCCCCATCCTATTCTCAATTTCTCCAAATCTCTTCCAGCTGGGACCTCGAGACCACTTGTTTCAAGCCGCCTCCAACATGAAGAATCTAATGCCTCCGACTCTTCATTTGCAACACCCGAAAATTACAGGCTTGTAAAGCCCCTGCCAGCGGCATTCATGTCTACTGGTCTGATCTCGAAAAAGAATAGAAATGCTACGGATGCTCACAATGCGTCTCTTGTTAGCAAGAACATGCCAGATACGCCATGCAAACGAACTTCAACTATGTTACCAACACGAAAGCCTTTCGCTCAATGTTTCGATGGCGATACGCCCAATTTCAGGGCCTCAGGCTCCCCTTGGACCCCGACCAACACCTCAACCGTCGCTGGCAAAACCCCTGCACCTAAGGGCATGGGTATTTTTGGTAGAAGTTTTATTAAGCCCGCACTTTCCCGTCGAGGAAGCATTGTTAGTATAGATGGTGACGATAGCCCTCATTTTCATTCTCCTTCCATGAACCATGATAGCCAGCTGGCTATGGATTCGGACCTGCCACCAACTCCTACCAAGAAGACTTTTGGGTCTTCATTATCTCAGTTTTCCGGTTCGCAAGCCCAGAGTATAAACCATACACCCGGGTCAACATTCGAATCAGGAGCTGGCCCTGGACCCTGTTGTAAGTTCTCAGTGAAAAGGTTTTCCTTATCGTTCAGCTACTGAGATATATATATATAGCGAGCCCGCTTAACCGTAAATCGATTGATCACATGTCTCCTCATACTCCTCAAGAACACATCTTACCCCTTGATCCCAGTGGATTGTCAATTTCGAACAATGATCATAACTTTGGGCAGGGTTCTCATTCTGTTAACCTCCCTGCTACACCAACTGGCCCGCGAGAATATTTCTCCAATCTTGGGAAACGCTCCACAATTTCACTTGGCGGCTACAACGCACCGGACGTCGACCAGTGTCTAACTTCCCGGTTCGACAAAGTTGAACTTATAGGTACCGGGGAATTCTCACAGGTATACTGCGTGACCGAGCGCCAGTCAGTTACCCCTTTCCAGGCGAATATGTCCGGATCCTCAAGGAAACCGACGTCCCCGCAACGTCTGTGGGCTGTAAAAAAGGCTAAGCAGCCTTTTACCGGAGTGAAAGATCGTGAGAGAAAAAATACCGAAGTCGTGATACTGAAAGCCCTAACGAACTCTGACCACGTTATCTCCTTTGCTGATAGCTGGGAATACAATAACCATCTCTATATTCAGACTGAATTCTGTGAGGAGGGCAGCCTTGATGTTTTCCTTTCACAAGTGGGTCTTAAAGCCAGACTTGATGATTTCCGTATCTGGAAAATTCTCTTGGAGCTGTCACATGTAAGAGTGAATGCCGTCCCAAATGATCGCTCTCCTTCTAACATTTCCACAGGGCCTGAAATGCATCCATGATGCGGGGTTCATTCATCTAGACTTGAAACCCGCAAATATTTTGATCACTTTCGAAGGCGTTCTGAAAATTGCAGACTTTGGCATGGCAACTCGCTGGCCTGCTTCCGAAGGTATTGAAGGGGAAGGCGACCGGGAATATATTGGCCCAGAGGTTCTTATGGGAAGATATGATAAGCCAGCAGATATCTTTGCACTCGGGCTCATTATGTTCGAGATTGCTGGCAATGTGGAGTTGCCTGATAATGGAGTATCGTGGCAAAAACTTCGAAACGGCGATATGAGCGACGTTCCTAGTTTGACCTGGAGTTCCGAGACTAGCATCCTCCGTGACGCTTCTGGGAACCCATTGTCAAACAGTTGCTCATTCGATGATTTGTACTCGGCAGAAGAACCGTTGACTCTTGACATGCTTTCAGGGGAACACAATCCGATTAAAACTCAACCAAATCTGGGGTCAGCTCGTAGCGGCGAACTTTCCGAACCTCCGGATTTCATGATTAACCCGAACAGTGAGGGTGCCCTTGATAAAATTGTTCGATGGATGATATCGCCTGACCCGATTGATCGACCTGTGGCCGACCAAGTCATTCAATCTCTCGGTGTCCAATGGACGGTGCGACGTCGCCGTGCCGGTGCCACGATCTACGAGGGAAACTGGGGTCCAGCTGACGAAGTACTTGTTGAAGACGCCGAAATGATCGATGTCTAGACGTCAGTTTGGCTCTTTCTAGCGGCGTTCTTTGCATAAGACATTTGCACAAGCGGGGTTACCAGGGGCGTTTCGTGGACTTCAACTGTACATTTAACCGGATACCTTTGTGGTTCGACATCATTTGGGACGTTTTTTACGGGATTTCTAGGAACGGCTAACATTTCCTCTTATCAATGGTCACGGAGGTAAAAAAAAAGGGGGGCGGATCCGGCCACAACTTTACACTATTTAATGAGTTTCCTTTCCTCTACACTTGCATTTAACGTGCAACATGCATTCGGAAGAAGCATCCTTTGGCATTTCTACTTCGATACCATGTTTTGTTAAGATGATTATTATTCCCCTTTGCTGCTTTTTGCATCTACTTGGCAGGTCATTCTAGGGCTCTCTTGAACCTTTTTTTCTTTTTTTAATATCAATACTGTCTTGCCTGCTTTTTTCCTATTGCATGACCGACCTCTGTCACCCCATCGGGCACGAATTTCCTTTTTATTCTCTGTATCAAGTTTCTAAACTTTTTAGGGCACAGCCGATTCCTTGCCTTTTCTTTAACTAGACCTGTTAATTAATATTACTTGATACCATCCTGTTTGTACAATAACCCCTGATAGAATG